GAACAAGTCGATAGATTTTCTATCCTGTCCCTGAACTGACAGTTTAAAGCTGATACACAACAGAAAAGTACAACTTACAGAGAAAATGTCGCTCTTATGAGAATGCTGTCTCTTTATAGATTATCTTAAATAGTTAACAAAGCCACCAATAAAGGCAGTGTTAGAAGAAGGAGGTATCCACAAAGTCAAGGGCAATGACACAAAGGGACTATCATCCACTCAGCTTGTGAAAAAAAAATGGGTACACAGTGATGCTTTTGAGAAAAATGCCAACATAAGCATGCTTTGGAACGACGAAGCTTACATGCCAATACTTATCATCAAAGGTTTGCAAAGTTCAACGCAGCATAATACAAAGTAAAAGGCAACCGACCCGAAATGTAGTTCAAGGTTGAAGGCTTTGTAGGTATTCTGACAAGAGAACTTAAAAAATAAATAAACGACACCAGCAGAGGAGCTAGGCTATCACCAAAGTTGTAAAAAAGTACCGTAAGGTGGACATAAATGTCTAGTTTAGATTTAATGATCATCAATTCAATAGTTCTTGAGATGTTTCATTAAAAAAAGCTGAAATCTTAACTTCATTTAAAAGCTTGAAATGCATCCAGTACCTCAGAGTAGGAGAGGTTTATCCTCTGGAGACCGTTTTAAAAGTTTTTATCATCAAGCACATATTCAGATATTTAACGAGATAAGTAGAAACTTCACCGGCGGCACTGAAAGAAAACTTCTAATAATGTTTTTGTTTATTATCCTCTTAGGACCATAAATGTTCAAGCTTACTAAAATCATTATTAATAAGACTCTTAAGTTTGGGGCTTTTTTTAATCAATGAAAATCAAATCAGAATTCAAAAAAGTGAATCTAGTCCTGGATGGTCAATATCTCATAGTAGTTTCTTTGTCAGAGAATAATCAACAATAGTCCCTATAGATCCACTGTGTGGGCAGGTGCACAGGAACACATACATCAAAAGGCTTGCCTACATTATTCATCTAAAGCAAACACATATAACCTTTAGCATCTTTAGCCACATTTGCATCACATTTACATAGTAAATGTCAATCAGTGCTCCACTTTGCATGACCTGCACATGTATGACTGTAAACATGCCCCAGGCAGTATATCAACAGTTGGATCACATAATGGCAGTGTGTTGTCATTGTCCTACAACAAAGAAAACATTTACAGAGGAAAGCAGCCCTCCCACTGTCAGGAATATTAATAGATCAACTGTGCTAGGATTCAGGTTTTCTTCATATTGGATCCTTCTTATTGAAGGACGGTTGGTTTATAGACTGCAGCGTCTTATAAGGTGACAAAGTTCAGTTATGATAGGCCAGCATGGCAGGCTCTTGATAAATTTAAGCCGTACCTTCATTCATCAACAAGTGCTGCTGTATTACCACCATAGCTGGTGCCAGGAATATGAAAGCACAAGGTTAGATGCAGAATTATAAATCTAACTAGTGTCATTCAGCTCTGTTTAAAGATCATGAATACAGGCAAGGGATTTTTAAAGTAATGTGAACCCCCGTTTAGTCCCAGATCTCGGATCATGTTCTTCCAAACAGATATAAATGCAGACAATCAACTAAAATATGCATTGCTTGGATTTTCTGGGAAGCACAGCTTTTTCCAACCTTCAGTCTGCACTGATAAACAACATAATGTTGTCCAAATAATCAGTAAAAGTCAGATAATGGACATCTGTGATTTACAGTACATTCTGTTTCTAGACACAGCAGGCTATAACTCCCACAATGCTTTCTCTTAGCCAGCAGTCAAGGGCAACAGTTCACATAACAGTAATTTCATCAAGTTGCTCTATTGTTCATTGTCATAGAAAGAAAAAAAACACACACTTTCTTTAAGGGTTTACATCTACATGTGAAGGCTGTATCAAGTTCTGCCCTCAGAAAATGAAGCCAGGTGTAATTTACAGGTATAAATCAGCGTCAGATGCGTGACATGTCTGGGTGCTGGTAAGAAAACAGATCTGCTGACTGCACTAGTCTGTCTCTCTGTCTCTCAGATGTGCTATTGTTGGATGCTAGATGTTTGTAACTGCGGGGCTACGTTGTTCATCAGAGGGTTTGGGTTGCTGCCACAAAAGCAACTTTTCTCAAAACACAATTGGTCATAGTCATCTGTCTCCGGGGGCCATAGCTGTTATTTTTCTGTAGCTCTACATCAGAGCACTGTGCACTTGACGGTGTTATCACAACCAATATTATCCCTTTAAGCACTATTTTACAGCAGCATGCCCGTACAGTGTCAGAGATGGGACGGTCTTAGAATGATTACCAGAAATGTTTGATCATTACACAAGGTTTTAGAGAGGTCGTCGCTCGACTTCTTGCTCTAACAAGCTGACCTTGGCACAGCGCAGTATGTGGATACGGCTTTCCTACTTGCAGAAGCAACGCCTTTGATAGAATAACAATACAGTAGACATTGTGCCTTCGAAAGTAGAGGAGGATTTGCACACATCTAAGCAGAGTCGGACAACAAAATCAATATAATATCTCTACAGGGGCTTAAAGTGTGTCTGTAGCCATTAGTGATGAGTTTGCAGTGACTTTATTGTACATGATGGCAGTTTTTAGGAAATTTGCACTTTTTATGACCACTTTTTCGTAAGATCCAGGTGTACTTAAAGTGTTTATTCAATAGTTATTAGCCTTCATATATTTTAGTCCTTTAGTACTCATGAATCTGACCCCAGCATACAAAGTCAAGATGACCTTTGGTTGTAGCTTGATTAGGCAAGTTAACCGGCCTGCAATCCTTGTCCTAGTAAATTAGCATCAAGCAAGAACTGATTTGTTGTTAAATAGATGTCCACCTCCACTAGGTGGTGATATGTTGTTAACAAGTTACAGATGGACCATCATCTTATTGCCCCGTTACACAACATACCAAAACAATCAAATAAGTTCACAAGAGGCTAATTGGTTGTTTGTCAACAGGCGAAAAATTGGACGACTTTACTGCTATGTGCCTTTCATAAATATGATATGAACGCTTTGTCTTCTTTACTTTATTGCCTTGTTGAGGTTTTGTTTTTGACCTAGCTAGCTTCGGCACAGCTGTGTGCAGAATTTTAAGCCTAGTTTGGTTCTGATTGAGGTGTCTACATGCAAGAGAAAATTTTTCTAGGTACGTTGCATAATCTAGGTGGGTGGGATTTCAGACAGATTAATGGGCTGACTTGCATGCTGAAAAGCCGACTAATGCAATAAATCGATTTCAAGTAACATAACGTTGCATTAAACGTGGCACGTTGCCTTTTGTAATTAACCTACTTCAATTCTTAAGATGCATAAAAACTTCACAAATCCATTTCACAAAACAGATGTGTAGAATTAGAATCCACAATATCCCCAAAAAGATCTTTATGACACAAATATCATTAACTTAAGATTTCGAGATCCTATTTCAACAATTGAAGAGCAAAAAAAAAAAATAATCAGATTGCCAAAAACGTTATATCGGCGGTCTTCCAACTACTCTAAATTTTAACTTTGGATAAAGTTTTACTTGCTTAAAGATTTACACCCAAAAAAAAAATGCCTATATGCTTTGTTGCATTTTAAAGTAAATAGATAAATAAATACAGGAATACAACCTTGTATGAGACCTTAATGTAAGAGCTTAAAGTAGATATAATTAGCAGGAATAGAGAGGGTCGATAAGTGAATAAGCTTTGGCAATCGTACCATGCATATAAAGCTGTTTAGACTTGAACTTGTAACTGATATAAATATGAATGTGTGTGTCACCTAATTTCACATTTTGGTATTAGCGTTCCCACCAATGACTAAAGTAAAAAAAAAAAAAAAAAAACTGCACAATAAGTGATGGTAAAAAGTTGTTTTAAGTTTTGTACCGTTCTTCTAAGATACCGAGTGTGCATCTGCTCTCCTTCCTTTGTCATTAGGACATAGCTGTAGCTGTGAAATAACCAGCAGCTCAGCTCCACACATGCACTTTAATTCTCTGTAACGGAAAAATAATTACCGAGTCAGACCCAAACACTCACCCACGCACACACACCCACGCCTCTCTTTAACACAAATATTTTCCCGAAATAGCCACATCCAAGTGCACATTCCTGCAGTGGACTTGGGGGAGAAAGTTGATCCACGAGAGTTGGGAAAGTGGGACCTCGTTGAGTGACGTCACCCCTCCTACACACCTCTCTCTCTTTCTCTCTCTCTCCCTCTCTCTCTCTCTTTCGGTCTCCAGTTTTTCTCTGCCTGAGCTTTCAGTTCGTGCTCGGGTCTCGGCAGAGAGAGAGAAAGAGAGAGAGAGAGACAGACAGACGGACTGACACGGAGAGAGTGAGACAAGGAGAGAGCGAGAGAGAGAGGAGAGAGAGAGAGAGATAGAGAGGGAGAGAGTGAGTGCGAGGGGCTGTGCGTCCCAGCCACACCGCACTCTTCAAACACCAGTCTCGCCACGTTCAATCCAATGAAGAGCTAACGAGCACCACACAGACTGCCTAAAACCAGTGAATATACCCCACGCGCTGCACGTGCGTGTCTATCGTCCGTTATCGCCCCCGAAGAGCGACAATGCGTTTGTGACGGACAACTCGAGGAAGAAAACGCAAGGGGGGAGAGAGAAAAAAAAACAGAAGAAGAACCTGGATTTCTTTCCTCCACGTTGTTGTGTTTGGACCCGGTTTCCGTGACTGGATGTAAAATAACAAAAATAAAACTCTGAGACAGAAATAAAGGAGAGAAAGAGTTTCAAACCGGCCGCAAAATGGTGATAAGGTAAGCGGAGTGTCTGACTGGGCGCGTGAGTTTGGAGGTTGTGACAGTGGGAAGTGAAGTCGCTGCCGCAGTGATTTCAGGTGTCCGTGGAGCCTTGTGAAGTTGGTTCAAACATATAAGCTGTGTCCACTCCACTCATTAGGACTGGGTTTACCCTGCCAGTGTAAAAATGCTACCTGCTGTCTTGTTTGTTTATGGATAGACCGTTTTATTCACGTGCTGATAATGATTATACGCAGAGTTTATTATGATTATGAGCGCGAGCAGCCGTTGACACAACGGTGGCGCTTTGAGAGTCACATCACTATCATGCCATAAAAACCTTCTCCGACCGGTCAAATGTTTATTATGATCATAGACCCACGCATAAATGACACGCTTGGATGTGTAGGTGGGATATCATGCATGTCCAGCAGTTATTTTGGTGGGAAAAAAAATAAAAATGTGTGTAATTTTTAGCGAATTAGCGCCAAGAATCATGTTTGATATGGTTGTATTACTCGAGTTATTTCGCAGAGGAGCTGCCGTGTCTCTCTCAATTTGACAAAATAAATCCAGCCCGTTCAAACTCATTATTTTCATTTCCTGTCAACTATAGCTTCACATCATGTAAATACAGTTCATCTAGTGGCCCGTTTTTTTAAGAGAGTTGTGGAAGTCTTTTCCAGCCAGCAGATTGTGAATAATTTTTCAAAGTGAATTCCTGCAACTCTCCAGAGATCGGTCGTCTCGTCTGTCTTATTTTTAGCACGCATTTTATTGTGAAAGTTCTTTTTAAGGAACTTGTACGTTTAAAAAAAAAAAAAAGAAAATATCAGTGAGGACAGGCTGAAAGACAGCCAGTCACGCAAGCAGTCTGTCAATCAGGTGAGAGCGAACCTTTATTTCCAGTAGAAACACACACCACCTGTGCTCACTGTGCCAGTTAGGCCACTAGGGGACTCATTCTCTCCAGTCAGTCAGAAAAATGCAGCAGGGAAGGGATACAAGTCATGGAGAAGGGACTTCAGGTACTCCACATGTGCTTTTACTGAAAATAAACAAAAACTCAACCAGGAGGAGGAATTTTTTTTTTCAAAACAGAAATTTTGGGCTGCAGTTTTTAAAAATAAAAATATTTTAAAAAATACTAAAAATGTTATCTTCAATATCCAGAAGGAGAGTTCTCACGTAAAGCCTTGAAAATCCTTCCTAACATTGTAATGTGTTGCGCTAAGAGTCAATTAAAATGCTCTGTTTGAAGTGGAAGCAGGCTAGTCAGGTGTTCCAAGGGCCAATGTGTGCGTGTGTGCTCAAGCATGCAAATTGGTGTGCCTGTGTGTTTGCTCAAGCAATTCCTAGTTTATAGCCAGTAAGCACTCCAGGAGAGCACACCCCAGCATCTACACTGTCTTACATGCTTTACAGTTCCCGGCTCAAACAATTAGCACTCGCCCAATTTTGACACGGCGCAATTAACGCTGTCACCACACATTCGATTTCCAATTTTGCTGTTGCGACAGCAGCGCTCAAAAGAGGAGACAAAATGGATATGCACTAAAGGTGGTGCTGGCTTAAAGTGCTGCCATCCAAAGTCGCTGAAGGGAGGAAAGTGTCTCGCTCATGGAAAATCGGCACTGACGCGGCCATTTTCTTCCAAACCCTCATCCGTCACTCTGGCTTTTTTTTTTTTTTGGTGTATATCCTTCAAAATATTATAAAGCTTTCGGTGAAATATCTCAGTGGTGATTTGAAAACGATATTCCAGGATAAAGGAAATGAAAGAAGGGATGATTCCAGCTTTCCTGTGTCATTCACCAGCCTCTGTGTGTGTGTGCATGTGTGTGTGAAGGATACAAACAGTTCATGGCATGCAAGCCATTAAACTGAAAAATGATATAAGTGGTTGGAAAGTGCCTATGAGGGAGTTGGGCCATTTTTGCGTGCCTGCCGATGTACCTTTTTCTGCAGCTTTTGTGCCCGGAGGACATTCTAAAATCACATCCCACATTTTTTGACAGTGTCTAGGAGGGACAACAGAGTGTTTTTAAGAGTGAATGTTGGAGGAAAGTCGGCGATGTCTTTCAAATGTCCTTTGTGTTTGTTTTATTTCCCTGGTGTACACTGGGAAAGTGTTTTGACAAGCGCTACGACATATGGGGGTTAAATGCTAAGCTCATATGTATAAGCTCATTGGCAGCAGTTTATTTAACAAAGGACTACGGGAGCTTTTAACGTTTCCTTATCCAAGTCCTTCTTTTTCGGCACGAACCCAAGTTTTTTCTTACAAGCAAGTGTGTTCTGCACCTCACAGGCTCATTGTTTCAGCGAAAGGCAGGCAGTTTTAACTGGCTGGTTTGTTCTCAGAGCAGACAAAAAGAGAGAGAGTGAGAAAAAAAGTTTGTTTTCTATCAGTGTGTATGCATGTGCCCTCTGCCTGTGTGTGAGCGCCACTTCAGGAATTCCAAGGCCAGGGCCCCTATTACAAGTGTGGAATGAGAAATCAACACTTACATTACAAAAATGGATACGTAAACATGGAGGCCACAATTATCAGGCGCCGTCGAGTTGGAACTGGAGGAGATGGAGTGCCAATAGGTCTGTTAGCAATCACCCCCCCCTCCTCCCCCCCCTTACTGCCTGCCCTCTGTAATCCAGTGGGTGTACTCTAGCTTATTTGGTGCCAGGAGCGACCTTTTACAAGTACTCACCGACTGGTGAGCCGGCAGGGTGGGAGTTTGGTGGATGCAGTGGGAAGTCTGGCTGGTGGAGGTCAAATTGTGGAGAAATAGGCTGTAGTGTATGAGTTGTATGTTGATATATGTGTATTCATGTATGCTTCTCGCAGTGGAAGTTCCTCAACCGGAGCGTGCGCCTGTGCGTCAGGGGCCTCCAGCCGACTACAAACCCTGCTTCACGCGGGCCGCCTTGATGCATTGTGACAAATGAGAAAGCAGTTTGATTTCGCACAACACTGAGCCGCACTCCAGCATAATGAAGTGATCATGACTTTACCCTTGGTTCACTTTGGCCCCGGTCCCGCTGTGTTTTTCCCCCCTCTATTCAATCGCTTCACTCACTTATTTACTTGGCAAGCATTTCCTCCCGTAACCTCTAGTACTGCATAACTAGCGTCAAGGGTGGGTTGCTTGATAAAAACCACCGCTACGGGGCATTGGTTTTACACATAGGGGAACGCGAGCAGTTTTTATTGATATTCAAGTTGCCACTGGGTTGGAATAATAAGGAGCCTATTTTCACGCCCAGGCAAAATCACCTCTACTGTCCATCACCCTGTCAGGGCAGAAAGCTGAGGCGTAAATATTATTTGGCAGTGGAGGGAGCTGAGGGCTGTAGCTGAACTTGTTTGTTCCTGCTCACTGTAATCGTCTCACTTTATACCCCTGAATTCCTCTCCCTTTTTTTATCCTCCCTCGTAAATGCGTCTAATCAAACCTAATTATCATTTAAAGAAAGTCTCTTGCTCTACCAAACCACTTTTTTAGCACGTGTGTGTACTCTTAAACACAAAGACCAACGTGTCACTTTCAGCATGTTTCATCTAAGCGTAGGGTTCGACATCGAACAATTTGCCCTGAGGCTGTGCCTTAAGGCGGTACGTACAGGGGGGAGTACCGATGTGTCAGAAACACGAAGCGTTTTTTTTTTTTTTTTCTTTTTCAGCTGCAGCTGTCCTTTGCTTGCAGATTAGGTTTCAGGAGATATGATGGATGCCAAACGCCTGTAGCCAGTTGTGAAGACATAGAGGGGAGGGGGGAACTATGCTGGTGTGGATCTGGATCGGGGTCAGTGGCACTGGCAGGGGATTGGAATTCTGCCCTTGACCTCCATTTTGGATCATCCCCCATCAAGTAACTAACAGCCTGTCACTTTGAAAGAGTCGGGGAGAATATCTTCGCTTTTTCGAGAATGAAAGAGGTAGCTTGGTGATATTTTTAAAGACTTCATTCTGACTTTGTTGCAACCCAAAACATTATTTCTTTTCATGCCCTTCCTTTGTCTCATTTTCTCTTATCTTAATTTTTTTTTTTTTTGGAAAGACTGAGAGCAGACTCCACCGAGGTTCATTTGAATAACCGTCGGAATGAGGAAATAAAAGCTGGGGGAAGAAATAGATGTGGCGGTCGGCTCTTTGCATTCATGTCACACGGCTTTATCAAATTATTCCACAATAGCAGCCACACAAGTGATGGAATTTCAATTAAAGTATGACAGTTTTGAGAATTTGTTTCTGCTCGAGAAAGAGATCATGGGGGTTGTGTTTCATGGGTTTGGGGCGGCAGAAGATGTATTTTCTAGTCTGTATTCTCTTTACGAAACTCCCCACTCATTCACCCCCATCTTCCTTTAAAAGGGAATGACTTAGCTGAAACCACTTTTTGTTTAGAGGCACTCTGTGGTTAGAGCCTGGAGCCTGGCAAAAAAAAAAAAAAAAAAAAGAGGGGAGGGGGATGTTATGGTAAAGGTCTGTGCGACAGAGAAGTCAAAAATGGAGCCTTTAGTTTGATAGGCTCTTTCCAAGAACAATTACGCTACCTGCTGTGCCAAATAGAAGGTTACAAGAGATAAGTGCAAGGGAGGGGTGCTCTTCTCAGACTGGTGGCTGGCTCATAAACTGGAAAAGAGCAACGTATATATGACTCTCAGGGACTGTAAACTGTTTCGGGGCTGAATCTGTCAGACACGCAAGCTCACAAACACTCAGCACATGCCAAACATGAGCGAGGGTGGAAAAACTGTGAAAAATGTTAGAAATAGTCCTGGGACCAGACAAAACATGCGGCATTTACTGCTGAGGCAGCTCAGCATAAAATTACTTCCATCAAGTAAGACTTACCTTTGTCTTAAATTAAGCTTAAGAAGAGAAGTGACTGAGATTTGTGTTTTTTTTTAGTCCATTTGCATTTCTGAGACCCCCACAGGAATTGTCATAGAGGAGAAAATTCCATTACAAAGTGCAGTGACATTGCCACATGGCAATTTCACGAATGAGGAATGCATTTAATAGTGGATGGATTTTTCATAATTTGGAAGTGTTTCCCCAATACGTGCTGTAATTCTTCAAGTGACACATGTTGTAATGGGATCTAGTGTGTCCATTAATCCAGGCACGTCTGGAAACCACATGTCCAAAGGGATATGTTTCCTATCAGAGTTTGAATTACACTCAAAATAGAGAATTTGGAGTAAGTAAGAGATTGGAGTTTTATAAATATCTGGTCTTTATTATCCCCTTCCTTTTAGAGTCCAAATATGAATTCCTGCATCACTGCAAGGTTAGGAGTCAATGTTTAAATTCTCTGTAACCCCAGTATTCTCCCACTACTCAATCTGCAATTATAGCTAGCTGCTTTGAAGAAGCCAGGCGGAACTAAAATGACTTTTCATGTCCGGTATAATGACTGCCATTTGGAAGCGGGCATGGAGAGAGCGGGTGAGAGAGATACAGCAACAGAGGAGAGACGGAGGGAGGGGCAGAAGGAGGGAGAAAAGGGGGGACAATCAGTGGATGAAAATGGCTTAGGTCACCTTTGCTTCTGACCAGACAGCACAAACCAACTGCCTTCCTCGCAGATGAATCTACCACATTTGAGTCCTTTTCTTCTCTCCCTTTGCTGTTCACTGAAACTTTCACCCTCTGTTCCCTCTTTCTCCATCTTCCCTCTGCCACTGCTGTCCATTCATTTGCCATCAACGAAAGCTTAGCAGCTTTAAGGCGGATTACAAGATGAATTGCGCGGAGCGAGACGCCGTATATTCTCTTTAGGGTGGGCTGCTGCTGCCAAAGGCCAGAGCTGAGTGCCGTCACCTGGGCTAGCAGCTGGCTATCTTTTACACTTCACTCACTAATGAGGCCAGACAGTTGGGGCTGAAGTTATAGCACAGGCTGGAAGCTGTGTTGGCAATCTATTATTTAGACTCTCGTGGGGAGGCCGGTCTCAAGAATTTCATGCATGCATTTTGCAAAGCAAATGGTAGCCCGGGGGGAATACAGAGCTCTGTGTGGGAAAAAAATGAGCAAGAATTAGACATTAATGTGAGCTGCGGTACTCTCTTGTCCTGCCTATATCAAACCTGCCAAGACCTGAAAGGAAACTTTTGATATTCTGTCACTTTTTTCATCGCACTTGAAAAGGCTGCTGTTAATACAGATGTGCCTCAGCGACGTTAACATCGCTGACAGCTCCGTCGGATGCACAAGTCGCCGGTCTTTTTCATTCACTTTTTCTGCCCTCTCTTTTCTTTTAGTTTGTCTCTCATTGTGATATTTTATGGATGCCAGATGAAGGTTGTGCTTGAGTCATCAGACAGTCGACACAGAAGAACGAGTTTATCTTTCCCTTCCCTTTTCATGTATATTTTAAGACCTATTTCAGAGGGGTTTCGAAGAGTTGCATCACTCTGTTATAGATAACAGTGTGCAGACAGGACTTGTTTATATTTAGTCAGGCTAGAAAACTATGGCGTGCATGACCCCCACTAGGTATTTATAGAAAAATACCAGAGTTAAAATTTCCTCAGATACCAGGGGCTGATATGGCAGTTATTTAAAACATGAATTTCTCAGATATGGACTAATGCAGGTCACTAACTCAGCAAACAAGTCTAGTTTAAAGGCGTCAGTTTCCACTAACTGTTACAGCCACATGAACCCATTTGGCAATTAACTATATTTGGGCCTCTGTAAATGCAAATCCGCTGGGAGATGAGATGGCAACAGTTAAACATAGAAAGGCAGTTATAGCTGGAGCAGGGGAGTAGACTTGGGTTACTCTTAAATGAAGTTCATGTAGAAAGGCTCAGGATACCACAAATAGCTCGGAGTTATACATGTCATAAATAAACTGCGCATACCAGAGGCCATGAAGTCATCAAGTTATTTACCCCACACGTAACCGCATCATATGAGAGCCGCATCGTGTTAACTGAATGTTGATATTCGCCGAAGAGTGACGCGAGGCAAGAAAGAAGCCCATCGAGTCGTGAGGGATGGAGGAATTCGCGGCCGTGTGCTGTCACGCACCTCTGCAACTCATGACCTCTAAAATATAGAGATTTTCCATGAATTTCTCGTGGCATTAAAGAGAAGTTCATGTCAGGTGTATACTGGTGTAACCCAAGCTGCCACCGTTAATTCTCCACCTAACCCTTTCTTATCCTTGCATGTGTTTGCCCGTCCATCTACCCTAAAGAAACATTCCTGGAGAGTTTTAGCGTCACTGTAACTGGACACCGCTAGCCATGCCTCGTTGAGAGTTTGACAGTGAGAAAGGGAGAGTTTGAACGTGGGAACTGGAATGCTTGGGCTCAGCCTACTCCTCTTTGAAACTGGCAAAAGTTGAACACTACATGCTACTTGGGTTTCATGATGTAAGGCAACAAATCAGCCATTGAGGAGGTGTTTGGAGAGGGCTTTTATGAGATTTGGTGGAAGATATCAAATCTTGGAAATGAGTTACCGTGAACAGTACAGGGAAGGGTTATGTATTTAATGAGCAGGACTAGCACTTGAAAGATACAGATAGTTCTGGGCCGTTAAGATTTGACACAAAACCAACTTGGGTAAAGATAAAAAGGCCAAAAAGACATTATTCTACAGACTCAAAAAGGCATCCAGTTTAAAAGTTTGAAGCTTCCCATTCAGACTACGATTGAAAATGAGATTCAGCCTTCCTGTAAATTAGCTCCCTAACTTTAGTAATCATTTACATTTAATAGCTTGCCTCAGGTTTAGACTAGAAAAGTGTCAATTTCAGCAATTAAAAATATTAGAAAAGCTAATGTGTATTTAAGAATGGATGTAGATGAGTTGAGAATTTGCTGTTGATTCTCATCCCCTCAAGCTCTGAATATTGGGATGGATTTTTTCCTCTCCCCACAGCTGATATTTCGACTGTCTTTACGGTTCCTTGGTAGCCATGAAAACCCATTACAATGCAATCCCTTCCTCCCCCCTCCCTCCGCTTTCTCTCCTGTCTTCGCACCCTCTGCCGTTATTTGGACCCCTTCCCAAACCATCCATTGTGATAAGCTAAACACAAAGCTGTGAGGAGAACGTCTTGCGCTAGCTGCTAGCCATATTGTTGTCTTGCTTCTCTGCTTGGACTGCCAGCCCGCATAACACTGCACCAGGGAATTAACCTCTGCCGCTGTTCCCTTCATATTGAATAAATTTTGCGACGGCCACTCCAGCAGAGCCGCGGGGGGAAAAGTACTGTAGATGTTGCCAAAATTACTGACAGCTTCTCTCGAGCCCATACTGCATAAACACACAGCAATAGTGATAAACAGCTCGGGCCTTTTTTTTCTGCTTGTTGCTGCTTCTTGTGCAACCTTTACCAAAATAAAAGGGCATGACATTTTTTTTACAGACAAGTCAGTTGACATGGGAGTGGGACGTTAAATAAGGAAGACTGAAGTTCACTGAATGGGACATCACTACATTGTCACAGTTTGTGACCTTTCCCATTTGCTCAGACAAGCAAGGGCTGCTCTTTGTCAAAATGGCTCACGCCGTTTGTAAGCGATTCCTCCCTTCCTGTTCCTCTTTTTTTCTTTTTTTTTTCATATCTGCCATCTGCGGTGACTGCGTGACGCCACAGCTTCTGTGTCATCAGTGACAACGTTCTCACACACACACAGGGACGAGACAAGAGAGATCTGGATAGGAAGAAAGGGGAGGGGGGTACAGAAAAGAGTGAGAAAAGAGAGCTTACTTCATCCTTTAATTGTGCCTCTGAATGTCCCGGTGGACTTCATTACCCAGGCATCCTAAGAAATCTCACTTGTTTGCTCTTGGAAACATGTAAAAAACGTTTGTAGTTCTTTTTAAGTCTGTGCAGCGGCATGAGGAGCTTCAGTTGGGCAAGTCTCAAAATTCTTCTGTAACAGAGATCGAGGCACATTTCAAACAGTTGAGCCAAGCATTTCTTTGTAGTAAGGAACTCTTGATGATTATATGTTAAGCTAATGCATCTGATGGATGCCCTAAGCCGGTCCCTTGGGCCCATATAATCTACAGGCAGCAGATTTGACGGGAATGCTAACTTATATTAAAAAAAAAAAAAAACATACTCACAACCTGGCCTGTGGTTTACTTCAACTCAAAACTAAGCACACAAATGAGTTCATGTTCATCATTATAGACTGACATGTTTACTTGTGTTAAATAAGCTAATTGTAATTATGCAGAGATTTCAAAAGGACCTGTATTCATATTTTACCCCAAATTGTTGTATTCAAATTTGTCAGATATTCTCATTTCCTCGATGGTCTCATTCATCAATTCATTATCAGCCGTGTTTTTGAAAATAACCCCTTTCTGTTGCAATTTACAGAAAATATCAGTGACACATTCAGCTTTTGTAGACCTTACCGGAGGATTGAAGGTAATTTTTGACTTCATTAAATCTGAGGACTAAAAAATCTACAGCATCTCTGCATAAAAACACAGCAGGCGAGGTGATTATCTTTGGAAATTAGCTCACTCATTTAGAGCTGTGTGGATGCAGATGCCTTCGTTCAATGGAAGCCTATTATTCCAAACGACTCTCATTAAGCTGTAGTGAAATAAGGCAAGCTGTGGAAGCAGTGAAATAAAATCTTTAGACTGGCTGTGCAGAACTCGGCAGCGGTGCGCTACGCTGTCTTCATTAAGAGCCCTGACGTCAGGAGTGAAAACGCAGAAAATGACACATGTAAAAAGGAAAATTGTATGCAGCTGATTTTCTACCTCTCATGCCCTATAGGAGGTTATTTTGTGTTTGTACTCCGAGCGGAGGGATCCGACAATACAGTTTGAGCTTAATGAGTGAGTTAATCTGACGCTGAGGAGTGTGAGTCACAGCTGATCTTTAATTTCTTTATTCTTATGAAGATCTGCTGATCAGAAGCTCTTTTAATAGGAAGCTACTTTCCTGATTAGTCAAACTGTATGTGTTCGCACTTAACCCGAATCATACTCTGCCACATGGAGTAGGGGAAATGTTATCCAAGTTTTTGCCATATGCTATCTAAATCTGCTCAAGTATCAAATAGGGAAACAAAAGTTAAGGAGTTAAAGCTCTTTTGTGTTTATTCTGGCAAAGTTTAACCTCATTTTGTTCCTGATTTGATCCTTTTTTTGACATTGCGATGACTCCTAAAGGTGGAAAAGACAGGCTGTTGTAAAGAGACACCTACCCGTCAGCTTTTAGAGATACTGCCACAAACTACATAAAAAATATTCCATCCTTACGCTGATGGTTTTGTGTTCTTATGAATGTCATATGGAGGTTTTAATCTTAAAAGTGTGTTAGCTTGTTTCTAAACCAGCTAAAAACTTCTCACTGGAGCCTTAAGTGCCAGTTTTGACAGCAGGAGCTAACCGCCTTTAATACTTACTGATAACAACATTGTCACAATCTGATATGATTAACTTTGGGTACATTTATCATTGTCAGACTTTTAATGTGTTATTATTATTATCCATGCAAATGTTTTGTGAAAAAGCCAAAGTTTACGCCTGCGTTACAAATCTACAGTCTGTTGACATGTTGACCTATTTACGTTGAAATCCGAGGCAGAGTGCATGTTCATCTGCAAAGGGAATCAGTGACGCTCACTTGCTAGGTCAAGGTTTGGCCAGCTTACAAAAATTTGCATAAGCTTTGCAACCGCAGTAGCTCAAATATTTGCATGTGCTAAACCTATAGAAACTGTTGGCAATGCAAACAAGCCACTTACTCTCACGAACTCTGAAGCTGAAGAGGATGTATTGATCTACTGTTCTGAGTATTCCTGGACCATATATAGATTTCCAAAATGACAGAATGAACCAAAGCTACATTACAGAGCACCATGGGGCCATGAAGCATCTGGGCATGTTTTTCCCAGCATCCATTTCGAGTGTTTAACACCAGGGGAGCTCAGTTAGAGGGCCAGGGTAGGAGGGGGGAGATTAGATGGAATCTTGTCAAACTACTGATAGGTCTCTCTGTTCCCTGTGGTGTCAACAACACAGCAGGTGGCCTTCATTTGCATGTCCCATGTTCTCACCTCCCTCGTCTCCCTCTCCAGTTTATTTATTACAACGGCCGCAGGTGGAAATCAGATGACTGTCAAATCACCGTGATGTCGGACAAGGCTCCACCACGACAACGTTTGCTCACAGACGAATACACAATCGCAGCAGACAGTGGTTTTATAGCGACAGTCGGTTTATTACGCCTCTATGATAACCTCCATCCAAAGATTCATGTACCACTTGGTCCTAAACATCAGTAGGCTGTATGAAGTGATGGAACGTACACATTAAAATTCGATCTCCTGCATCAGTAAATCCAGCTCCGGTCAGGACAGCTTCTATAAATCGCCGGCCATTATTTTCGATTAACCGCGCTGACACTGCGGCCTATGACATTTCTTCCAATTTTTAGCCTCCCTGTCACAGTGGCGCCATATTTTTCAGCACTGTTTCATTTAGATTGTCCCAAAGCATGATAACGCTGCAGCAGGAAAACCTCAGGACACAAACCACCAGGCGATCTTATTAGTGGCAGAGGCGTGATAACAGTAGCCGTCCACGTCCTCAGTTGGTATCTTGATCTTCAGGATCATCCTTTCCGGGGCCTAAAGTGCAGAGGCATCATAGTGGGTGCAACGGGGGCAAAGACTTGACAGTTTATCATCGATAAACTGGGGACGTTTAATTCCCTGCATCCCAAGTACAGCAAACAGAGACTCTATTGTATCAAAAATGGTTAACTTGTGATTTTAATATACTGAGGAAAAGCTGGGATCAAATTTGTACACAAGACATGAGACCTGAGCTCATTTGGGAAACAACCAGATCAAAGAACTAAAGCGTAAACCACATTGGCGAAAGCAATCTGACTGCTCGGCTCTGGCTTTGACAGAAACAAATTGTTGTCCACGCAGGAAAGTCCTTCTCTTAGTTCTTAATGAGTTTATTGGTAATCAATACTCCTTTCTCGTCCACTGGCATGTGACACTGAGGCCATGACCCAAGAGGGACCCCTTAGTCGGCGGAGTTGAGTGGGTCAGTGAGGATTGCAAGATGCCTGATCATGCTTAGACAGACGGGAATGCCTCAGATTCAGTCGAGGTGAGGGGAAATTAAAGAAGCTTAATCTCTGCACGTAAGCCGTCTCTGTAGCTTTAGCCTTGTTGCTAGGAATCATGTTTCTCTTCACGTCAAATAAGGTTACTAACATCCTTATTTCACTCTCTCTCTGCTGCAAACGCTAACTGATTTGGCTTGCGACCAATTCTCTTTGAAAGTAGTCCCCCCCCTAAAAGAGCTGGGTTTGCGTCCCTGTCAGATTCTGCACAAAACGCCTCTTTGGCTGCCAATCAAAACTTCTGAACCAGACCTCTCTCCCAGTGATTCTGTTTGCATCCTGCTGATTTCAGCACTTTTTTGCCAGCCTTTTTTTCAGTGAAGATGGGGCCTGGCCTCCCGGTGGGGGTCAGAAGAGTTGACCTTACCCTAGCGGGGCTCTCAGTCTGCCTGCAATGATTTTATTCAGGCCCACTCAGTAGAACAGCGGGGTGTGACCCGGGTCGGTGTGGCACTGCCAACACTGATTCCATTGTGAAATTTGGGGCTCTTTGAGAGGCGCTGATCAAGGGTGCCGGATGTTTTGGGTTCGCACAGCTGAGCCTCGCTATACTCTGAAGTCAAAGTCTGATGAAATTGGGTTTGTTTGTCTTTGCTGGAAACATGATTCAATGGAGCTGGCAGGGTGCAACAGAGCTTTACCACCAGCCCCTCCTTTAAAAAAAAAAGGCCTTTTTTTTAGTAATGCCCACGTCAAAGACAGAATACCTCATCCTCATTCAACAAATGCACCTTCCTGTTATCGTTTGACCTGATACAAAGCGGCAGCACCAAAGAGAAAGAGCACGGGATATCCAGCAAATGAAAAACAATTGGGCCAGGTGCCAGACTCAAGTCAAGCATGTGAGCTCAATAAAGCACACAGTATCGATTTGCCAGTTATTCATTATTTGTTTTGGATGTTGGAGAAAGTCTTTGGAAAATGATTTTGGTGTGCAGTTCAGACTGTGAAATAAATGGTTTGACAGATTATCAATGACCATAGAGTATGATAGTAAATGGCCTGGTATTGATTTATCTCCTAATGCCCCCCCTTCTCTTCTCATGAGCTGTTGTCCTTAAAGCAAGACCAAGCACTCCCCTGAGTATTGGATTTTTTTCCCACCCTGCTTTCAAATGTGAAAATGAGGATTTATTTTGTCCTGCTGCCTGAGTGATGCTCATAGGAGAGCATGGATTGGACGAGATAAATGGAGATGGAGAAAGGATATACATCACGCCGCTCTTAATATCTCCCGTGACAACAAACAGCCTTGCTGGTGGTAATACGCAAGCATCCAGACCCTCAAAATGCAAAAATGGCAGCTTTGTTTACTGCATTCAGAATAAATGGCCGAGGCCCCGCTGTCACTCACAGATGGCACTTCCTTTTGAGAAGGAAAAAAAAAAAAAAGAGAGAGAAGAAGCCGAGCCAGTGAATCGAAATAATGCGTTGGCATGGCGGCAGCCATTTTGCACAACCTCCGGAGGCGCTGATCGTCACAGAGAGGCGTTGGCATTGTCTTGGCAGCGGCCCGACCGCAGGCTCGGTGTAGTAACTGATAGCCAAGCTGGAGCTTGTCAGGCCTGACTCTTATCACTTTTGACATCTGTCCACGCCATCTCCCCTCTCTCGTCTGTTACCGGCCCCTGAACACTGACCTTGGGATCTTTTTCTGTGTAACTCGACGGCCTCAAACCTCCCTCCTCCTCCCTCCTCCCATGTCCTCATTTGGCACTGCTTCTGTGTGTTGTTTCAAGGCTATCATTTAGCCTTTCAGACCTTGCTTTGTGGTCAGACATGACTTGCAAACCGATGTTTAGGCTGCCTCATTTGGATTATTGCTCCTGCAAAATACTGAGGAGAAGTTGCCCATGTATTAATTGGTATAGTATCTTGTAAATGAGGGCGCAACAGAATTTTTATTTGAGTTTGATTTTTTTGAAACATGCTGTACTTCACACATAAATCCTCAAGAGACATTTTGCAAGAACAACAATTACAGATAATCATGTAAACCCTGTTTTAACGTGAAGTCGGTTTCTGTCTACAGATGGTACGAGTTGTTTTATTTTGCATCTTTCTGTGTTTGCGCCAACAAGACAAAGTGAAACGAAGAAAAAAAAAAAAAAAAGACAATCTGCCACCCACAGCCCAACGCTGACAGGCTGGCAGGAAATGTCTGACACAATGTGTTGTGAGGGGGCACCGCTGCTGTTGCTGCTGCCAGGGTGCTGTGTTGTTTCTGGAAAACTTTAAGAAAGGGTCAGTGTGGCAAACACATCCAGACACACACAGTATGGCTGCCCGTTACGGTTGACAGGAAAAAAAAAAAATGTGTTGATTTGTTTATACATGTGATCGGGGCTGAACTGTTGAGAGGCCTGTTTGAGGGAGTGAGTCAGGGAGGTCCTGTGATTTGGTGTGTTTGCAGTAAGCAGCTGAAATATTAAGAGAGCTAGTTTAACTCCCACGCTGCTTGCAATCACCGATCGTTTTAGCTGAATATTCTTTGCAACTGAGTCACCACTTTAATCAAAATTCTCAAATCGGTCGTACTTACAGCGGTACATTTCATTTCCCGGTGTTGCATTGCACATCTTTTTGCATTATGCTACTGTGACTCATCAGCAGCCCTCACCCCTTGGCCTCCCTTATGAGGTAATTAAGCCCCTGGTTGTTTGTTTAGCTGTCTGCATGTGTGTCCTGTATAAAACACAGGGGGGGCATATGTTCTTCCTACCATAAACCCATTGAAACAGCAGGACGTGAGTGGTGAGGAGGGGTCGACAGAGCCTCTGTGTGTGTGCGTGTGTGTGTTTGTGCTCTAATTAGGCAGGCAGGAGTGTATTAGCCTCACTGGGCAACAGCCAGCTGGGAGCATCTGGAGTCGTCTTTCATACTCACCAACTTCCCCCCGCTACACACATACACAAAATTAGAAAAGATATCTATGGAACAGAAGTGTGATAAGAGAGAGCGTAGGTCAGGCATGACGGGTCATATGCACAGCTATTTAAGTCCACCGCATTTTAAGCCACCCTCTCATCACAGAAGCCCCACCCCCGCCCCATGTGCCCGCCTGGGGTCCTTGTTTTAGAGGATCGGTGCCCCCTTGCACGTCTCTTTCGAGGATGGAATACCAACAGAAAAGAGAGGGGAGGACCTCGGCCATTCCTGACAGCTTCTGCACTCCGAAAGCTCTCCCAGGACTGAAAGAATTTAGTTTCAAAGCAGGGTCAGTCTAAAATAATCCTCCCAGCCGAGTGCAATCACTCTGATCTGTGTTTGTTTTAACAATCTCAGATGAAATGGCTGTTCTGGCTGCCTTTTTTACGGTTAGCATTTCATTATTTGACTCTTTTAAAACCACTTCTTCCATTTGGCTAAGTCTTAAAGTTCTGCAGTCCGCTCTGTGTAAACAATGACGATTTCTCCTGTTGATATCAGTGACATACCTCAGCTGCTTTCCAGCTCAAGTTCTCGCGCAGGTGAACTCTCACGCTGCACAAGATGCATCACTCCCAGTGAGTCGGGTTAATATTAAAAGAAATACTGCTACCACACTGTGTCGAGGAGAAAAACAAACAAAAAAAGCACCAGAACGAATGAGTTGGCAATCTCAGCATTTCTCCAGTACAGAGAGCTCCGTGAGCCAGCTGAAATACTGTTTCTTTTGTGCTATCGATTAGCTGGTTAGGCCATGAAAAGCCAGGGACAAGACAGCAACTGAGCTCTCTTCCTCTGGCTTACTGCTGCATGCTAGTAAATCTATTCTCTCACTTTTCCTTCTGTTACGCTCTCCCCCTTTTATGCGCCTTTTTCCCCCAATTTAGCCAAATCCTCTCCGTGCACTCTATTTGTCGCCCTCTTTCTCGTGCTATTCTTGTGTATTTTACTATTCCACTCGTAGAGAAAGAGTCCCGGCGAGCCGCGCGCAGAGTAAGATCACAGGAGCCCAGCTGTTCGCAGTCAAGGGCCGCTTCTTTTATTAGCCGTCACTAGGCCGACCTGTGAGAGCAGCGAGAGGGGAGAAAGAGTGGGTGGCAGGAGGAGGAGGAGGAGAGCGAGGGCAGCAGGGGGCACAGATTTCCCAGCTGTTAGTCCACAAGCTCTGCCCCCTTGTCAGAGATTAGGTAGGTAGATCAGCGGGAATGTGGGGTTGTACACGGAGGCGAGACATGACAGCTGACAGAGAAGGGGTTGAGATTGGAGGAAGATGGTTGTTTCAGACAGGCTCAAAAGCTCTTAAAGTTTTCTGTGGCTGAGGACTGTAAAGTTTTGCGCACTACCCCACAGGAATGTACATCGGGATAAGGCTGAGCCATGCCTTAATACTCCTACAAATCCCCTTCTCTTGCCTCCCTTTTATTTTTCCCTACCATCTCACAAACCCATGCCGCCTTGCAGTCTGTAGAGGACTGTTTTACTAGTGAGCGCCTTGTCTAGAGGGACACAAAGGACTTGAGTGTAAAATTATATCTCCAGCTATATAACCAGCCCTCCATTGTGCCATTTTTATGATATTATTTTCATTAAGACTGCAGGGATGGGTTTTCTGTCTTTGTTGTGCCTTACACTCTCTATCTGCCTCATTTCTAACCACAATGGAAAATAAACCACTCAAAACAAGTGGCAATGATGAGAGAAGCACAAAGTGCTCCCATTTTGTGTGATTAAATTTACTGTGACATGTAAGCATGCTTTGTTTTGCCAAAAACATGTTGCTTTGGGAACCCGGAAACTTCTGGAAAAAATGTGGCCAGCATGAGGGCGATCAGAGGGCTTGACTCGAGATTTGAGAAAGGGTCTTTGGGAAGTTCTTTCTGCTCCTGAAGTGCTTGAGATGTCAGCGTTGTATTTGCATATTTATGAGGAATGGGTGTCACAGTGATTAAGTTAACTGGAAGCCGGTTCTGCAGACTGCGGATAATGAAATCATATAAAATGTGAAAGTCAAAGGACATTTGCTTTAAAACTATGGCTCAACCTCGTGGCACAGTTCTGTTAAGAATGCAGTACTGGCTTGGGAGACAAACATTTGTTTATTTATGTGGACCCCAATTCCCAAAAAAAGTCCCTGTGTAAAATGTTTAAACAGTTTGTAAACTATTTAAACCCAAATTATTAATTGAGAGCTGTGTCAAGTGTCGTAACCACAAACTTTTGTTTTAACCACTTTCAGAAAAGTTGGGACAGGGACAAAAAAACACTTAAAAAGTTCTGTACTGTAAAAATAACAGGAGGGTATCAAAGGAAGCAAATAGTTCAGCAATTTCAGAAATATGTTATTCAGCATCAATCTGCAAATTTAGGGTATTTATCATCCACAGTTCATAATGTAAAAAAATCAGAGAATCTGGATGAATCTCTGTACAAAAGTGACAAGGGCTGAAGGCCAACACGAGATGGCCATGACCTTTGGGGCCCCAGGTGGTACGCTGCACACAACTCAGTGGTTTAAATCACTGCATGAACTCAAAATCACTTTCAAAAACCACAGTCTGGAAACATTTTTTTTTTCTACAGCTAAAAATGTGAAAAGGAAACAACATTTGAACATGCTCTTGAAATGCTTTAATATTCTTTTGAACTCACGGATGCTGTGTCCTCTTATGTAAAGAGAAGTGGGACCACACAGGTTGTTATTAACTAGGAGCTCAAAATAAAGTCAGTTTCTGGGATGGTATGGCATACACATGTAGGAGGGCAGACAATGCACTTTTTATTCAACAACGGTTTACATATTTAGTTGACTATGAATATCTGTTTTATCAACATTTTACACATTCTTACAACCATTGGGACTTGAGGTTGTAGTTTTTTTATAAATATTCTCAAAAAAAAAGACTCTAACTTGGGCGTTGGGATTACTTTTATGTAAATACCAAAATTCAAATTACAGTTTGTTTTCAGAAAACAGCCAAAGCAAAAAGGAAGGAAAAAACACAGCTTCAGCAAGGCTATTTTTTCCCCTGAGATATCTAAGTTGACTTTAATAAACATGGAACCAATCTGGACTTCATTATGAAGCGCTTGAGACCAACGTAGCTCACTGGCCCAGACAGGTAATTAGAGTTCACACTGAGACCTACCTCTAAAATACAGTCATTATCCCAGGCAAAAATACAACCTTTCCAGGTCACATCACTTTGTTTGCAGCAGTAAAACAAGTTTATTTCTGCATTGAGCCACCATTATAGTACCCCCAGTCCGCACGCCAGTCTTTTATAGAGCACCAAGTGACTGGGGGCGACAGAGAGATCCAATAAAAAAAGTGGCAGCACAATTGGCTTACCACAAAGTTACCTTGTGAGCATGACAATTTGGAGTGGAATTTGTGCTCCATTATGGAATAATTTTATATACGCAGTGTAGGCAATGCATGTAGAGCACAGTTTTCACGACCCTAGTTTAACAAGCGCCTCCTGAATGAAGCTCCAAATGAAGGCACCAAATACTTTATGGCCCCCTTAAGAGCTAATCAGCTTTCTTGCAATGAAACCCTCGAGTTATATCGGCCCTTCTCACACAATAGCCCCAGAGTACGCCAGTTGTTGTGCTCAGAGGTCTTGACAGAAATAAAATTCATCCCGTCGCTGTCTTTGTGTTTACTTAAAGCAGACGGGGGGCGTATAAGCAATAATCTGAGAGGAGAAAATTTTTATTTTTTTTAGCAATTGTGGTCCAGACTGTGGACAGAAGTTCCTCAGAAAAAGAAGTAAAATTTCCCCTGGACAAAAAAATAATAAAATAATGCCCTTGGATTGTGAGATCAGCCGTGAATTTTCAATCAAGCTCAGCTTTCCTCCTGTGAGACTTCTGAATCAGCACAACATCTCGTAAATATGATGTCGAACCACTTTTCAGGGACACAGTGTGCAGAGCTCCATCGGGTTGGATCTGTTTGCTTATGAAAATGCACGACTAAGATGAATATACTTGTTTTTGCCAGAGTTTTGTTCAGATTAAATTAATACAATGCTTTATTTGGTGGAGAGAGCGACCGTTGGATGACTGATAAAAAAAACGTAATGAATCAAGTTTCTGATGAACATTTAAAGTGTAGACAATATAAATTTCCATATATCCAGAAAGGGAACAGAATGTTACTTTAGCATTGTGTGACTTCATGCTGACTCACTTTAAACGTTAACATTTCCAAGCTTTTGGACCTTTTAGACCAAATCCAATGAAGTGCTCCCCCTCGTTTTTTTCCAAGAGCCCCCACTTGAACAAGGATACGTGGGAGGATCCCGCTCAAAAACTCTGACTTTCAGCATGCCGAGACCCAGGCCTGTGCTTTCAACGGCTCTACACTTCATCAAAACGCAGGAGCGAGGGAGTCGAGGAAGGGGAGGATGACCCTACTCCCATTTATACAACACTACTGCCACCATTGCCCAATTTATCACACGTAATTTCCTCAGCTCTTGACCTCTCACCCCTCTCTTGGGCCGTGTTTGTATTGAGGGCAACGTGCCACTGTCTGAACTGTCTGTCTAAAAGCCTCCCTTGAGGGACACAGCGGTGTTTGCAGGGAAAATCTGCTGCTTAAGCCACTGATGGTGAATCCCACCCTTGTGCCCAGCATGTGTCTCTGTCACTGTGTATATGTCTATCACTGTCTCCTCAGCCCTCCGGTGTTTTATGCATGCTGCTCATTAGCAAGACAATGGCCACTTAGGATGAAATGCCATTCAGGGCAATATGTCAGCAATCCCTTGAGATGGAAAAAGGAAGGAGGGCAGCAGAAAGTGGTGTGCTTAGAAAGACAAAGAGAGCAGAAAAGGGGGTAAATGTAAAGCGATGGCGTGGACAGCTTGGGGGAGGGATTTTGTATGCTTTTTACTGCGACGCACCTGGAATAACGAATCAGTATGACCTCAATTTGACCAAACAACCAGCCTTATCCAGCAGTCAAATTACAAGCAAGCCCAATGAGTCAGAATGCCCTGACCTCTTGTGCTTGCTAGACCCGGTAGAACAAGGCAGTCATTGCCATAGCTCCCTGCATGCACCAGCCGCACTGCTGCAGCCCCTAACTGAGGCACGAGCTCCATCCAGCGTATGCTGCCTCTCCTCCCCTTACATCACCGCGTCTGGAGGCGGAAGGTGGGGAGGGGTACAAGATTAATGATGGTGCTAACCGCGTATTTATCATCCGGCTGGAGAGTAATGCGACACCTTTCTAATCTGAATATATTTCATTGGGCTGTTATGGCACTCAGCCCTGGGCCCCATGCATTTATGTGTGCGGATGTGTGTGTAGCTGCAACTCCGTGCGTCACTGGAAGTGTATTTGAATGTTAATCATATCTGCATAAGTTTGTGCATGAGCATGCGTGAGCTTGTAAAGGCATGAGCTGTGATACCAACCAGCCAGCCGCCGTAGACGCCCGCACTATCTACCCTGGCAAAAACAGCCCTGTGGTAATTAGATAAAGATGAAGTTCCTCTCTCCAGCATGTTGGGGCCATGTGCCTCCAGATCCTCTTCTCTGATTCTCAGCTGCCTTATCAAGTAAAACCCTTCTTCCAGCCTCCTCCTCCTCCATCTCTTGGTCTCATTCTCTGGCTACTTCTTTTTGGCACTCAGCAGAAATCAAGATGGATGTCTCCCCCAACAGTGATTGGAAGATAGGGAATGCACAAGGCCAAGATGGGGCCTGATAGGGTCCGCGCATTGGACCGGCCGTTAGATTGGTTCCACTGTCACTGGGGCTGCCAGAACTATCGAGGAACTCTGAAGAAGAAACTATCTTGTTTGGATGAAATTGCACCCGTGGGTGTTTTCAGATGGGGAGCTAACGAACAAACTGATTTGGTTGTTTGTCCATGCTTGGGCATGCACAGGACCACACAAGTGCTGGGTAAGACGCCAGCCGCTTTTCCTCTATCTCTACAGTCAGGTGTCATGTGTTGAATACAGGGTGAAAACGTGCTCTTGTGCACTTATACAAATCTGTAGAGATAGTGTGTGGGAAAAGGATTTGCAAAATTCAGTGACAAGACACTTAAAAAATCCAATCTCATCTATAATTAATATCTTAGTCCATAACTAGTTACAGCCACTCACGAGTACAACTTAATCCTCAGCACAGTCTTTGTGCATGAATCTCCTCTGAGCATCAAGCAGATAGGCTTATATTCCAGTCTACGGTGACAGCAGTGGCGAGGCCATCTAAATGTTATGCTGGCAGGGAGCGGCACGTGTGCAGGCTTTCTCGCTCAAAGAGGTTTTCTCTCGGAGATTATGTGTCTTGCTTTCTTGTGTTCCCTTTGCCAATCTGCCATTTTCGCAAGCGAATATACTTCAGACGCTGAAGCTTATTGTGCACCTTATTGTTCAAGTTCATTCCACGGCTGAAAAGGGAGAGGAGTAGGATGACGTTTTTTTCTTTTTTTTTCCGAGTGGGAGATTTGGATAATTTGTTCTTCCCACTGACTAACTTATACACTTATTCATGCTTGCGGTATACAACTCTCTCATGAAATCAGATGCTTTCACAAAAGGAAAGTCAACCAGAATAGCTGAAGGTTTCCACATGATGGTTGATTAAATTGTTGTTTTTGTTCTGTGAGTTTCATTTGTTGGGACTACTCTTGTTTGAGATAGCAAAGCAAAAGTAGCTTGGATCCCACATTTCTATGAAAACATTTCAACAAGATACAAGGAGACTGCAGTTTCCTGATGCCTTTTCATTAGCTCCACATAAATAACACGGGCACAGACATTCGATTCACTATTGAGTTTGTCATCCTGGATGGCTCAGGGACAGATTTCTCACCTGTCTTGTACGGGATCCAGGTTCATTTCCTTGCTCGTGCAGGAACCTTTTCAACCTCAATCATGTCAAGGAAGAATAATAGGTCTGGTGCAGCAGCAGCAGCAGCACTGACTGACTCATGATGTTTCAGTGTCATCATAGCCCTGAGCGTCCCTGGCCAGACTTCAGCGCCACTCCCCGCCATCGTGCTCATATGATTCCCCAGAGGGTGGGACAGTTTATCTGTAGCAGTTAGCAGCTGGTGTCTGCCCCAAAGTCTCCAATAGCCCCCAGCTAGCATTTGCCACTTCAGATGCTAGTCATTTTGCAAACAAGTCAATCATGCGCGAGGCAACTGCCAGCAACTTGCCAACGTCCCCAGTGATCCCGGATATAGAGACGAGAGGGCAAAGAGGAGGCACTGCCTGCCGGGTCATGGAAATCAGGTCAAATTGGTCGTAAGCAAACTATTTGGGTCTAGTGTTCTGCTCGGATGATTGGCGCTGTTGAGATTGTTTGTAATGAGAAAAGATCAGAGGCCTTTGGTGTCATCCAAAGTCCATTTCTGTTCATTGTTTTTAGCCCCAAATAGCCCAGTGTAGTGGATTTCATAACTAATTTTAGAATAATGATTTGAGCTGAGAATTTTTCTCCAATGTTCCAACGGCGGAAATATGTGACTAAACACGCCAAGAGCCAGTTATACAACCGTGTCATGGATTTGCACAGGCATTTTTAGCAACCACGAGACATAAAATGCACTTTACTGGTGGTACATTTTGTCTCAGTGGCTTTGAAGCTGTTAAATACTGCACAAAATCACAGCTCCTTCTCAAGTAAATTACAGTATTTCTTTTTCCAAACCATCCGAGCTCTACATCAATATCAGTGGTATACATCTAAATGAATGATTATTTTATGCTAGCTTCTGTCAGGGTGATAAAACATCCATCCTCTTGTATCACATCTCATGTCTGGAAAAAAAAAAAAACAGCTTGAGATGTGGCACCGCTAACCTATGGGACAATGTGTTACAATGAAAGCAGGAGTTTGATGGCTGACAGTGTTAGTAGCATCATCTCACTGTCTGTCTTCCTTCATTGTGGTAGTGGGAACTTAACAGTAATGTCTGCATGCAAATTTACCTGCGACTGGATTCAATTAGATTCACAGAGATGGGAGGTGTTAAAGGTTCGCTGTGTTTTTCTTTTATCTGGTAGCTGAGCCCAGTACTGTTAAATGTTCTCCTTCAGTTTGCAAAATGAGTTGTCCGGGATTGACAGTTTTGCACAAAAATAGCTGTAAGAAGAACCGCAGACAAGTTTAGATTTGTATTAACATAATTACTCTAAATGTCTTAAGCATCTGTTTATGGTAAGCTGATAGAAAAAATAGGACAATTTGCATTAGAATAAGAACAATCAGTGCCAAAGAGTGAGAAATTAAGCAGCAGAATGTCCATACAGCTAGAGATCAAACAGTTACATGATCATATTATAACTCTGAATAGTTTTAGACAGCGAGAAACTTTACATTTCTTGTTAATGGCTGTCCAGTTACCAGGAGAGATAAGAAAAAACAGCGAGGGAAGCTGAGAAAAAAAGAGACCTCAGCCAAATTGAAGGAAACAGATATGAAGAAAACCACAAATGGCAACATGGAATAGGCTTTGGCAGAATTAATGGACTGGCTGAGTGAAAAGAAAAAAAAAATCGAGTTTAATGTTTATTAGTCCTAGAAGTAGGCTTAAAAGAGTACCACTGCTTTGGAAGTGATACCAACTGATGAATCTGAGTGACAATCTTTGTAAGCAGTGAAAATGAGCCGTTTTCTAAATCAAGTTTATCATCTTCACATCGACACTTAGCATCAACGCGTTTGTATCTTTGGTTTTTAATGAGCAGGATGATGGTGATCAGGTGAGAATTCAAAACCCTGACGAAAAGCTGGACCTGATACAAGTAAAACAGTTTTATTAAACCTTTGTCTGACTGAGATTTCCAACAAGTGATTGCTGTTGGCTGTCCTAAAATCAAGCAAAATCCTTATTTATTTAGTTTTCATTATTTATTTATTTAGATTTCCTTGCAGAATCAAGTGCCACACAGTCCAAAGTGCAATGTAAACAAAATCATGTCTATGAGACATCCCTGCTAAGAGGATAACCCTTGAAATCAAGGTTACACATGCATACACGCATGCATGCACAGTCAAATATGCTTCCTCCCTGTAGTGCCCTCCTTGGCAAAATCTCAGTGCCAGTCTCTTAATGAAATGCTCAATTAGGATCTTTAAATAGGTAATTATGCAGTGCCTAATCCCTTAGCTCCTGGGCCCTATCTCATTTAGATGACACTTGGGCAGGCGGAATGGGAGGGGCAGGCACCGGGGCCTTAGTTTCTGTCATCAAAGCCCCTCTGTGGTGGCACAGGCGGCCCTGTTAATGATAAGGCACATCCAGGCAGTCAGTCAACAGCGACTCCCAGTGAGGGCCGCTGACAGCACGGGAGATGGCGATGTCAGGCCTGACAGTGTCTTAATCATGTTTGTGAGTGTTCGGGGGTGGGTTATGTTGAGTCGGGGGGCGCGTATAAAGGTTTCTAAGAGGTTGTTAAAAGTACAGCGAGAGCAGCAAAGACTATTTGTCTGATGTGGGCTGTTTGTGCGTGTTTTACTGGCAATTTCCAAAGTTAATTTTATAAGAAACAAAGATAGAGAGGAAGAGAAAATCACTTCCAAATGTCAAACTGTGTCTTTTTGCCTGATGCCAAGTAAAGACAGAGCGGTTTTGATTTCTTCGACTGACATTTGTTTGAAGGTGGCATTTGATTTGAATTTCAATCTCCAGACTGTGGTTGAAGAAAGAGACCTTTTCATTCATTTTCAGCAGCATAATAAAACGTCTTGTTTTAGCGCCACAATATCGCAGCACTGACGGGGTAACTGCTCTTGTTTGGTCGCTTACGCAGCTATGGCAGGCATTTGTCTTCGTGAAACGACAAAGGGGGAATTGTTGCTTTTGCCTAGGGGTGAACCATTGCTTTCCCTCGACAGAATTGCACAAGCAGCCCCGCACTGCCTTTCATGAGAACAATAGCTTAGCTTGGCTAAAACACCTTTCAAGGGCATCCAAGAACTGAAAAAAAAGTTTAGCTTTGCAAATCTATTAATCAGCAGGGCCCACATCAAAGCGCTCAGCAGACTTTAGTAAGAATACTTGAGGCTTTAAAATATTGAAACAGCTTTCTGAAGTGCTGTTCAACCCCCATCCTGGATGTCCTTTGACAGTCTTATCAGGATATAGATGGAAAAGCAGAAACAACACAATTTCACCTCCAATCGTACATTCAGCAAAAACAGCTCATATCTGTGATAATATTTTTTGTCCCAGTGCCCTCCCTGTTGGCACTGATGTATTTTCATGCAAACAGCTTTGATAAGCAGCCGGTTCTAATGCTGCCTGTCTATTCCTGCAGCTGTTGACCCAGGCTTTCTTATCAACTTTCAGGCAAAGCAAAAAAAAAAAAACCACCAAAGCCCAAACTACACCAGGAGTCTGGACTCTTACAGAGAAACACATATGCGTTAATCAGAGCCTGTGTATATTCAGCTGAAGAAGCCTAAACCTCTAAGAAACTCACAGCACAGTCACATGTTGAGATCACTTAATAAAACATCGACCACATCACCCCAGGTAAAAGACAGAATACAGTTTGCTCGGCTAATTGAAGGGAAATTTACCCGCCGTCGCCTTAGTTCACTCCCATAATGTGGCGTTACATCTTAGCTCGGGCTATATTGAGGCAAATTAGCATTTAGATAATGGGAGACACTTGGCATTTTAATTATTTTGCTGCCCTATGAGTGTAGCGTGTATGCCCCCAGCGCCTCCTTACATCCTTCATGTGCGCCTAAGTAGTGCATTTACATACCAAACGGCTTGGCTTGTGTACCAAAGGCACAGAAATGTCATGATTGTACCTTCAATTGTTTCGAAAAGATAAGGAGGCTTATTGTCGTCGGCTTTTGCAGTGTCATGTATCAGGTCACAATACTCGGTTCTGTTCTGATGCTGATGAGCAGCACTGGATTGACGTTTCTGTCTCCTCCAGTGCTTTACCATCAAACAACACAAGCTCAGGCTGGGAACAACCCTCCTCTACCTCCTTCCTCTCTCTCGTTTTCTCTGCCTCTCGGAAGTGAGATTATTCCTCCTCCTACAGACCGATGCCGTGTTGGGGGTAGATGTCGAAGTGCCAGGAGCATGTGGTGCAAAGGGTGTGCACACTTGTATGTGTTTATTTGTGTACACATGAATGCTGGAGTTTACACTTGTGAGCGCTTGTGTGTAGGTGTGTTTTCATGCTGGATTTCTGCGATTGGACGTGGACTTGAGCGGAGAAGTCGGTGCTGTTGAGTGTAAGGTGACTCCATGTGTGGCATGTTTTATTTTATTTTTTTTACCTGCTGTCGTCAACTATCACCCCCCCCCCACCTCCCACCCTTATTTTTCTCTATCAATCCCTTATTCGTCAGCAGACGGAGCATAAGAGAAGCTGGCACACTCCCTCGCGTCCTTCCCTTCTCCAGCCTACAGCACCCTCTCCCTCTTTCTCTCCTTCTTCCTTCCTCTCTCTCCCTCACCACCTCTCTGCCTCGTTGCTCCCCTTATCCATTATATTTCCACCCCTCTTCTCCGCCCTCCACATACCCCCCTCCCTCTTTTCTTTCCTGGTTCATAATATGTAACATGATTTTGCCCTCCCTTGTTCATGCGGCATAAATTCAATCCCTGCTGCTACTGCTGTGTCTACCATTTTTCTCATTTTCACCCCTATCCTGCCACACTCTCTGCTCCGGAACAATAGACCCCTCAAGATCCAGCATGTTTGCACGATAAAAAAAAAAAAAAGTTCTTCCCCTATCTAAACCTCGGGTCAAGCACTAGACAAGTGGCGCACGCCCACACGGTGACAAGCAAACAGAGCACAAGAGAAGGCCTCCAACATGCAGGCATGTATTTGAATAGTTTACACAGCTAACACGCCAACCTGAAGGTTCTATCTGCCGCCCATTGAAAAGACATTAGTTTTATCCATCGGAGTTCAATAGTGTGTTTACGAGTGTCATCAAGGTTAAAGGAGGTGACCCCAGCATGCACACAAAGATGAAATATGTTTCTTTTCTCCTTTTTTTCCCCTCTCGGTGTCCCTAAAGCTTGCCCACTAGCTCTGTAACCTTGTGTGTGTGCGCGCAGGCTGTGTGTTGCTTTGCTTTCGGAGAGCAGAACAACAAGGCACAGGGATAATCAGTCACTAGACTGCAGGTCAGGGTCTTGCACTGTGGGGACCATCCATCTGAACCTAGCAGCTGCTGGGAAAAAAGTGGCAGGAGGAATGAGCCGGGAGAAAAGGATAGGTGAAGAGAAAAAGAGAGAGAGAAAGAGGGAGAGAGAGAGAGAAAGTGGCGAGGTAAACCAGGTAGAGAGGAAAGTCAAGGAGAGGCTGTTGAGAACAAAAAGAGGACACGCACATACACACACAGGCAGAACGAGTGGGAGGAAAGGGGGAGTGTTTGTGAGCCGAAGCTACGTGGTCATTTGAGTTACCAAAGTGGATGCTCAAGGTTGCGTTGGGTGGGCTGAATTCTCATGAGGACACAACCTTGCTCTTTGCACCCAAACAAGGTAACAGTTTACAAATTGCAACAGTGTCTCCATCCTCTCCTTGACCTGTGATTTTCCCACACAACTTATTTTCATGTGGTGTTTTTCTGCTCCGTGACGATGTGTAACCTCTACATTTTAGAAAGCCATCACAGGAAAAAGCTCACAATTATTTGTTGGTTAATAAAAATGTGAGAGTTCAAGGTGTGCGTCTGTTGTGCCACAGTGTCTGCACTGTGACATTTCAACATTTAGATGAATCTGCAGACAAAAACAGGGGGATCTGCTTTGAGATCCTGTGGTGTGAGTTTGCCGTGGACACACAGCTGAGATGGAACAGCGATAGCTTCCTTGTCCAACAGGCGCAGCAGGTGCTTTTAAAGCAATTATTAGACAGACAAATGTCATCGAAGCCAATTAGCTTCCTGCTGGGCTTTTCGTGTTGGGTGATCCATTCATAAGAAAACAAGACATATCCATCGGTAAGAGCACTGGCAGCCTTTCCTTGTCAAAAATTTAGTCAGGCTCACAGGCAGAGCTGTAAAAAACCCCGACTTCCTCAGACAGAAAGTCTGCTGCACCACCCAAAGGATGGTTTATGACCGTGGGAGGCTTGTTGGAGGGAGGTCAGGGGAGGCGAAAAGGAAGGGGGGGAGAAAAAAGAAAATAAATAAGTATTGCAAATAAACTCCTCTGATGTGTGGTTGTCAGGGTCTTTCATGTGGAGGCTGCACTTGAGGGCATAGCTTAGCTTAGCTTGAGGGATGTTATTACACATGCCGGCTGATCGGGAGCGATGTGTGAGAAACGGCCTTGTCACTCGGTCTTAAATCACACCATCGCGGGCGGAAGAAAGTAGTAGTGGGAGAAAAAATCAGAGGAGAAAACAGAGGGGAGAGACAAAAACCAAAAGGAAGAGTGTAAAGGACTTCTTATAAGGGGCTTCAAGCTGTGCAGAAAGACCGGCAGACTTCATTCGGTGGCGTTAAAGCAAGGACAAAAGAAAGAAAGATAAAAGGTGGCTGCAGCCTGCATGTGAAACACATTGTGACTTCACCCAAACTTAACCCCTCTGATGAGGAAGTGGGGATTGGCGGAGGAAATGGTTGCGTGTAGCTTTTGCCTTTGATGAGCTTATTTTATAAATCTGGTCATATGATGTTTGAAACACCCTGAGGGCACAGCAAGTGGGTGCCTGTCACAGGCAGCTAAGTTTGAATGTAAGCAAATCTGTTGAAGAAAAGGGAAATGGTAGCTCACAGTCAACAGAGCCGGTTTTGACCTAAAGGGTCGAGATTAAAGCAACATTTACTTCTGAAGCTGTGAAACTGTATACATTTTTTATTACGTGCTGCTGAGTCATCTATTCAAAACAGATTGATGCAACTATAAAGACAGAGGCAAGGGTGAAAACGGAGGCGCGAATACTGACATAGTTTGTAGAAATAGAGGAAAAACATGGCTGTGTCTGTCTCATTTATTCAAAAAATTTCTTTAGATTTCAGCTTCATCTTAACTTTGATGGATCAGGGCTTCTTGTTATAAAACATAGTTCTCAGGGACAGCAAAAAGACATATGTTCTACATTTAAAATGTGCAAAAACATCAAGATACACAGCTATTTATTCCTGCTTGTACTGTCTTAACTGCTTGTATAAGTTGTGTATTTACATCTGTAAATATTTTTTACTCAGAGCTATTTAATAAGATAAGTTTTATTCACTTCTAATCCAATGTCAAGTAATTGTTTGCGATGTAGCAGAGATATATTATTTAGAAACAGAATCAGGTTTATTGGCTAGAGGGTTTACACCAGAGATGAAGCTAATTGCAAATCCATTGTTAATGTGGTATGAGTACACTCACAAAACACATCAGAATAAGTCTGATTATATTGAAACAAACATGTAAAAGAACTTCATGAAAGTGTACAACAATGATTCATTTTAATCAGTTACAATATTGTCATGAAAGACTTGTCTTTCCTTCTTGAGGACACAATGATAAAAAAAAATAGAGAAGAAAATGCAAGAATTGTTTGGGTAACACTATATGAGTACATGTAGTTTTCACTTTCTTACATGACTGATATGAAATCTAACTTTTTTTTTTCTCACTGGTTAATTTCTTTTCATGTTTAAAACAAAAGTGGTCAAATATGTGCAGAAAGATTTGGCAGTGATCAAAACAGAGACTGGCAAATTAATGGATTTAATTTCTAGTAGCAGTATAGAGAAGAAAAAAAGAGGTTTTAATGTTTTTATCACAGACATGTTGGCAATGACTTTAGTCTTTTTTGTGGAGTTTTTCCAAAAACACACACACACACGGGCGGGTTCAAACCAATGTAGTTTAGCTGTTAAATGGATTTTTAAGGTGGTGGGATATTTATCTGTGATACCTGGGCTGTCTTTGAGAGCATCAGTGGAAGAGAGAGAGAGAGAGAGACTCCACTCCCCTTCTCTGTCCCTGAATATCTTTGTAGTTTTAAAGTGTGTGTGCGTGTGTGTGTGTGTGTCTCCGAGTGTGTGTATGGGTAATTACTGCATTCTTTGACGCTGCCAGTCTGGAGGGAAATAGAAAGTCCTGCCTCATAAAAAACGAAACAAAGTCTCATTCGCTGTGCCTGGCTGGCCATGATACTGGGCAACTTTTTTATAACACAATGCAGTATGGATCACATCCTCAGTACTCTTGTGGCGCGTCGTCCTTGCATGTGTCAGGCTAATTACAGAGGGATTGGCCTTAATAGATTTGGTGGCATTTTTGTGGCTGCTTTGGTCTGTGAGGATAACACACCATGAATGCGCTATTTCCTTGAAGTTCAATTGAGTTTGTGCTCAAGTCTGAAATTAAAAACACCCCGGTTTTGAAAAATTCCCTGGAGCCGTTCGAAGTGAAATTAGTCAACTGGCACAAAGGATCGGCATAATGTGGCGCAACTGCTCAGCTCAAACCGATGATGGATTCGTTGAAAATGGCATGATCAGGAGTAATCTCATGTCAGTGTTCATTTTCGGCTGGTTTGGACTCGCTTCGCGGGGAACACACAGAGACTGAATTGGCGTGAAGCTGCTGATGTGAACCTGTTACTTTGGAGAGCTCATAACTTTTCTGCCTGTGTTCACTCTCATAACAAGTTTACTGCAGCGTGGCTGGAATATAAGATAAATACGGCTGATTCTTTTGTTTTTTTCTCCCCCTTTAATAATATTGCTCGTCTAAATAGAGCAGAACACCACACACGCAGGCGGGCTGGAATGAGAAAAAAAGAGACCAGCCATTATGGAGAATATAAACATCCCACCCTCCTTCTCTTTCACATGTCTGATAAGGATCATGAGGAAGGAGAGAGAGTAGACAGCTCAACAGCCCCTTTCTTTTTTCTCACCCCCTCCTCCCCTTTTCTAATTAACATTGTGCATGTTGTCAGGCTTTGTTTAATAATGCATGATTGCTATCAGCAGCAAAATCCTTTGAATGAAGCACCACTGAATGGAAACACAATAATACCACCAGGGGCTCAGGAAGAAAGACAAGATTTTTTTTTTGCAGGCTCTATTGTAATAAATGTTCAATGGGAAGCATCAGTGCCACCAAATGTATGAAAGTGAAGGTGCAGAGTGCAACACAAAGCGGCCATGTTGTGGATAAAACTGGCACAGGTGGTGCGTCTTCTCATAAAATGCTCTTTTACTCGCGTGCATGAAATCAGAAATCTATGGAGGACTGTTTTCATCCAACAAGAGCTACTGTCCGACTGTGATACAACCTTTTGCCCTCAGTCTGGTCTAGCAGGTGGCTCCTGCTCTTCCAGCACGATCATCTCCAATAAGACTCTTTGTAAGATTCAACTCCACGAATCTGCGGCGGAAATAATTACTTTGGTTTTTGGTTCAAATCGAGGTTTTTCTGTGGGTGTGTTCTCGCTGTGCTTACATTAGCTTCTCCTTGTATTTACTCACATCGCACAGCCTCTTGGTTGTCCCACCGGTGGTTATACAACATACAGATGGTTTTGTTTGCCTCTATGAGTGAGTGTGTGTAAATGTAAATGGGTGTGTGCGTACAGGGTGTGAAAAGAGAAGGGGAGGGCTGCTGAGTATCATTTTTTGCACGCCGCCTAATGTCATGTCATTATGGAAATTCACACATTAATTAACTCCAAGGCTATCACTTAGATATGTTGGGAGGGGGAGGTGGGGGGCAGATGTGTAAAGCAATAAGCTGAAGAGACAAACAGCTGTACCTGCACTGTGTGTATGGATCACACTGCAGATTTATCCCATCATGCTCTGCTCAGGTTTTTCAGTCCACTTGATTCTAATCAAATCCACAGTTGGTACAAACGCTACTCATGTGAAAATTCTGTCTAGTGTGCTCCAATGTATGTATATGCATACGCATTTGTGTTTGTGTGTCAGTGGCGGTGTGAGCGGGGGATGAGATTGCCTCAAATTGATTCCCTTCGCCACACGTCCCCCGCTCTTGCGCTCGCTGCTAGCCCTGCGGCGCTCAGAGACAGGTAGTCGTGTCTATCTCCCCCCGACACAAATCGAGTGTGACAGGTGCGCTATCTTCCCGTCTTTTCTGCCATTTACAGCCCACAGAAATGAAAGAGGGAGAGCTGGGAGCGAGAAAGAGGGTGATTGGTAACAGGGAAATGAGGTACTTTGTCATCATCGGGCCTGCTGATTGGGCTTAGGAGGGCTTGTTTTTTCTTTTTTTTCTCTTAGTGGGTGGCGGTCAAATGTGCACACAAACCAGTACAATATTATTTCTAGCAACAGCATCTGTATGCACAGTTGCAGCATATTAAAACTGCAGAATCCCCATAACTATGAGAGATATCGCATGCGCTGTGTGTTTGATCTTCTGGTACAGAAAGTGCCTGAAATGTCACGGCAACACAGACCGTGCCTCTGCCTCTGCCAGCTGAAACAACAGCGCTCTGCGAAAACAATCCAGGCAGATGAGCTAGCATGCTAACCGTCGGTGCAGCGTGTCATCAAAGCTCACACACTTGGATTAGCCGGGAGCTGCGTTGCGAGCTGAAGACTACCGCAGAGCATCCATCACTGAGGATCAAGCTCGGGCTTAAGCAAATGGATGACAAGGGGATAGAGCGGGTGTGCGGCTAATACTGGCTCACTGTATCACATTGATTTTCACAGCCGTGTCGTGAGTGGCCCCTTCGATAAAGAGGGCTGAAACATGAATGGCAGCACTCGGCCACTCTGTCTTATGGATTTCCGCTTGTTGTTTGAGCTAAGCTAAGCTACTCCATCACTTCTTATAGGCACTTAGAGCTATTAAAGCATCTAATATAGATTAAATGTGGCGGAAGAAGCATGATTACGTGCTTCAGATAATTCAGTTTATTGAATGCGTTTATCATAATAGCACTAAAAGACAGCATTCGTGTCTTGTGTTGTACTCAAGAAAGTCTCTGCGGCTGAATTTACTTTAACTGCCAAATGAGGAAGGACGAGAAGCTTCCAGCATTTATGAATATTTCTCTTTTTGGCTGTTCATACGGGCAACAGAGGCACTTTAATGTGAAACAGATATCAACACTGATCTAAGCAGGACTTAAAATGTACTCTTATTATGCGGCGTATTTAATTGGTGCTCGCCACCAAAGCTGTGAAGACAAAATCTTATTAGTCCGCCCTTTCATCTGTGTGGTTTCCTCCTCTCTCTCTTGCACTCTCTATCTCTCTCCCTCTCGCGCACGCGTGCACACACATTGTGTGAAGTGACTATTCCATTTAGAGAACTGTCAGAACATACCCTGTGAGCACATCAGCCTCTTCCTATCCTCTGTCAGCTCCAGCCGAGGCTGTGTGGGGGTATGTCAGAAATGTGCAGGGATAGATAAAACCCGTGGAGCCAAACAGCTTTGTTTCATTCACTCCCTCTCTCTCTCTTCTTCTCTCCTTTTCCCTCCCCTCCTCACTCCCTTCTCCTTTCTCCCCTCTTCCCGTCTCCTTGCCTTGCATAGGCTGTGAATACCCTGCATCTGAGAAATCAGACCAGACTGACTCACAGGGCTCTGTGAGCCAGCGCCACCGAGGCTGCCAAAGCATGCTGGTGCCAAGCTGTCCCACCATGCACAGAGCCAGACCCACGCTGCTGCTGCCGCTGCTGCTCGTCCTGGGTCTGTTCCTCCACCTCGCCGACGCTCAAAGTAAGTGGACCGCTGGCTTTCACACGGGGCCCTGAGTGTGGTGTCCTGCTGGGCTGGGGGCAGGGCACCATGGGTGGGATTGGTTTTATATGTACATTTTTTTTTCCCCTCACTTCAACATCAGACATGGAAATACTTCATGACACAAAGATAAGGGGGTTTACAAAACTTCAAAATAAAGTACATACCATGGTCTATAAGGCTGCTGACATCAACACACACACACATTTAAAGGCCCTACAAGGAGTTTTTTACTGGTGATGAAATGGGCTCAAATAAACAATGATGCTTCTTTATGGGCTTTAGCAACACAATTTAGATTTCCTTATTGTGATTTCAATCTGGTGGGTATTGGACTGTTCAAAGAGAGCACAGGACACAGGGGTCGCCAAAACCCTTGCAGTTCTTTACAGGAGCTTTAAAGTCCATTCTCAGCTATCATGCATTTTGCTCATTTCACTTCTTTGTATGGTTGACCTTCACTGAACAGAATGATTAATGTGAACAGCTTCATTCTGGAGAAAGTTTCAAATTCATCTGCTAAAGTTCAGTTTAACACCTTTAAGCATCATAACTCGGGCTGGGTGATAAACCGAAAATTTACAGATACCGAAACTTAAAACAAAAACATCATTTCCCCATATTGGTATATTCAGTGTCAAAAAAATGAATAAATAAAAGTTGGTTTTGGAGTGTAGGTAGGCTATGGTCTCATGTCCCTAAAGACGCTGTCCTACATCGGAGACATGACTCCACCCCATCCAGTCCGTAACAAAGAGGGAAAGACAGGTGAGGAGATGGAGGATGGTTCAAAAGTTATAGTGGCTAAAGTAGACGAAGTGAATGTGGAAGTGGGTGAGCAGCTTTTGGAGTAGTTATCATCAATTTATGTGCTCAACTGCTCAATATATCGTGATATTGATTTGAGGTCATATCCCCCAGCCCTAATCATAACTAACATGGAAACCATTTGTCATCTCATTTTCACTTTTCATAAGTGTGCGGAAACCACAAGCACACATCAGAACTCAAAGGAATAAATCTGGTTGATGTAGAAGTTGGATAAACATACTTTAAAATCCTTGGTTATTTAGAAAGCTGTCATCTTAATATGTCTCATATTGCTTTCCCCCTCCCTCACACACACCAACACTTATCTCCCCATGATCCATCTTTTTCAGCCAACTCTCAAAATGCATTCAAGTCCTGATTCTCCAACTGCTTTTTCTCTGCTGTGAAAACCATCATGTGAACCAGAAACGGCTCAGGCCTCAGTCGAGAATCTCATGATGAGAAGTCATTGGAATTGAGTTACTTGACATCAGACACCTGCTCACCGATGTGTGACAACAGTTTTCAAACCTCATTGAGCTCTGGTCCTGCGCCACAGCTTTCCCCCTCCTCTTTTTTTTTTTTTTTTTTTACACTACGATCCATGAATCATTAGCTCCTGGAGTCACAGAGGGATGAATAAAAGTTTTATTGCACCCTTTGCACCGACTGAAATCCCCTCAGTTCGCCTGAATATCTCTGAATGAAGGGATCGCTCACCCAAGGTCATACACGACAGAGCCACGCAAAGTGAAATTGATGGCTGAGATTTTCAACTTTGTGCTTGAGAAATGTTCCTTGCAATCTGTTCAAATGTGTTTTATTTTTGTTCGCTGCCTCGTGCCACATATGTCTCGCAGCGGGAGAGACGGCAAATGGAGAAATGTATTCTCCATTTATCCGCCGTTTTATGTGCAGCTCCAGGATTTATTGACACAATTTAATTACGGGGCCTTCCCAAAATGGCATTAACAGTCGATAAACGTTAGCATCAAGGGGGCTTTTAGTAGTCATCTTTTCAGAAAACTCCCATCTTCCTCAGACTCGTGTATGTGTTCACAAAACTGGATCTGATTCGAAGACAAAAACACCACCTCCAATTCCTCCCTACGAACAAATGTCTCAACAAAACCTCCACTCTGGTGTGCCCAGACATTCCTCAGTCATATTTAAGCACAAATATAACACTCAGCACCCCCAAACTTTGACGCCTCTGTGCACCCTCCCCTCTCCTCCCCAAAAGCCCCCATTAATTTTCTTCCTTTAGCCGCCTGGCTGTGTGTGAGCAGCTGCTGCTACCTCATACCCTGCTCAGACAGCTGTGCTGGGTCATCACTCCAAAGCCAAAACAAACTTATCACGAGGTAGCCACAGCGTTAATGACTGAGGACTGGGAATGAGGTGGTAGTCAGGATTGGATTTTTATTTGCACCATTCTGCTTGATCTCACATGTGCACATGCCTTACCAACTCCCGTCCATTGTTTCTCGTCCAAATCGTTCTCTCGCCAGATTTCTCCTGCCTGCATCTTTGTCATCTCCCCACCTTCTCCCCTTGCTGTCGAAACAGTGCGAAAACACCTTACAGCATCTGAAAAGCTCCAAAATGGCCTCAAGAGGCAGAAGCAATGCTAACAATTTCTCAACAAAAAACCCCCAAAAGACCTCCACTCAATTTACCCCACACTAGACAAACCCCCCCAGAGCAAGAATCCGGCTGTTTCCAAAGAGGAAAGATGCCCTCTGTTGGTGCTCTGGATCGGTTTGGGTGTGAGCTAGCCTCCGGCTGTGGGTATGGGTGGAGGATATGAGACACGCGAGAGCAGAAAATGGCTGAGTCGGCCTGCTCAACAGATGGCGCGATCCTCGGAGCCAGTCCTACTCGCCACCGCACACAGTGGACACTAGAGCCCCCTCTCAAGAAAAATGCCAGTATGGCCTACTATTAGACAGGCAAAGCAGTACACATGTTAACAGGAGTGTTAAAAGATTCTTCTTCAAAAGAGAAGTTTTCAGAGCGATCTGAGAGGACTGTGGTCATATTTCTCCGTTTGCTCGGCTGGATTGTTTTGTCTTTGACGTTTTCTCTCTCTCCCCCTCTCATTTTCTCCTTCACCCTGTCCCCCTCGCTCTTCAAATGCAGCCCCAATTAATTTGTGTGGCAAATTGGGCTTGGCGATGGCTTGAAAGAAGGGCATAATTGTCCCCCGTGAGCCAAGGGGACTGAGAGCGAGAGAGGAGGAGAGGGGACGCAACAAACAATCACTCTGTGTTTGTAATGCAAAAATACAATAAGGAGTATCAGTGGATGAGAGGAGAGCGGCAAGCTTTTCACATCACGAGGGAAACTTCATGTGGATATCTGAACCAAGTAGCTAAGGTTTCCATTAACCCGATGGATTGTTTTATGACTCTGATGCTAATATGTGCCGAAACAAACCCAGGGATTGTAGTTTAATGCTTTTCTGGATGCTACGTCTATCTGTCACGTCAACCAAGATGGCAGTGGCTAAAATGTAAAATCCATAGACTGTATACACTATGGACAACTTGGATAGCCTTCCGCAAGTATATGGATTTGAAGCCAAAAAGCTCTCGGTAAATTTGCGTTTTTATTCCACTTCCTGAAACCAACATTGGGCAGTAGTGTTGTACGCACTCAATCACTTGTACGGTAAAATTGTAAGCATTCAGCGGAAGAGTCGCCACGAGTCGCTGTGATGACGCTTGGCTCAAACAGCGTATCCCTTGGTTAAGCTATGCAATCTTCGTACGCCCGTAGGCTGTATCAAGTGTCAATCATATAAAACATGAACCCCTAATAACTTTTAAAAATGGAGCTGTACAGAAAAAAGAGGACTTGAGCACAAACCAGTCTGACAGTAAGTACATGTCAACATTGCAAGCATAGGGGAAAAAAATGTATATTCTGTGTAATAAATTTCTAAAGTTTTTCCACAACTCCATAAGCTTTGCTGGAGGAGGCGGGATGTATGACCTATACTGCAGCCCGTCACCAGGGTGTGCTGTTCTTGGAGTGGCTTCACCCAATGAAGAGGCAGACGGCGTCAATTCTATACACAGTCCATGGTCAAATCTTAAAAACTCCCATCAAAATACAGTTTCAGCAACAAGCTGATTTGATTACATCTGTACAGAATCTGTCAAACGCATTTCCCACCCAGCACTAACCCATGCTGTGTTGGACCAGGTCAAACTGCGGGTCTTAATAGTGTTTTAATTGATTCCTCCTATTGATGGTGATGGCGTGGTGAGTCCCAGCGAGCCAGCACGCTTTCTCTTTAACACGTCAGATGAATATCGACAGGCTCCTCCAAGCCTGCCTAAACATTAAGATGTTAACACCCAAACCTCATCTCTCTCTCTCTCTCTCTCTCTCCCTCTCTCTCTCTCGCTCGTGCCTCTTCTCACGCAAACACACATTCGCTTACACACAACATCCAGGAGCATCAAATGCATGTGAAATCCTTTCTGAGCCAGCAATCAAAAGGTGAACCACATGGGACAAAAAAAAGAGCAAATCGCCTATTGATGCAGCTCGTCTTTTGAGCTACTGCAGTGGGAAAACAAGATGAGGTATTATGACAGCAAAATGACTCACACTGAAAGCAGCGGCGACGTGGAGTGCTCATGTTTTTTATGTTTTTAGATAATGAGAGAAGTTTCCTCTCTTTTCCGCAGAGTGTTTTGTGTGAAGACCTCGTTTTCCATATGCTCACTATAAGACTCATCGAAACAAGTTTATGATCAGAGGCTGTCTACAGCTCGATGAGGGGTAATTTGTTTAGCGGTGAAGCGGTGACAATCCAACAGCATCTGCCAGGGTTACAGTCAGATCTTGTGTTTTGTGTGTGTGGATGGCGGATGATCATAACTGTGATTTGTTTAGGCGTTTCTTCATCTGTTAGCGGGAACAACAAAATCAGGGAGCTGCATGTTTAGATACAACATGAGAATACTAAACAAACTGTTTAAACATGAACAAAGTCCCAATTCATGCATATGTGTGCTAATACTCATGCACACACACGCACACCCAAATAGCTAGACAGGATCACCTTGTAGCAAGTCCGAAAGCTAATGATACTCTATTCCCCAGATGACACGAGGCTGTAATATGTGTGTTTTATGCATGCCCGGTCTAATATGAATTATTGTAAAATAGTGTTGTATTTGCATATGAGCTTCCGGGGCTGTACTGAAATTAGCATTTTTACAACAGCTCAAATTAAATCCCTCTGCTTAATTTGCCTGCATGCTAATTCGATTTAAACTGAGTCTATTCTGTCCCCTCTTACCCACATGGAGCTAACATACAAGCCACACACACAAACTCAGTGTAGACTCTTTAGGAGTATTAGAAGCAAATAAACACACAATGTTTTTTATGTTTATGCATCAATATAAAATCATCTAAAAGCACAAAAATTATATAAATAAAAAAAACAATGCTTTGATTTAGTGCGTCCAACATCTCGTTCATCATTCTGCTGGACACCGCTCAAGTGGAAACCTCATTGTCGGCTCCACTTGTTCATTACAAACATCGCCTTACATCTTTGAAAACAGCATCTACAAGAGAAGGAGAGGGCGCATCATGTTCACACTTCAAATAAATGTTGTGAAAACACCTTCGCCGAGAGTGCCAGCACTTAATTACCATCTCGTTGTTTGGATGAAGACCTCGTGACGAGACTGGGAATCTGAGATAAAACAATGTTATCAGCGCCATGCAAGATGCTTCTCGCTCGCAGGTTGAACTAAACGAGTAAGAAGTCATTATCATCTTCTTTGGCTGAGGATGCCTGTACCGGCTCCTTGTCAACAATGTGCTTTGCAATTATGTTTAAAGGTTGTATCAGGCCCCATTATTAACTACATGAATGCCGATTCCTCTAGCAACTAAGCCCAAGTGTATTATTTAAGGCCATTAGCCTCATCTATGGATTGCAGTCATTTTGCCTTGCGCTTAGACTTCAGAATCGCACAAAAGCTGAGCAATTTTCGCCACTCCTGACCCTCCCACTCTCAAGAAAAAGCAGACAATCGCACATAATATGGAGATGTTGTACAGAGCCAAGATGCAGGTAATTAAAGGCTAGCCCCCAGGCACTAATGCTATATCTAAGTGCACTTATGTCTCCAAGACACATTGACTTGAAAATGGTGGTGCAATTTAACAGTGCTGTACCATTCATGTCTCGGAGTGGGGAATATTGACAGAACAAAAGCACCGTAATCAGAATCGTAAATTCATTGGAGTGGCAATCAACAGACTCCCAGAAAGCCTTTCTCCAAATCCAAATATTTGAAAACCTCGGCAGGAAATGACGGGGTCTTTCATGCCGTGAAATTGTATGGATTTCAGTCAGCCCGGCACCTCCTTATCTGTCCTTGGAGCATTTAAGGTGCCAGAAAAAACAATAGAGGACCATGTTAACGCAGTGCACCAGACTCACACACACACTCTCGCACAAAGGGTACCTTGTAGCATGCCTTTGAAGCCTGGATCAGCCGGTGAGCTGAGCACAATGCCAGCTGTTTTGCATCTGCTCGGCTTACACTTGGCATAATTCTGGCCTGGCTGGCATATGTACTAAATCTGATCACCCTTCGTACGCTTGTGCCAGTGAACTGTATAACAATGCAGGTGTTTCGTGACATTGCCCCAGTGACAGTGCAATTAATAGATTGATGCTCTCACCGCAGTAATGGGATTACTGGACCAGTCAAGTCTGAAATACATCAGCCTTTGCCTGCAGAAGATGTTTTACCGCAGTGTGAAGTTAGAACAATGGAGAGCCACACGTGCAGAAATCGAAGACGGGGAAGTCTGAATGAAACAGACTGAAGGCTTGAAGATGATGGCAGAAAAAAAGATGCCTTTATGCAGAGAGAACAACATTCATAATGACTCCTTTTGGATATCAAGCGGCGCCTTGTTGATGAAACATAAAGGTGGAAAAGCTCTGTAAGCGGTGTCTAGTTTCACAATGTATGTATCAAAGAAGAAATGATCATTTAGCGCATATTTGGCTAAGGTAAGGGTTTACCAGCAACCACCTACACGAGTAATTGTTGGTTTCAGTCTGCGCTCAGTTTGCCATCAACAGACAAGCCACTTGAAACCAAAGGGGGGGACCACAGTTACACTCACAATTTGCAAAGCCTCCATGTTGCCAGCAGTCATCAATCATTCTCTTTAAAATACTGCAAAAAGAGCCAACTCTGTAATATTTTAAAGAGAGACAAATCCTCACCTCCGGGATATGTTTGGGGCTGTATGATGCCTTTTTGTTGATTTCTATACAGCAGACTAGTTTGATCATAAAAGCAGAGAAATTGTGTAAAATATCCACCTCAGAATCCACGTATCCCCGCGTTTGTGTGTGGATGTGTGGTCGTGCATGTAAGCCAATGCAGATAACACCTGGCCCCGGGCTGGAGCTTTGGTCTCACTCCAGGGGTCCTGAGATTGCGACACATTGCACTGATCTCGGCGCAGCACATTTGTGTGCCTGTGGGGTATGTTGGGATTCTGCGGTGGGGTTAATGGTCTAAACCATTCATCTCCGCGGAGTGCCTCAGGGCAGTCTCTCAGTCCCAGGCAGAGAGCTTGCAACCCCACCTTCTTACCTACAGCACTCTCCAACGCTTGACGTCGATTGGGAATCTTTACGCCCTAAGCTCCTCTTGTCAAAGTTGATTTACATTCAGCCGAGTGATGGAGTGAGCACTCAAAGTCCGTCTTTGGAGAGCCTAATACACTCGCTTACACACACTAGATCTGTCACTGTTTTCAGTTCCCCTCCCCCCGCCCTCTCACTTTGTTTGTTTGCTCACTCGCTCATTAACTCGCAGTCTTGTGCACTTCTCTGCTCACACTCGACTTTAACTTCTCAGTACCACCAAGTGAGTCATGCTGTTTGAGGAGCTGAGATTTATAGTGACACACGGCTTTAGTGTCTTTTATTAGTTATGGCAAAAGAGAGAGTGAAAGCTTCCATAGAAAAGGCGAGAACGCTCTCACGCCACAGCCAGACCCAAAGGCTTTTCCTGGTTGAAACAAAGCCAAGTTCTCGTCTCTAATGGTGCATCGATCTAAGTGGAATATGCATCCCCACAGACACACTCAAGTCCGTGGACATTTATGGGGTGTTTATACAGCATTCATCATAACACCCATGAACAGTCTGTTTCCCTTTAGCTTTAATACTCCCTTGGTGCCGTTTCATGTCATTCATCATTCTCTCATCATCTAATTAATTACCACAATCCCCTCCATCATTGGAGCCATGATGAAGGATACCTCCAGTTAAGTGTAGATAATTCATGTACAACAGGATGTTAAGGGGTGGCAAAAGAATCCAGAGAGGTCATTTCCCTCCGAACACGAGACCTTATCTGGTTTCCGACCCTCCCTTTCCAAGATTTAGGGGCTCAAACACGCAGTCTTACATATTTCATCACAAACTTTTCACTCTCTCAAGTTCAGTCTCGCTCTATCCCAACACAATCACGCCTTAAGCCACTCATCTCCCCACTTTTATCTCTCCCTCAGACTGATAGTTAGCACAAGAGAGCGCATATGGAGGGAATGTGGGGGGAGGAAAGGAGAGGAGGGAAGTGGAGCAGACTTGATGATGTCAGGATTTATGCCTACATGGATTTCTTTAAGTACACCTTCCAAATAAGATTTTCCCACCCTCCTCCTCCCTCTTCTTACCCCCTGCACCCCTCGCAGAAGGGGAAAAAATAACACATGATCAGAGAGTCTGGAAGAGACTCCCGTTCCCTTAACCAAATCTCTTCCCTGCCGCTGCCTGGGTAAGACAGAAATTTCACACCGCATGATCTGTTGCCTCTCATTACATGGCCTGATTCAGTTGGCTGTGTCTTTCCCCCATTTGCAATCATTCAGGAAGAGATGCTCACAGAGGGGATAAGCCACAGTTTTGTCATTGAGTCCCACAGGGGAAGCTTTGTTTGAGTCTTTGGCCATATTAGTAGGAGGATGGTGAGACGACATTAGCCAGTTAGCAGGTACCCAACTGCACCTAAAAAAAAATCAGGTTGAAGCATCCAGCTACATTGCTTTGATTCTACAACTGAGAGTGGCTTATTTTTTTGCCTGGCGTATCAATTCAATCACAAACTCAAAATTAGATCAACTAAAAAAGACTCAAATCGACATATGAAAGTCTTGTTTTGCATACATATATTATTATTATACATATATTTGAATTTCCGGGGGGCGGAGCTTGGATTTGCTACATATGAAATCTCACTGCATCTGAGTCTGCTATTTGGGTCTGCCAGAGATTCACGGCGATTATAATGCAGAAATACTCATAAATGCAATTTTGCACTGATTTTTCTCATGATATGTCCTGTAGCATCAGAAAAATTCCATATAAACATGTAAAAAAACAAGAAAAAAAACATTATTTTCATCAGGGTGGGACTTTAAAGCTCCTGAAACAAACATGCTAACATAGTTCAGAGTTGTTCTCCAGAGTCCATTTATATGTTAAACTGCTAATTTTACAGTATGTTCACATAATCAGGCCTGAGCTGTATAAATGTATAAAAAACAGTGTTATTTCTTTATCTTAAAATTGGACGCCCAGTGAGCTTAAAAGATGGAGAGTATGGTATATCGGTAATAACACGCTTTTATTTTCCATTACTGCCGAAGAGCACCTCTGATCAGATGGTCGGGGAAATCTGCTAAAAATAACCATATGCTTTGATCTCTGCCTCGGTCATTTGACGTATGTTTTGTACAGAATATAAATGACAGAGAGGACGGTCATGAGACACAGCAGGACTGAAATAAAAAGAAAACAATCAGGGTGAGACGTAGGGGCTGGATTTAACACTGAGGAGTTTGTAATCTCATAAAACAAGTAATCTCAAAGTAGTGAGTGACACGGTGAGATTAGGAGAGGGTAGATAGGAAGTGAAACACTGGAGAGAAAGTGCTAAGATAGAGATTAACTAAAAGAATGGATGGCATGACTTTCTAAGGCTTTGGGACCTGATGAGGTGATAAAAAGGAAGTTAAGTCACTGGGGTTTCTTTTATGTGTCTTTAATGCTTAGTCACGTCTCTTTTTTTCCCTACAAAAGCTGCAAGTTAATTTCCCCAAAAGTAATCCAGGAGTCTGCAACTTTAATCCTAAAGATATAATTAGGTGCTTTGTATCTTATGTAATTACCTTGACTACTTTTTTTTCTTTTAAACAGCTGAAATTTGGTAATGAAGGGAAGCAGATTAAAGACATTGCATTTGGGATTTGATGGATTTGATGTTATATCCTGATCTTATTTCAATTCTGTAGTCACATAATGAAACAAGTCAAGAGAAAGTTCAAGTAATTTATTTAACATTTGCGAGTACAGGTCTTTGATTTGTATTATTTACATCATAGAAGATAGAAACTAAAGCCCTGTGGGAGAAAAATGAAAGAATAATGCGAGTCTATAAAAGAAAAAGTCAGCTGAAAAAATACAATCTTATGTTAAAATCATAGCTAATCCATCGCAACAGACGGTGAAGCAATAAGCAGTGAAAATAACCCAAGTCCAGGCAACTTAGTAGTAATCAATTGGTTGCATAGAGACTAAAACGATTCAGGGATGGAGACGGGAGTCACAATAACAGCAAACAAAAAGCAAAACAGAGGCAGAGAGGCTGCTCTTATCTGGAGATGACTGCTATCTGGTGGAAGACAGCCACTTTTGTTTTGCTATGCCTCATTGTGTGGCGTCTTTGAAATCCACGAGGGCCTGTTACACAGCATTCATTTTGTTTCATCACTCACACAAAGGCTTGACTGGCATTATTTGAGATAGTTTGTTTCAGGTACAATGAGAGTAATTATTTAGGCTGCATCGAGGACAGAGAGAGCACAGACTGAAAGTAAGCAATATTATTGGCAATGGTGGAATATTTCGGCAAATTGTTAATAAAAGCCTCTCAGATGGGAGCCCCATTTTTATCAGGCATCGCCGCTGCATCACGCACTGGCTTTTCGAGCTCACAGAATACAAAATCTGAGCAACATCAGGCTGTCGTGGACATATAGCTCTTTAAAGGCTGCTTTCGATAGCAGCTTTACGAGCAAAAACAAAGCCGAAATAGCTGCTCTGAAGACAGCTGTGGTTTAAAATGTGGTTTCAGCACTTAATATTATATAATATCCATTCAAATGAAGGCTATTTACCTTTCTCCACAACTCTGCCTTGGTATTTTTCATCTTTTGAAGTCTCGTTTCCCACCTTCATCCCACTTTGAACTTCAAGTAACTTTGAGAACACAAAAAATGGGTCAATGGATAAGTGAAAATCAAAGCAAAAGTGGACACACACAACTTCTAAGCCACCTACTGCACTCCTGTGTCCTCGGAAAGTCTTAAAAACAGCAGGGGAAGGTGAAGCTCTACAGCTCAGGAGAGTTTCAGCTTTTTTTTCATTCGACTTTAATGTATTCAGGTACAGTCGAGTCAGTACATCACTATAGGACGATGTTGAAAGCCTTTGGTTATGCATGCAGGTTCCTGCAGTCCTGCTCTTGTTCCCTCTTCTGATTCACACACTTCTCAAACTGTGCGCCTGGTCACTGCTCTACATCTGTACGAAGTCTGGAAATATTGATTGGGTGATAATTAAATTGTCCATCCCTGCTTGATATGGATTAATAATTGCCCACTAATGCCCTCCTGACATTTTGCAGTATTGACTCGATACTGTTTGCAGCGGCGCGCCGATAATTATGACGCTTGGCATTCTTCATTTTGTCCCTAATGAGACCAATCAGAGTTGGCTCGACTTTTGCCTAAGAATTAGAAAGGAGTGAAAAGGAGTGAGAAGGCGGGATGGATTTTCTCTTAGGGGCCATTATTCAAAGCTTCGGGCATATCTCAAAGATATCCTTGTCTTACAGGAGAGTCATTTTTCTATATTTAAACATTTTGGATGTACAGTTGGTAGAATGAAGATAAGCTGTTATACTGTGTTAGACCGGATTATGTAAAAAGGACATCTTGGGACAAACAACAGCACCGTGACTATAAATACAGAGATGAGAAGGTGGTATGGGCATGTTGCCACATCACTGCTTTGACTTCCTCACTGCCATCTGTGAGTGTTCCTCCTCTGGCATTCTCACAAAGGCCTTTTGTGCCTTTTTCCCCCCTTTGTCCCTGTTTGCTAGGTTTAATTAGGTTATTTACTTGAGCCTCACCTCCTAGTGTTTCATTACAGTGGGCATCGCAGATAGGGCTTCACACAGGGCAGGGGCAGATAAAAAGTTAGGACAAAAGATGATAAATGTCGCGAGCAGGAACCGGAATGCAATCTGGCTGCCGCGATGCAGAGATGCTCTAATGGCTTCCCAGCCAGGAAGGGAAGGTGGATGGGGGGGGGGATCAGCAGAGATGGCAACATGATAAATGGTCCCGAGATCGGCTGTAAGGACTGTAGGAAAGACAAAGAAAAAGGAAAGAGTCATGGATGGAGGGGGAAACGAAAATGACCATGAAAGAGAATCTAATTAATCTGGACTCCGTTCCCCATTGTGACAAATTCAGCGCAAAAGAAGAAAAAAAATGTTTGTTTCGGGATCACCCCACAGCCCCGCAAAGACAAGACCACTTTCCACATACAGTAGGCTGGGACATATGGGTTCTGACAATGGCTCTGCACCTGTGGAATGATGGATGACAGGGGATTCACCCTACACACAGCCGAGTGGAGATACATGCTCCAAACATGCGCCAAGGAGAAACCAGCTTCAGACATAATTCAGCTGATATAAACCGGTATGTTAGAGTTCTTGATATCAAACTTCACAGTGACTTTGTCTTCATGTAGAGACACAACCGAGGGATTGTTCCCAGGGACGGATCTGCTGATAAACATTATCCAGCTGGTATGTCAAGAGCAAAGCCAGCACAAGGAGGCGTGAGTCCTCCATAGAGGTTGATATGTACTTGCTAGGCCAGCTGATGGGTCTGCAAACTCCAGGCTAACCAAAACTCAGACAGATGAATGGCTAACCATGCGAATACGCGAATTTCACACGCAATATCCCAATCTCTTTTAAATAAAGGAGGGAGCGCTCATAATTTACCACAAAGTTTATAACTTAGCCTTAAATTCAGCCAGAATATAATGCACTCCACATTTTTATTTGGTGGATTTTAATTCTGTCCTTTTACTGAAAGCTGTCATAAAAAAATGTGTAAAAAAAAATGCCTCATTCACTCATAAAATCAGTACTTTCACTCTTTATGTGGACTGCATTTACCTGAATATTCATGAAGCTCACAACCACCTGCAGTGAATGTGCAAGCTTGCTCTTTAACCTTTAATCTATGTGAGAAAAAGGGATGAAGACATTACTTACGGAGGACTGTATTACCTTGTGGCGATTTGTGACAATGTCATTGGCATTTTTACTCTCTTCTTCGCAGTTTTACGACTCTACATTAAAAGCTAACAGCCCCGGCACTTACTCACAGTTGTTGCTTTTAGAATAATTTAGATAACTGTTAAAACACTGGTGTAGATAGACAGGTCTTTGTCTTTAGACTGGACATGTTCTGCTGATTTATGGCTCGAACTGTTCTCCCCCCTTCACATATACACAAGCGTCTTATCAAGACCCACAACTCTATACATTGTCTGTACAGTATGTCTATTCACATGCTTATGTACATAAATTCAATGCACATAAAAACCCACCCACACACACACACACACTCTCTCTCATTCACTTACTCAATGGACTAGAGCCCATTACTGCTGGCAAACATTTGCACACGAGACCAGCGCCTTTGTGTACCCTCTTGCTCTGTAAACTGAGGCTCCATTTGGCAGAGGGTGAAAAAAAAGGAGGAAGAAGAGAAGGGCAGCTTACGCCATCAGACCAAAGGCCTCATCTCCGGTCCCCGGCGGTCTCGCACCCTAAGGAGTCTCCTCATCTTTAGAAATCTATCCTTCAGAGGAAAACGACCGTATTCGATTAGATCTCCTGCTGAAACACAGTCGGAAAAATGTCCCAAAAATGAACTCTGGGAGGAATTTTCCTAAACAAACCAGATTTGCATGAAGCCATCAGCTGTTCTAAGTTGACTGGTTCGCTTGCTATCATCTTGAATGTGATGCAAATGTTTCCAGGGTAAAAAATAAACTTTAGTTCTTTTAAGCCAGTGTTGGAAATTAAAGCCTGTCTCATTGAAAACTTTTGGAACCATGGCGACGCAATTGTACAGCTTTTTTTTCTTTTTCTCCCAGGTTGATCATTTTAAATAGAAATGAAAACACCTTTAAAAAGTAGCTCAAAAGAGAGAGTCTCGTAACACCTACACTCTGTAAACAGACAGAAACATGCACACACAAAGTCGTCCTCTTCACACTTCTAATCATCTCTGGATGAATCATCCCCACATCCACGCACATAAAGACAGAGCCTTTCAAAAGTGATCTGAAGCCCTTAATTTCACTGGATTATTTTAATTATGTCCCCTGAGGCTTGTGTTTTGTTTTTTTTTTCCTTTTTTTCCCACTTATTTTGCTCCTGAGGTGACATTGCACTGTTTGCATCTGAGTGAAAACCCCCATTCGCCAGTCTGACCCTGATACCACTCGCTCTCATTTGTTTACCATCTGTAGTTCTTCAAAGACACACTCACACACACACACAAACTGTTTTCTTCAGAGGTTCACAATTAAGATGTAAAGACCTGAACTTATTTACAGCACTTTATTTAGTTTGAGACATATCCATAATGTGTAGCAAGCAAAGAAAGCACTCTAAGTCACAGCTAGTGTTATATCTTTCAGACCCGTATGCCACTTTTTTAAGGACCTGTGTAATGGTGCTTGCAGCATGTCTTGTTTATTCAAAAGAAAGTGAATTTTGGTGCAAAAAAATCACAGATTCAGCCTCTGAAGGATCTGCAGCCTCTCAGTTTCTAAACTCATCATCAATGCAGGAACACTGTGCTGCACCTGAGGGGAGTCTGAGGGAGCAGGATTAAGAGGTCAAAAAACACAAAAACAAACACTGCGAATGCAACCTGGACCATGGTCCAACCTGGACCTCGACCAAGCCTTTTTTTTTTTTTTTTTAATAAACTGTCAAAAGTTTCACAAAATGGTACCACTTGATGATCACATGTCTGCTGTTGTGTCATCAGATCTATAATATCAAAGAAGACCAGGTTAAGTCCTGACTGTCTGCATAGGAGGAACCAGGTTGCTCAAGGAGTGAAACTTTTGTGCACATGCCTCTGCTAATCACTCCAAGCAGCACATCACTAGCATCACTGGCTGACTTCAGTAGCCTTGAAGAAGCCATGTTTTCCCAGTAGGGAGGCTACTGGAACAACACAGAGGCTGTGTCACTTCCAGATTTCTGGGGTTACTTGGCTAAAAGATAACTTAAGTAAATAAGGAAAACCGTGATTTCTACTATATGGGACTTTTAAGTGGAACAATGATTTACTTTATTAAAAAAAAATGTATTTAGAAAAATGAAGTTTGTACTAACATGAAAGTCGGCAGCTAAAAGGTGCAGCATCAAAACTGCAATTAGGTCCTAAAAGCTAATAACCTGACATTTCACATTATGTATTAATGCTGCTGTATCCTGACAGATAGCACTCTTTGTCTACTTCAAAGAGGAAAAGGTGATTTTTTTCCCCCAAAGACGTTTCAATTACTCCCATTTTTCTTCCTCTATTTTATATGCAATGCTCTTCCCTTCACTGCTGCGTAAAATTAGTGGCCTGTGAAAGGTCACTTTGCTCCTTGAGTGACTGTTTGTGGTACCTCCCCTGCATATTTTTGCCCCAGAGATAGGACTCAGGTTTGAGGATGGCCAGGACTACAGCTGATGGCATGGAATAAGATTTTTTTTTTTTTCACATTGTCATTTACATTTATCCCAAACAGATAGTAAAATCTTTCTTAACTTCATTCAGTAGCTGGAAAAACTAACACGGGAAAATTTAAGCCCCATTTTCATTGCGGTTGAGGTGGAACCGGCTTTCTGCTGAACTCTGGGACATTCGCAGGATATGTGAGCTGCTGAAAGGAAGCCAGTTGTCATCTCCAAGCATTGCTGGAGCATGAGCTAGTTTGTCTTCAAGCGCCTGAGAAAACACAGCGCCGGGAATGTGTCACCTTTTACGGCCTGACAACTGGCATCTACTGGAAATGGCTTGGCACTACTTTTCCATAAAATTAGAGCCTGTTTAAAACACACAATGCTGAATCCCTGGTATGATTTGCAACATAATTCATCTCAGCTTTGTATGGTGGCAAATATGAGGCAAGCTTTTCCGCTACTCAGATGAGGGCGTAGATAATTATATGAAGTTTATCCTTTGTAGGAAAGAGGACAGACCCTAGCGTGGTATAATTCGGTCCTCCATGCTTACATGTAAAAATGTTGCTTATTTGATGTTTCATCCCACTTCCCCATCTATATATCTTTTGATTTATGCTACATATAGCGGAAAGCAGCAGCTTTGCAGATTTTCATCTCTGCATGCCGTCACGCTGATATTCTCTTATCAATCTCACATAAAATGTACATCACACATGTGGCAGAAGCATGAGAATCATACCAAATCATGTTCCCTTATTATCTCCACATGTCATTACATTGGCGGTAAGCTGACATGGCCAAAGACTGTTTATCACTTTTGCCATTTTTAACATCTTTTCAAGCCCATGCAGCCCCCAGCCTGATAACTATTGGTCCATTTTGCTGCAGCTCTGCCATTTAATGAATCGTTCCATTGCCTGGTGGATAACAGAATGAACGAATGGCTTTCTGTGTTAGCGGCTGCCACTGCCTATCCTATCAGATAATTAACTTTTTTGCAAATAGACTGCACTGACTACCAAACAGAGTAAGCCTGCACAATTAGAATTACTTATCTATGTTCTCTTTCTCTCTCTTTTTTTTTTTTCCCCCAGACGTCGGAGGGAAAAAAAAACAAACAAGACAAACAAATCCAAATTTCATACTTCTTGCTTGACTGTTTTCTCCTCAAATGGTCACACATGAGTTGGCTCGATTCGAGATTTGTGTATTCACACATTAATGAACAAGTAATGAATGAGAGGGAGATGAAAATGGAGTCTTATTGAAATTAAAGCCTCTATTATTTGGCACCGACGTTTGACAACCACGGCCCAGATGTTTAGAATTTCCATCAGGAGGGTCTGGTGTTTTCCCCGTCGTTCCCTCCTCCTCTTGTATGTTTTTTTTCTCTCTTCCTCTCTAGCGGATGGTCTCGCGTTGACGGTGTCGCAATTCAATATTTATATGTTTCCTTCTGTTTGGTTTCCACCGCAAAGGGAGGTGGGCTTTTCATGTGTCTGATTTGCCACAGCAGTGATTCGGTTCCAGCTTTTAAAGCGTCGGGGGCCGTTTGAACAAAGCCATCTGTTTGAGTGGGCCGTTTTATTAAGTGACAAACTGGATCCCTCTACCTCGCTAATGTGTCCCGTGGGAGATTGCTGTGGCTTGTGTGTGAGACAAACACAGGAGAGAGCTAAAGCCAGGGTACAAGATTCCTTCTGCAAACATCGTAACGCACCATAAGAATACTTCATCACTGATGTATCTGTCACTCCCGAAAGGTTTTAGCCTCTCTGAATCCACAATGGTAATTGAATAAGAGGGCCTTTCAGCTCCTATCTTATCCCAATGAAACACAGACTAAGAAGCTCAGAGCTCCCCGTTCCATAAATAACCCTTTATATTTATTTAATGAAATCTTCCAGAATTTTCTATTGTCCAACGCTCGCTCACAGCCCAATTTATTAATGTCCCGTTGCCGTGTTCGCTCCTATTCTGCAGGAATATTCAAACACCTTTAGGAGCATGTGAGCTCCTGGTGCACATGCTCTTGATTTGTCTTGCCGGAGAATCTGTCATTGCATTGAATGTGGGACAACAGCATCAGGCATTCCTTTTGAAGCTTTTGTCGGTGCAAATAGAAAAAAAAAAGAAAAAAAAAAGTGCCCCCTAACTCTTGCAGAACCACAGCCAGAAGCAAAGCAGTGCCACTGAGCATGAGTAATACACAGCAAAGAGGGTCCCGTTGGAATATGATTTTTGCAACCTGAGTCACTGGGCTGAATATTTGGCAAAGACAATACGCTGGTGAGTTGTGTGTTAAAGTGCACGTTTGAGTTTCCTGCCTTTGAAGCCGTCTTAGTGATGATATGCAACTCCAAGGAGAATAAGGGACCCTGACCTGATCCCAGAGTGGACCTGCAGCCCTGGTATCCTCATGCAGCCTCAATGTTGATGTACCATTAAACTGCATTCTTGTATATTCCATTGAATTAGTTTTACATAATCACTGTGGATTTTTGCTTAGCGAGCACATTTGAGCGGCGCAGAAGGGGGCGGGGGCAGTGTAGGAGAAGGCTTGTATTATGAACTTCATTATGTGTGACAAGCAGCGCAATATTGATGGAAGAGCGAGTCCCCATCATTGCACCGCGTTAAAACCTCTGCAGTGAATTAATGTACTATTCCTGATCCAGTAATTAACAATCATTCGGAGGCCATATCCCTTTTCAAGTAATCGCTAATTGCAATAAGAATTTCAGTTTCCATTTAAGGCCAGATTACCGATGAGCATGCAATGCAAATCAGGCAACAGTTCTAATTAAGCTCCGATTCCTTTCTCTTCCTCGCTGCCTGGGCCCTTTGTGAGCGCGTACAATGTGGAGTTTGTTTTCTCGGCATTACAAAAGACAAATTTTTTATCATAATGCTGCAGATAGAGGGCTGTGTACTGTGTAGTGCCCCAAAGAAAACGGTTTAGGCTTGTGTTTGTTCCATTGATTAGTATGTGTTGTTTATCTTCCCTCTTTCTTTTTCCACATTTTTTTTCTTTGGCATTGTTTATCTCTGGGTTTGTGTCTGCACTGCTACGTTCTGCTTCCTTCTTTACATGGGGGGGCAGATGTTTTCTGAACACTGTATAGACAGTTAATTAATCCACAGAGAGGGTGTTGCTTTATAGAGCACACGCATGAATGCACTCACAATGACCAACCCATTCCTGTGCATCTCTCTTTATCTAAAGACTATTCTACTCGGACCGTCAGAGTACTTAAAGGTTACATCGAGTCAAATGTCATCAGCATATATACTTAATGCTTCACTTTCACCCTCTTCAAACACTTGCTGCAGTTGTGACAATTTATCAATATCTCAGGACTGAAAAGCTGCAGCTTAAGGATGTCGAATGAGGTTAATGGCATCTTTAAGCACTCCTTTCTTCCACCCGTATGTCCAAAACGGAGTAGGGTATTTCCAGACTGCCACCCAAAGTGTTAGGATTAATTATCGCCCTCCACAACCCCGCCTCACCCTGCAAGTTAAAGATTCAGAGAGGAAATGACCCCTTTCATGCAAATGAAATTGAATATGTCAGTCAGTATAATTGTGAAAACCGAGCCGTCTTGGACTGGTGTCTGTGCCGAATAGAGGTTCTAACTGAGAGAGGGGTTTATTAATGTTCGTCTCTCCACTCTTTGATTCATGCTTTTTAATGGGCTGGCGGATCAAACTTTACTCTATGGCAGAACCCGGAGATTTGAAATGTTTTGGCCGTGATGAATGGAAATCGGACTGACTTCTTAAATGCAGTGTTTGGCCAAGTTGAGTCAGTATCAAACAAACTTGTAATGCATGCAGATCTACAAAAAAAAAAAAAAAAAAAAGCTCTATACCTTTTCGGTTGAACTGGACAGTAGGCTGCAGATTAAACTTTCAGTGTTGCGACGGGTATCAACCATACATCACAATACGTATCTTATTGTAAAAATCCTTTTCATGTCCCAGCCCTGTTCATTTGAGCTCTATCACCCCTCAGCCTTCCTTTTGTTCAACATCATCAACATCATTGACACTATTTGCATTCATCCTCTGCTCTAACCACAGGTGCATTAGCAGGCAGAGCGAATAATACATTTGTTTAAGCAGGTGTAGTTTCCATTGTTGTTGGTTATGTCTTCAATATCCCTCTTGGATATCAGAGATCCCAAATATGGTTCACAAACACAACTACCCGACTTGATAAATGGCCCATTGGTCTCTCTGGGTGATATCATACACTGGTACAGCCAACTAAACTTCCTCTGCAAGTTGATTATTCTATTAAGCTGCTGAATGTTGCTAGAGTCTGATTTTCTAAGGCCGACATCTCGGCGAGATTTACAAGAAAATCATCAAGTCCAGGCTTAAGTGCTCCATGGCTCTCCCAGTGGGTTGGTTTTAGTAGAATATGGATCAAACAAAACAACTAATAAACGGCTCAGAACAATAAGGGGGGCTGTATAAAGTAGCACGAAACGTTTTATGTCCCAGGACTGTACCACCCACATTGTTGAAGGCTTTCATTTTGCTTTTATGTTTATCCGTAAAAAAAAAAAAAGTATCTATAAATATAGATTTCCAGTCGTGAAACAGTCTGCCCCCTCAGCCCTGTGGACATGGGTGTTCTGAGAATAGTTGAGGCTTTTCCAGTCAGCCACCGTCATTAGAAGCATCTTCCTTTCCAGGGGTGGTGGCAAATGTGAACAAGGTTACATAATGACCTCGAGGGAGACCGGGCACAGGCCCATGTCTCGAACCTTTCAGCTCGTGGCAGGCTTTACACTTCTCATTTGTTTGCAGGCGACAGCTTAGCGCTGGATTAACAGGTGCCTAGCCAAGGTATTAATTCATGTAGATCAGGGTTAACTCTTTAAGGAGTCTGCAGCGTGTAACAGAGGTTACAGGGGAATTCACTGAACAGGATTTCTTTAAACTGAGATTATTTCAATGCTTGAAGGCAAAACAGAGTCCACACATTATGTAGATGACATTTGGTATTTAAATTTTTCTAATAACACTCAGCAGGTGAGGAAGTGGCAGATACAGCGCACCGCTTTCTGATAGCTTTTCTGTTTTTTCAAGCGTGAGTGAAAACTCAGGGCTGTCTTTAAAAAAAGGCTTTCTCTCCAGTGCATGAGTTTGAACAACATTTGTTCACAGTGTCTTTTTGGATGCTGTCAAGTTGCTCGTCATGGCGTTGTTCAGAGAAAACTGAGATTTCAATCAGCCTCTGTCTACCTGAAGGCATAAGAGGACTCTACCAAAATGGATGTTTGTCAGCGGCGGACCTAAAATGGGGGTATGATGGTGATATCAGCGGCCATGTCTGTGAAAACACCATTACCTCCATGTCACGCCTCAATCACTCCCCATTGTGCGATGACTTTCCCCCGGCCCTCCTTCCCCCTCACCTCCAGCGCTGATCTCCCCGTACATGTCCTCGCAGTCTATCACAACCAGCGGGGAGACGCACCGAGCCGTAATGGATGGCCCCGGAGCAAAAAGCAGCCCCAATAGCATATCAATTACCCATCAGCACCCTTTTGGCTGGATGCCAGTAAGTGCCACGCCCCGGCCGAGCCAGTTGGATAAGGTGCAAATGCAGATGTAATGGTTCCTTCTGCAGCGTACATATTAAACAGTGTCAGCTCTGTTACCCACCTGTCGGATCTGTCAGCTGGTGAATAAGAGCGCGGTTCTGAGGGTTTGTTAATCTGTGTGTGCATTCGAGAACGTGTGCGTGACGCGAGGCAATCGGGTGATTTCCCAGACTCATTTGCCCAGTGGAAGCCCAGCTGCTTGCCTGTTTATCTGTTGCCTCTTTTTGATTGCTGACCACACATCTTATGTCACCTCTCCATGAATCCTGCAGGTTAATTCTCTCCTCATTCAACGTGCCGCAGCAGACGCCGCTGGGCACGAGAAATCATTCCGCACGCAGGCACGCGAACAAGCCCGATCACACATTCTCTCTCACACAAACACACACACACTCTCGCACACACAAGGTAATTCAGATGGCTGGCATTACCGCAGCTGTGTGGCCCCTAATGGCCCGCTGAAGTGATTGATAAAAGGCAAACAGTTGCTCCACAGGGGGACAGATGGAGCTACACCTCCCACTGAAGCTGGCACTTGTGCATCAGAGGAAAACACCGAGGGGGTCTGGCTTAGCACTATGACATTATTGCTATTGAAATTAGCCTTGATCATCATGATAGAGCTGGAATGGAAATCTAACAATCAAAATCTCATCAGGGAGAGACAGGGTCCTTTGATTATTTTTCACCTGCATGTGTTTAGTTTCTCCTGGTTGTAATAGAAACGTGAGCGGGAACTGATTGTCCTGGAGGAAGAAAAAACAGGTGTAACATCACTTGGTTTTCAAACCTGAGAGTAAATGAAAAAATTGTTCCAACAAGCCTGATTATATTTGGGAATCAAAACACAACCTCGCTCACATGCTGCTGCAGTTTGCCTCACTTTCGTCATCAGTGCCTGAGGAAACGCTATTGTCCAGTGTTGTGAATCCACCACGATAGCTGGGAACGTCCATGCCATGTCCACACAAAGCAATCACTGTTCCAGCCTGCTATTCTCTCACCTCGACTCCCCTGCATTTTTAGCATTTTTCTCCTCACTGTCTTTACACTTGACTTGTCCCGCTGAATTGAGGGACCAATTAGTGGCCACGGAATGCCCACGTCGCCAATCAGAGCATTGCGAGGACCTTATCAGGTGCGTGTCTCATTTGCGTCAGGCACAAGCACCGTTCCGATTGGTTGGTTTTGTGGGGGGAGATTAGGGTAGTCTGCTGGTGGAGCGATAGAAAAGCTTCTGTTTTTCTGCAACAGTTGGAAAAGGTTGGCCTTTGTTCATAGAAACACAAAACGTGGGGATTTTTGTGCTTTGGAGCGGCATGTTGACAAATTGAGAGGATGACGTCTGTATGAACCTCGACATTTAGAGCCATCAGTCTGATTAGCATGTAGACATCAGCTCAAACTCTAAGCAATTTAGCAATAGTTTGATTTCTGTTTGATACAAAGTGCATGTTACTCTTCACTTGCTACCAGAGGGAAATGAGCAATAGTGTTATTATCCATCAGGTGCTAGAAGGAGGCCATTAGATGCTTTGATGGCTTCACTACAGTTACTACAGTTTTAATTTTGGACCTCAGTCACATAAGGTTTAATGCTGACCGCCCAGATGTCAAGAAACTTTGAACAAACCACTCCAAAGACCCCTGTCAGATGATCTGTTTCCATCCACAATAAAATCATTTTACTGTCTTGACCTCCAAAGACAATCCTCTTCACAGCCTCACGTTGAAATCTGCCGCTTTGCAACTTTCCTGTTTGTTTATCTTGATAACAGAGATTAATGGTCCTGACTGCGATGCTAAGCATGCTAACTAACTGTCTTGTTATCTTTTTGTTCTCTCTTCTGTATCTCCGCAGCACCACCAAAGTTTTTAAGAACCCCCAATGACCAAACAGGCGTGCAAGGAGGGGTGGCATCCTTTATCTGCCAAGCTACCGGAGATCCACGGCCGAAGATCGTGTGGAACAAGAAGGGGAAGAAAGTCAGCAACCAGAGATTTGAGGTATTAGGTCTATTGTTCTGATGTAAAATGCTCGACAAAATTGGAATGCTTCAAGCACTGCTTCTGGCTCTGCTCGCACATAATCCATCTCCAAGCCCCGCTCGCCTGCTTTTTTGCCCTGACTTGCCACCACGCATTAGCAGGCTCTAATAATCATGCTGGCCAAGCTTTCGAACATGCTTGAGTTTAATGAGGAAGTTTACAAAAAGATCCGGGGACAGATTTGTAATTCGATAAAAACGACAAGAAAAGAGCAATTGGATAGAAGAGAAAACAACTTGTGGTATGGCCCAGATACCTACATTAGCATCATGCCACATTTGCCAGCTTATGCAAAGTGAAAGGGGAAGCAGCGCTTTCACTTCGGAATATCCTTTTGCTTTGTGGCATCTTTATCTAAATGCATGTCCTACCCTCCTTATTTTGGCTGCAGCTTTGATTTCTGGTCAGCTTTAATCTGCACTTGGGCTCAATACCCATGAGAAATAACACATCATTGCAGAACACTGATAAGATTTCTATTAATTTCTGTGTCAGTCCTCGGGACTATCACAGTGCCACTCCCCCCCGCTCCGCTCTTGATGCCATATTTGCTTGCTTCTGCACTGCAGCAATGGCTTAACAGAGCATGGAGACCTCGCCCCGCTTCTTCTTTGGGTCTCATAACGACAGAAATCTAATCTTATCAGAGTTCATCGCGTTTGCATCGCACGTTGAGCTGAATGCTAACACTCTAGTTTTCATTCCCTCATTGCCTCGCAGGGTTTGCTGGCTGCAGCCATTTCACGCCCATTCAATCATGTGCCGCTGCCTCATCTTCTAACAAACACCCATTTCCTTTTAGTCGTCTGGCGACTTATTTTGTAATTCACTTCTTAAATCTGACTCAGTATGGGGGGGCTGTTTTTTGCTTTCACCTGCTGTCAGCTTGAATGTCAACACCGCTAAACCGCTTGGCCAATGAAATGTTGAAGTGTATAATTGACTAACACATGCACAGAGATATTGTGAATTTTCAAAATGTTCGTAGGCTTTTGTGTGCGTGTGTGTGTGTGTGTGTGTGTGTGTGTGTGTGTGTGTGTGGGTGTGGTATGTGTGAAGAAGAGATGTAAAGCCTATCTTTATTGCAATCTACCTCAATGCTTAAAAGAGATTGAGTTATGACACAAGGCTTTCTAAAGTCAGTGAGTATTCAACATGTAGCATGCACAAAAAAAAAAAAAAAATAGCTGAATAAGCTACGACAAACACCTGTTTGTGAACATTTTTATGTGTCGTTCGTCCAATACAGTCGGTCCTGTCTTTTGTACCACTACCTCACCTCATGGTACAACTGTCCGTAACAGTTTATCAAGCCACTTTTAACTGTTTGTGCTTGTTTCTGTCCCATCCACACAATCCAGTGTGATGCATTTTTTAAAGATAGACAGTTAACTTTAAGAGTGGGACATACTCAAATTTACAGTCCGCTACAAAACGGGGAATCTGAGAAAAATCTGACGAAGGAAAACATCCCCATTCTTAAAGTTAGTCAGCTGCACTGCTTATATTACCAATCAATGCACAAAGATTAACTATGTCTAAAAAAAAGGGCACGTCTGAGCACACGGCCAATCAATTTAATACATTCCTACAATTAAAAAAAGCTCAAATATACACAAATATATCATCTAAAAGTATCCTTCTATTTAGATCCTGAAGTTGCATTCTGTAAATGTTAAGTGTACAAACACAGAGTCACTAATAAACACTAAATCACAGGGGGTTTTATCATAAGGTAGGCACTCACTGTTGTTCCCGTCATAGGAAGCACATTGTGTCACCATCAGTGTTGTTAGCCAAACGTCCTCAAAAGTCTCGCTGTTTTTTTATGTCTGTTTGTTTCTCTCTGTTTGTTTTTGTCTGCTGAAGGTCCCTCACCCATTGTGAACAAAAAAATCTCCTTTAACATATCCTGTCTCTCGCACCTGCAGGTGATAGAGTTCGACGATGGCTCTGGTTCAGTGCTAAGAATTCAGCCTTTGCGCACGCCCCGAGACGAAGCCATATATGAGTGCGTCGCCTCCAACAGTGTTGGAGAGACGAGCGCTACCACCAGACTCACTGTTTTACGTGGTAGGTCCTCAGAAGACAAAAAATACACACCACTAACATGCCCCCTTTTTCTCCCAGCTAACTCAGGTAAGCATGCATTTCCTTGTTTGTCTGTCCTGTCCTCTTCCCTTTGTTTTCTCACTGTCTCGACACACAGTCAAACCCAATTAGAGACCCTGGTTACACTCACGTTGTGTATTCTAACGTGATAAGATTTAGTCCATTAGCCATTTCGCCGAGTAAGTTTCCGTTTCTAAGTGACTTAAGTCATTTGCATACAGATTCCTGACACAATAATTAAGATGCCAGTTAAATTATGCAAATAGCCATCCACTTCTAGCCTGGGGTGGTTTAATGGAAAAGCTCAGCAATAATTTTCAAATCAGTCATTTTTCATCGCTGCACTTCAGCTTTGATATTCGTTTGACCGTGTAGAAAATAAAGCAGTGTTCTCCCGTGGGATTAGCAAGCACATTTTGTTTGTTGTTGCTCTCCCAATGCCAGTATCTTTCAGTGACCAGTGGCTGCTAATAGCCGGCACTCTTCTGCACAAACACGCGCGGAACAAACGAGGCGGGAAAGGTCAGCTGCTTTGTTTACTTGCGCTAAGTGAAGAGAATAAAAGTCAAGCGACAAACATCAAGTTGGTTGACGGTGGCTCTTTTATAATAAGGACTGAGCAAAAATGTTATCTTGATTACACAAAACATTCCATTCAAAGGCAAATATGTGGTGTCCCAGAGCTCAAAAGGCTGCGTAATATCGCTCTAAAACATGACTTGTTTGGCTGTGAATGGAGAAAATGGCTTTAGAAAAGAGCCTTGGGCAAGCCTGAATGAGGTGTGCTCCATTATGTGCCACAATTACACAACATGGCAAATGAGTTCCTATTGAGAGGGGTGCCTCCATCCTATAGAAGAAGAAAAAAAAAAAAAAAAGCTGGCGCTGTGAGTCTCTGAAGCCCCCACCTTTCCTGCTTCTTATCTCTCCAATGAGCCAACAAAAGGCCCTCTGCGCTGTCTCCAGGGGCCGATTCAAAGAGAAAGGTGGCACGTTCACATGCAGCTCTCCCCCTGTTTACTCTGGAGCATAAAGCATATGTGTGTGCGTGCATGTGCTCTCACAAGCAATATTGTGCACATTTCCTGTTCACTCCTGCTCTGTCACTATCTCTGTTATTCCCCTTCACACACACACACACACGCACACACACACACACACACACACACGCACACACAAGCCAAGAGATAGCTGAGGGACGGGTATAGACGCAGCTCTTCCCAGCTCCACAGCCTAGCATTAGCATGTTTATTACCATTTCTATTTTGCTCTTCTTCTCGCCCTCCTTTCCCATCAATGTATTGAAGGTGAGTAGAGGCCCTATCGTGGATCAACAAAACAGGAAAGAGCTTTTTCCTTCTCAGCTTTGGTGCAAATAAAAAGGTGTGTTCCCTGTCCTCACCGTCCCTGGATACCAATAAACAGAAATATTGGCATCGTAAAGGAATCAGGTTGTATTCTACATAATTCTGACATTAATACACGTCCCCTAGCAGTGTTACAGTAGCGTTTTTAACCTATACATACAGGAAAAAGAGTTGTTTACATGCTGTTTAAAAAGTCAATAAAACACGTGTAGCACCACCTCTCCTTTTAACAACACTTTGTAAACATATGGGAGCCAAGGAGACCAGATTTCAGAGTTTTTGGAAGTGAAATCGTGTCCCACTCTCGTGTTATACAGAATTTCAGCTGCTTTGACTCTCCTTTGTTGCATTTTCCATTTCACGATCCACCAGATGTTTTCAATAGGTGACAAGCAGGGACTGCAGGCAGCCCAGTTTCGCACCCAGACTCTTCTGCTGTTGTTATAAGTCCACTACAGTATGTGGCTTGGCAGTATCTTGCTGAGACATGAGAGGCTGACCCTGCAAAAGTCCAAAACCTGTGTATATCACTGAATATTAATGGTGCCTTGCCAGATCTGTATGCTATCTACGCCATGGACACTTGCACATCCCCATACCATCACAGATACTGGCTTTAGGACAGCTTTCCACTCTGCCTCAGTCTACCTTAAGATGACTCAGGCTCAGAGAAGTCACCATTCTTTCAGGATCATGTTTTTTTATGGTTTCGCACAGTTTTAATCTGCATTTGTGGATGCAGTGACAACCTGTTCACAGATAATGGGTTTTAAAGTGACTTTGAGTCCATGCAGTGATTTGCACTTCAGCGTCATGCCTGTTTTTATAACAGTGCCACCTGAGGGCCTGAAGATCACAGCTATCTAGTATTGGTTTTTGGCCTTATCCCCCCTTTTATAACAATATCATACACTGTAGATAATGAAATCCTCAAATCCCTTGGCGTATTATACCGGGGACCATCATTCTAAAATCTGCCCAACTATTTGCTCACCCAGTTTTAGACAGGGTGGTGAACCTCTTCCCATCTTTACTCCTGATAGACTCAGTTTTCTCTGGAACATCTTCTTTATACTGAGTCATGTTACAAACTAGGGAGAAGTCCCTCTAGGTTTTGTCAAGCATTACAGATCTTTTGCAGTATTCCTTCAACATAAGATTAACTGTCTTTGCACTCATTTTCCATCTTTCCATCATTGGCTTATGATCAATCTCTGTTTTTTTTATCAACATTTTACACAGCTTTCCACTTTTTAGGGGGTGAATCAGGGTTGTAGACATAAACAGTTATTTAAATCAACAGAGAGAGGATACATCAAAGAACTGTAGTCAGTGATTCGCTGTCCTGACTTGGCAGACAAAGAAAAGGAAGATGCTTCGACAGTCCTGGCCATAGATTGTATTTCATTTAATCAAAAGCAATTTCATTGGAGGATTTTTTTTCCAAATGCTATCATCTTAAGTTGTTAACTTACAAAACAAACACCAAATGTTAAGCCAAGTTTGTCTTTCTAGATGCTGGTAGTAAGCCAACACACTGCAGCACACTGTACAAGCATTTTGAGGTAATGTAAGGTCAGCTCGAGGATGCTCTTTGTATTATTTAGAAGACCAAAAAGCTTCCTTCTGCCACAACTACTTCATATCGTACAACAAATACGGCATCGCTTGTTTCCTGCTCTTCCTTCCACATGACATAAACTGCGCTTTGAAAAACGCAGCCACATTTTTCTTTTATGTCTAGTCTGTCGACACCACCAGCCAAAATATGATTTCTGTCCTCCTTTGGGTCTTTAGTGGAGAAATACTTTACGAGTGTGCGGAGCAGGATCAGAGGGATAAATAAATAAGCAAACAAAGATAAGTGATACAACACCAGGACTAATACATATAAAGTGACTGTTGGTTTAGTTCATTTAGGCCCCAATGACGTGTGGAAACGACTGCAAAAGCATCTGGTGTAGGGAGCTCACTTCAGGGGGTGATGCCTAATTCCATGTAGGAAAAGGATACCGTTGTAATTGCCATGCTATAAGGACAGGGGAAGCTGAGGTGACAAATTCAGAGTAGTGTGTAAGTAGTGCGGGATATTAGTATTCGCATAGGTCCCTAACTTGATGGGAAGCGCCATAAGTAATGAACTTCCAGGCTCGGAGAAGCCATTTGCATGAAATGTAATGATGTTTTGAGTCAAATCTGCTCAGCCATAGCATGAGGTGCAGGTTTTCCTTTGTGCACTTTTTCTGCACACTCTGTTTTGATTAACTAGGAGATGACCCGACTCATATGCGCCTTGTGTCTTTGAATTAGGGCCATCTTGATTTGCTTTGTAATTGAAAATGACAGGAGGGGATTGAAAATAAGGAAGCAGCAGATTTTGGGTGTCATGGTTGAGATATAATTCAGAGAAGTGGTATTTGATCTAATTTATGGGTATTATTCTGCGAGATACTGGCTCGGGAGACATGTACTCATACAGCGTCTATGCTTTCAATATTATGTAAACAAAACTAAAACTGGAAAATAGAGCGAAAGCCCCTCAATGCAGCCTGGACTCTGTTTCAGCAGCAGTTCCAGTAGAATGATGTGTGGATGAGAGTGCTGCAGTTCATGATTCAGGCATGATTAAGGATTTATATTGCATCCTCATACTCCCATTATGCTGTCAACAGCCATTTCCTGTAGCCCCGCACACAAGTGTGCAAACTTATGCAGCTGTGCACAACTCGACAGTGGGAGCGGAAAATGGGAAGCCGCTCTCCTGTGACGGAAAAACAGAATGCATCATTTCCATTTGTATGAAATGGTGCGACGGCATAGTCGGAGCCGTGTAGCTGAGACAGATCTTTCCACATACAATGAAGGGGCTGCTACATGATCGGTGATTATTCATAGACAATGCAGGCACTCAGGGCTTTCTGTCATTGTGAGGAGAAATATGGTCTCTGGAGCTAATAAAAAAGCCACACAAGGACCTGCTTTTTAAAATGTTTTTAACATATTCAACGAATGCTGGTCAACAATAACTGTCCTGTATAGCAAGAAAAAAACAAACCTGTAAAGACCGACTGCTAATAACCGTTCAAAAATGGCACTTCTGCTCACTCCTAACCATCGTTTGTCCTCTGTGCACCATTTTGTGAATGCATAATGCCTTCATTCTAACAACGTACAGAGAGGGAGAGACGAACAAAAGCTGGTCTGCCTGCTCAAATTGCTTAGCAAGATAAATGCTGTGTCAGCGGTCTTGGACTGTCAGAGCAGGGGATGCAGTGGGGATGAAGCAAGTGACCGTTGTAAAATTACTGTGCTTGTGATCAGTGGCTCGAGAAGAGAGGGAAAAGTGTGGGTGTGGGGTGTGGGGGGGGAGCCACTGTGCAATTCTCTGGTTTAGTGGCGGGAGCTCTGAAGATGGCAGGACCCAGGCCGCCATATGGAACACTCAATTTTGTTGGAAAAATACAAAAGCTGCGCAGAGGCAACATGCTGACTCACTGGAGGAGTAGAAATTGTTTTTTTTCTAAATGTAAAATGAATACAGTGTTAATAACTGTCCTTATGAATATGCTTTCTGAAGCTTTCAAAGCTGCTAGCTGCTTTGCAGTGTAAATAAATCATCACTCGTGTTTATTACACAGGCATTTTTTCCCCTTCCCTCATCATGATGGGACAAGTGCAGCTGAGTTACACCATCAATTATCCTCCTGTCCATCGGATGTTTTATTAAATATCCAGAGATAGTTATAGCTTAGGACTTGGCTCATGTAGATCATACAGATGCAACTCTCCTCTGATTTTAATTAGAGTTGGCTATCTTTGCATGAATCAATCTAGGCTTGAAAATAAATAAAAACTATGACCACACCCTTTCCATATCTAACGGTGTGGTTTCTGTGAAGTCTGCAGGATGGTTTAAGACAAAACCGCTGCCAACAAGATGGATGTTAGACTTTATAGCCTGCATAGTGTGTAAGTAAACATCTGTCAGGGACACATAGGCACTCGGACGGCGCTGAACATGACAGATAACTCTGCGCATGTTGTTGCTTTGCGTTTTTGAAATCAGAGCAAACACAGCCTCCTGAATTAACAGATATCGATTGAGAAAAATTATGCGTCTTCTTGTTCTTCCAGTGTCTTCTCACCACTTACGACTTGAACCAAATTTAAAGCTTCAAAGTACTGTGTGATTTCCAGCTATTAGAGTCTGAAATCCGGCATTATTTGCAGTCATGAGTAGGGTTTCTCACAAAGATCTCTAACAAAAATCTTTGTTATCTTTGAATTTGTGTATATTTCTATAACAGAGTATTCCTTTGGCAAAACATGGCAGAAAACAAGGTCGAAAAAACCAAGTGTGTAAGCGTGAGCCAGGTAGTTGCAGGGTGCTAATGTTAGTAGCTTTGATCCTAGCTGCATTCAGAAGTCATTTGCTACCAGATTAATTGGCGACTGCAGGGTCATCCTTAATGCATCTAATGATCTTGAAACTTTTTCAAACTGTGCAAGGCTGCACACTAATTACAACCAAACGACTGTGGAGTGGAGGGAAAAGTGATGTGGCGTGAATTGATTTTTCGAGTGTAATTAGTTGTCTATACATTGTTACAGTTGGAAGAGCAAAAATGAGTCCCATGACTTATTGAGTGTTACATAGAAAAGGGGATAAGACCCTCTTGAGTGTTCATAGCAAGTTTCATTTAGCTGTGATCTCGCCTGTCAATCCTCAAGCCGTCATATGATAAATCCCATAATAAAATAATGCCACCCTTTCTGCTGTCACAGCCATCAGCTTCCACATGTGGAGAATGACTCCCAGCTAAGTTCCAACAGCCTGACATAACCCAGCTTTTCCATTAGGGGTCCTCTCTGCAGGACGTTAGCAAGCATGAATAATCTCCAGACTTCTTTCAGCCGTCACAAGCTTTTAGCCGTATCAATAATTGAAACAGCTGCTAAGTTTTTCCTCTCTCAGGAGGAAGTAAACTTGTATGCAGTCATTTACTCAGACAGTTATACCACAAGTCTCCCTCAGAACTAGTCTGGGTCTGATGATACCAGTCTAGTCTGTGACCCCTAAACAAATCAGCCAATGTCATGCGGAAAATACAAAGATGGGTTTTAGTCCAGGGGATGTCTCTACAGGAGATGCAATGTTTGCTTGTAAGCCACACCAACAACTACACCACACTTTACGATGCATTCACTTTTTACGCAGATGACACGCCATTTTACAATCCAAGCCAAGACATTCAAACGTGAGCTCGATCAAACTGACCCAACTGCTTGGGACTGTACAGTACATGAAGGTTAATGAAGCGGCTTCATGTCTCACAGTTTTGCCTTCTGTCTTTCTTTCCCACCCGACAGGGAGACTCACCTGGTCGCTGATTCTCTCCCGAGTCCCTGCTGGCTCCAGCTTCTGGTCTTTAGTGTTTCCTGAAAAAAAAAAAGAGATAAAATGTGCAACATAAGTAGTTCAGTTTTATTTTATGATCAATGTTGAGTCACAGACATATTCTTTATTAAACTTTGAAACGTCGAGCTGCATATAGCCGTCCCAAGTGGGCGGTAAGAGGGTAAATATACAATGACTAAGCCTGGAACATAAAAAGAGAGCAGATGTCTGGCAGTATATGCTTCAAAGTGACAGGAGTGTCTGTGAGAATGGAGGCATCTCTGAGGGGAAGGTACCGTGCGGTTGTTTATATATTCCCTGCCTCTTCCTCTTTATTTATGAATGCTTAATGCACTCAAGAGGATCAAACTAGGGTTGATGGACTGTTAAGACAAAAAGCTAAAAACAGAAGAGAGACCTCCTTAGGTGCTTTTCAGGGGGTTTCAGAAACTATAGGCATCATCCACTTTGTGTTTCGCAAATAGCTCAGAGCTTTGTCAAATAGTTTTTTTGTCCTTCTCCTCTTTTGAATATTACTTATGATATCAAAAAGTGCTGATTGCAAATAAGGAGACAAGAGCAGAAGTTTTTGTCTTCCCCAAACTCTAAATAAATGGGCCACTGTTTTCCGTAGTAAATGGAATCATTGCTCAAGGTAACAACCAGCAAATGGAATATGCAAAGTGAAATCCTGAAGAGGGCGGGAATGGGACAGAAGGCGAGGAAGGCGGGAGACAGACAAAGACGGATCGAGCTACTCTTAAAGTCTCAGACTAGCAGCGACTGCATCGAGACAGAAGAAGTCAGTGAGTAAGGCAAACGCAAAAAGACAATGAAAGCAGGGAAGAAAGAAAGACATGATTGTAGAGGAGGTCTTAAAATCCGTCTGTCTACCTCTCCACCTTCCCCCTAGGTGATCTTTACTCAGAACAGTACATCTGGCTCAGCTGATGTGTAGTCTGTAAAGCAAGAAGAGAGGGGGGGCATCTGAGCGTAAATGGAGCTTTGTGCCTGGCTTCCTGCCTGCCTTGCTGCTTGCTCAGCCAGGCCTGTAGAGAAAGGCCCCCTCTCCGCCCTTCCTGCTTCATCTCTCCTTTTCATCTCCCTCTTTACCCATCCATTTTAGCACTACCCCTAAGGGGCATCCGACACTAACACTCACTCTCTGCTGCTTTCATTCTCTTTCCTCCCACTCCCTTCGCTTATGTTGTAAATGGAGGAATATCACAGCTAATCCGTCATGTTTATGAATGACACGGGGCCTGGGGAGTGTTGGGGCGCCAAGCCAGAAGTGGCGTACATCTCTGTTGCGTGCCCTCTGCTTGGCTGATCCAATCTGGCCTAGCAGCGATGGCCATAAAAATTGTCTATGGGGGGATGGCAGGCTTGGGGGGAACATTAGGCGGGGTCATTTCAAAAGCATAACTCCAGCCATTTCCTGGCTCGACTCCTGAAGCCCCACCATTTTCTATCAAATTTCACCCAAAGTCCAACCAAAACCGACAAAGTAAATGCTCCTCCGTGGAGCTCCTTACACTTCCAGCAAAGGCTGGGGCAGACCTGCTGAGCGATGGCCAGTAAAATTGTCCGGTAAGGATTGGAGGCTTAGGGGACGTTAGGCAGGGTTAATTAAAAGCTGAACTCTGACCACTTCTTGGCTTGAATCCTGGTGACATTTTCCTCCAAGTACACCAAAATTGGAAGTAAAACCAACAACTGCTTTTAAATGGAGCTACCTATACTTCCAAGACAGAGTGGGGGAAAAATGACCCTTGGAAGGCTAAAGGGAACAGGAGGTTTGGTCATTTTAAATCATGTTATCCTAAATCTAGCCTTTTTCACCATATCTTTGACTTATGGACACAATTACAACCACAGACAAAATATTCATGTACACGAAGCTCTAAATACTTCCAATATGATGTAGTCCTTAAGAGGAATTAGACACTTCAGAATTAATCTCCAAATTAACTAGCATATATGATGAAACTTGATAAATATTGGCTGTGATATAAGAACACTTTCAAGTGTTAAAAAGTAAAATTTATAAGAAAAGACACACTATGACTCTGGTGAGCTGGCTTACAGTTTTACAAGTTCCCCAATGTCATTCAGTGTGAGTTACGGCTCGAATTGTTCAACTGTGAAGGTTTTTCTCAAAGAAGAAAGGCCTGATGATTAATAGATTGACTCCAGAATGGTTTCCTCATAATCTAAGACATTAGGCAAGGGGGCTTTTAATGACAAATAAGCTGCATTCAATTAATTATACAATCTCAAAGGGGATTTATGGAAGAAATAATCAGTGCAGGGCAAAGGGGGAGAGGAAGCTATTTTTCACTGAGACAGAGCACCATGAACTTCGGGTTAAGGGAGCTCTCAGCGCCTTCACCTTCCTCCTCCATATTTGGTCCCGACGTTCATCATCACAGGAGATTTAAACCACACACCGGGTTGCATTTCATAATCCGTCCCTATTTTGCTCCTTACGGCAACATGGATGAAATAAAATTTAGCAGACACAAGATGGTCTCTCGTTGTCTGCCCTCGGGTCCCGGCAATTTTCTCAAAGAGACTGTATTTGTACAGCAAATTACCGAACTACCTTTTAGCGGTACCGGGCTTGAGAGGCGTAATGCCACTTTGTGTTGGAGTGGGAATGTTCCTCTTAAAACTCTATTACAGAAAATTGGAATTAGCTGTTTGAGCCAACAGTGGCACATTCAAAGTAATATTCATTAGCGTTCTCTGTACCTGTAGAATCAACTAATGAACTCAATGAAAGCATATTTTAGTCAGCCCAGCTATGCTCTTACTGCTAATTTCTTTTGCTGAGAGGTGGTTGGTTTTTCACTGAACAAAAATGTAGTTTCGGAGGAACATTTGCAAAAATATCTTACTGAAGCTTTGGTTTTCTGAAAGCGTGTGTGTGTGGGTAGCAGTCATTTGAATTTAACAGGTAAATTACAGAATATGACAACCATTTCTCCTGTTATTTATTTATTTTTTTTAACCTAAAATCAGCCACCATTATATCTATGAAATTGCTCTGAAATGTTTGACTCTTCTCCATAAAAAGAGGCCCAAACACACTCATAAGTAGAAGACAGAGCCCCTTTCTACATTACCCACTTTTTTATTATGAAGATTAAAACATGCACTTGTGACTTCGGTGGGGATAAATGGGTCACAGACTCTCCAGCACTCTGCTATGTACAACAGGATTAGTTCTGACCTGCGAGTCCTGCACAGATGCATTTGTAAACCTAAACTGGAAAGCAGTCATGCCTTGCCACTGAACATTTTCTCATCACTTCGTCTACGGCCTTGGAACATAAAGCTGTGGCCCCAGGGCATAAAATCGGGACATGCTCTCACATTTGAGTTTCTATGAAGTCTTTTCCAGTCCGGGCTATGATTAAGAAACCACATTAATCTAGATACATGCCATGTTTTAAAACGGTTTGAAGGTTGACTCTGAGTTCAGTAACCCGAGAACCCTTAGAAACAACTCAGGAAGGTAAGTTCTGAGATTGTTCCCCAACACACTCTCCTCTGTGCCTTATTAGATAGAAGTGCTGAGCATTTTCATTCCCATTATTGGATTAGTTAAGCATTACCTACCTTGTGCAGGTGCCAGGAGGCTTATTTGAGAAATCTGGCTCAAAAAAAAAGCTCTAAGGGAAAACCTAATCTTGTTTAGACTGGACAGCATTTGAGCCAAACAGCAGTGGGATGTATCAATGAGATAAATACAGGCTTTGGATTCTCTGAGGGCATTTAGGGAAAAATTTAGACATTTTAATTCACCATTCCTTCTCTTTTTTTCCCCCCCCGTCAGTTATGCACATGGGCTTTTATGCCTTGCATACTTATCTGACTTGTTGCTTTTGCAGTGAATCGTTATTCCTGCCACTCATGGATGATACCCAATGCCTTTTACGTGCAGGAGAAGAGATTTAACATGCAGTTTTACTATTCTAAGTATTTTACCTGAGGCGATGCTGAAAACAATGTCCAGGCACGTTTGCAATTGAAAGGTCTTGTATCTTATTTAGGTCTTGGAGTAAAGCAACAACATAGGCAGAAACTGGGTTTAAAAAAATCAAGTGTTGACACTGTACAAGTTCACAAAGACACATTTTGATGGTTTTGCAAAAAAGAAGGGGTCAAAAAAGTTCTGCTGTACTCAAAAAATGAGCCCTGGAATATCTTCAGACTTGTTGAGTTTAAGTTGAAAGTTGAAAACTAATGAAGACTGGCTCTGATCTTCAGACCCACTGATTAAAAAACAGACATGACTTTGCATTGGAAATCATTGCGTGGGCTCAAGTTCACTTTCAGAAACCACTGTCTGTGAACACAGTCTGTGGCTGCGTCCTCAAATGTGGGTGAAAACTGTTCCACAGAAAGTGAGATCCAAAGACAATCATTTTACAGGAACTTCTGACTTCTACAAACTCATTTAGGATGGACTTAGACATAGACACAGTGGAAAACTGAATGAGTTCTGGTGTAGCGAATGAAAATTGGAAATCATGGAGGCTGTGTCCCTTGGGTTTATTGAAGTGCACAGTTCAAACGCAAGCATTTATAAAGGTAAGGGGCTAAGAGAGGTGGCACCTGAGTGCAAGTCAGTACATGTAAACCTCTCAATATATTGCACTAATGTAGATGAATGATCAAATATCTGTAATCAGATATCAAAACAACCATAGTTCAATGGTTAAAATGAATGTAAGGTCAAGTTTCAGCAGACAGATTGATGGATGTAGTGTTGGGAGAAGCAACTTTGTTGAGTCCAAGCTTGCAGCAGTTAAACCAAGCTGCAGGTAGCTGATAAAAGAAAAGGTAAAAGCTTAGATTAAGAAACTGTCAATCATTTAGTCCTGGACTGTAAAAGTACACCCTTTTGTAAACTGTACTTTGTAGGTGGAGAGAGGAAATGAACAACAATGTGGGTGAAAATGATGAAACATTAGAGAGAGGGAAAGAAGGGAAAATAGAGCAGATGCCGTCATAGTATTGGCACAAAATGGAACTGCTGTCTGCCTTTGTTAATCAAGAGCTCTTACGTTTGGTTGAGTAATTTTGTTTGTGTGAAAACAAAAGCATAATTAACAGTTCCCTCTCCCATGCCAAAGAAAAAATATATAATTGAATACGTCAGTTGAACGGGAGCCGAACAGAACATTTTGTCAAAGAGGATTCAGGTCGCCTCTGAACAGATGTATTAACCAGGCATGCAAGAGTGTTTCACGAATCTGAAAACAAATTTTAATGGACAATGTTTCACTGTTAATGTGTTTTTAATCAACAATCTCATTTTAACAAAAAAAAAAAAAAGAGTGCACATCTACTTTGACAGACCCTCCATTAGATATTTTGTGTGTTTTTTTCTTGATGTTAACTGTGATTCTTTAAGTCTTGTACCATTAAAGTCCTTCCCTTTCAATAACCTTTTACTAAAAAAACAAAAAAAAACTGACAAGTTTTAATTAAATTTAGGTCAGCTAATGCGTTAGCGAGCCATGAAACATGCCAAATTCTGAGTGCTGTCCTTGTTAACTTCAAGAGTGCTGTATGATTAACATGATTAGCACCCTAACCCTCCTAAATTCGCCTATCTCAGTTCGCACTTCTTTTGGAGTCTTGAGCGTGGAAAGAGCTTTAATCAGTCTTCCTCAACTTTAAATTATATGCTTTAGCATGGTGGGGGAAAATGGCTTGGGCTCAAGCTGCTGAGGAAAAATAATCACTGCTGTCACACTCTATGGGTAATGTTTTGTGGCTCATCTTTTGTGTTGGCTCAAGTCTTATCTGGGGAGTGGTAGTAGGGATCAGATTGATTCCTTAAACTAGGCAAAAACAATCTTTACACCAGAGGGAGAAAAAAAAAAAAGTGAGAGTGTCATACTTGAGGATGTCTGCCCCATATTCCCACAGTTCCATAATCCTCCATCTTTCCAAGGCAGGATTCCCAAACAACAATACGTCTTGACACACACTATTCTCCACCACCCTGCCACAGCAAGTGACCTGTGACAGCCTCTTTGAGGAGATTGTATCCACTCAGATACGTTCAACAAATGTATCTTATTATAGCCAGCAGGGATTTTCCCTGAAGAATAACCTCAACCACAGGGTGAAAAGTCTTGTTCCGCTTGAGAAGAAAGGGGTTCGGAGCGAATCCAATCCATGTGCAGCAACTAGGAACAAAAGCCAGAATGTGACCGGAAAGGTTTATGTTTTAGGTCTGCTGGAAACAAGGCTTATTTTCTACAAAAATACCTCAAACATAGTGGGTAATTCTGGAGCCTAAAGTGGATTGAGTTGTTTAAGACAGATCCAAATCTCAATAACTGGATAACACTTAAAGGGAACATTTAGTGTCTTTTCAGTTGTTAGAAAAGAGTGTGCAGCTTATGGTGGCATTGCTGATCATGTAACGTCAATAATCAACATTTATAAAACGTTGAATCAACCTCATTTAAGGCAAGATAGATTGAGATCATACTACATTTTTTCCTTCCCTACATTGACAGCCATTTACCTTCATCATGAGATTAAAGTCTTGCAAGCTGTGATTAATTCCCAGGTGTATTTCTGTGTCTCCTATCAGTCAGCATTGGCCTTATTTTAACTGTCAATCTCTAATGAATTCCAGTACATAGATGTAACTGCATTAGTCCTGTTTTAACCTAATAACCACACCTTATTGAAGAAATAACAGAGCAAACATGTAAACAGAAAGAGAGCATGTTTGAGCGGCGCCTTAATCTGTTTAGAAGACTCCATTAGGCTGATTAAATTAGAGCCCAAACAGGGAGGACATTACTAAGTTTGTCACTCAAACCATTACACCACAGCAGGTGCGAAGTTTACGGTAAACAGAGTGTGACTGTGTGGATATTGGTAGCAGTGTGAAGACTTGTTTATGCTGCACTCTCAGGCTAAAGTTTGGAAACTGAAACGGTTGCTGTTGTCATACGAGGCAAATGTGATTTCCGTCGCTCGTATTTTGTATGAGTGATCAATAGATATAATCTGCTAATGGTTTGAGTTTATGTCCAGTAGCCTTATGTCTTCTGCAAAAAATCTGCACACTGAGGTACTTTTGGAGCCAATGTCCTTTTTATACTCCTCCCATACTTGGCAGCGCACACTCATACGGCCTGATAGCCTGGCAGTGGCTAATGTGTGCAAATTGTCATTGGGAGTCTTTTTATATCAAGCACCAGTGCTCAGCACTTCTCGAGAAGGTGACTTCAGCATTTCTCTGCCTTCCATCTCATTTAGTGTGTAGATCCATTGTTGAATATACAGTATGGGTCTGTAAAGCAGAAAATGCCCTTGTCTTAGCCTGTCCTTGAGATTGCAGCTCTGGAAGGTAGTGAGGTAGATTAAGGAAGCTGGGTAAATCTGTAAAACCTCCTTTATGCTTTAATGCTTGAAATTTAAGCATTATTCCAGCTTTGACTTTCAGTGTTTTTTCGAACAGGTGAGATTTCTGTAACATATTTAGGTCTTACAGCTTAACCACTAGTGCACACATCCTGAAAAGCAAACACAGTCCAGGGACACGACACTGCTGTTGTTCCCCTCAGACTACTTTCTGTAGCCACAAGTTGAAAGAACAACTCGACCATTAGGGATGGGGAAAAAAAGCGAGCTTGTTGTCTTTTTGTTAATTAATTATCTCAATTAATTCTTTCAACGAGTTGTCAATAATCAAACTTCAGCCAGAACATTCAACAAACTTGTCAAGGTTCAATTAAAAAAATGATTAATCACATTATCTTTTGGAGTCTCGGCCTCGGAAGGAAAAAAAAAACACTGCTGCAGCTCTGTTGTCGTGAGTTCTTAATCACAGCACCAGTTCAATTCCTCTTCTATCATGTGCTGCCACATGCCTTTTTTGTGAAGTAAACAAACCTCAACTCATGAAGAGGTAGAGAACATCGAGGTTCTCCTTTTTTAGCAATTGTGTGTCTTCGTCTAAAGTTCTGCGAGGGAACTTTTTAGATACCTCAGAGTTGATGTCATGACTTTGCGGCCGTTTCCCTACGAGCACGAGTGCACAAAGCAGCTGTAAAATACATTTCTGGGCTAAGCAAGAATGCATTCAACAGGCCAGAAACCTTTGTAACAGATCATTAATTTTAAATGCACTGCCTGGAGTCATATCAGCTGCCTGCAATAGGGCTAGCATCATGTAACACTCGCATAATATAGGAGAGGAAAGATGGGTTTGAGAAAGCGCCCTTTTGACCCTGCTGTGTTTTTATTGTTTTTTCAGAATTTAACCGAGCCATGCTGTTGAGAACCATTAGTGAAAACCAGGCATAAGGAGTGGTTTTACTGTGTTTGCATTTTATATGACCCTGATTTCGAAAAGCAATCAATATTTATAACTCAAAATAAAAGTTGTCACACAACCTCCTCTATTTGCCTCGGAGCGGAAAATACTGCAGCGAGAGGTCCGTCCTGACTTCTAAAGGGCTTCTTCTAAATTATGATCTCTGAGCGCTTTGTTTTAGAATACATTGCAATTTCACAGGAGTTGCTTTTTCAGTTCGCATGGGTTGTCACATCCAATTACAATATTCAACACGCATCTATGCTCCTAGGCTCGCTTCTGGCAATTGTGTTTGATCAGGTATACTTTTGACTCACTGTAGAAATGACTAATTGTGTGCTAGACCTTGAAAAAGCTTGAGGGAGCTCGGACAGGGGCTACCATGTACAATTAATTCCTTTCCTCTTTCTCTCTGTCTTTTCCCGTTCATGCCTTGGGAAGTGTAGTACCTCACACTGGACTGGTTTGACATTGTTTGGAGATGTGCTATGACCAAACACATTCTGCTCTGTATTCATTCAGTGATTGCCTCCTTTGAAGTCACCTGATTTAAAATATAGCGATACATTTTATTTTTTAATACCTAGGTCTTCTGAAATGAAAAAAAAACATGATTGTTTGGTGAAATATCCCATATCCTGACCTTACTTCAAACCTAACTTGTTAAATGCAAAGTCAAGTTTAAAAGATAAACAATCAAATCATCGCTAAATGTTTTGAGCTGGAATTAATTCCGCTTCTCTTACTTAGTCTTGCCGTGACATTAACTCTAACTAAATATAAGTCAGTGTGTGACTGCGGTGTGTCTGCTAAGTGGTTATTGGATTTAACAAGCAGCACAATCTGGTGCAAACAACCAGCAAGCACAGTGCAAGACACCAACAAACTTTTAACAAGGGGTAAACCTGGAGCATCTCTCATTATCTTAATGGGTACTAAAAGCTGTAAAGATAACATACATATTGCACAAGACGTCAAGGACTTCCAGGGTTAAACCGCATATGGATGCATTGGCCAAGATTTCCAGCATGACAACATAGCAGAGCACAACTGCCAAGAAAATGACCTGGGTTGAAAGTATGTATTGAATATGGTTTGAGTTCATTAACTCCGTCTTAAAAAATACTGCAGGGGTATTGGCCGTTAAGAAACATGGAGCAAACACTACCTTTCCATCACCGTCAAAAACACGTCAGTTCAGGCAGGGACACGGAGTTGCAATGGGAAAGTTTTGCAGTTCAGTCTGGAGTCACTCATTTGTAATACAGCCTCTCTGAGAAGATTTATCCATCGAGGTGTTTTCTCATGCCAGATACCCAAAAGCATTGTTGGAAGGCGGCCATGATTGTCGTTTGGCTGTGCGCAGGCTATGGCATCTCAAAGCTGTTTCCAGACTGATGTCTTCTCATGAAAATTTAATGAAGAAAGCGTTTCCAAAAAGGTGCCGTTTACGAGAGCGACGGAAGACACTAATTAGCAATATCACAGCGGGGAAAGGAAAACTTAAGGTGCACATAAACCTCATTGGCATTCAGAATAAGCAGGTCTTGTTTTGCAGATTAACACTTAGCTAACACTGCAGACGCTTCTGCTTGTGTGCTTGGAATATTCCTCTCTGTACTCTCTCAAGATCATCTTTAGCTGCAAGCCAAAAATACTTCCCTGTTCAGAGCGGTGAGCTTCAGACGGAGCTGCTCTAGGCTTTGACTTTCATTGTTTTCCTAAAAAGATCGTCTTGGAGTGAGAAGCAAAGTGAGTTATCTCCTTCAACATCTCAAACAGCGGCAAGATGTAGCCTCCCCTTGTTCTGTCAATTAGTTAAGACAAGGCAGGATCAAGCAAACTCATAAACGCAGCAGAAGCACCTGCCTTCAAAGGACTTCAAAGCGCCATCTCACCCAGATACATGTGTAGACAGTTGAGCTGTTGTTTTCATTTTCCTTTGATAAAAAAAGTATAAATATGTTTTAGAAAACAAGTATGTTTGCTTTCTTGCTGAGAGCTACAGATGTAGAAGATCAATCAGAAGAGGAAAAAGCTAGCTGGACATAGCCTGTAGTTCTTGAAGCTGACTTGGAAGTGACTTAAACCTGCATTCAAACTAACGGCCAGCAGGGGGAGACTTGAGGGGTCGCAACAAGAATACTGCTAATATAACACCAGGTGAAAATCACTCTTCATTTAAGATCAACGAATACCTTTGTGAACAGGATCCTAAGAAAGACAACAGAGATCACCGCAAGCACCTGGTTTTCAAGATATCGCTTTAAAACAGTCTAAAGTACAAATCTTAATCATGTCTTCGAGTCCTAACGCTAAGCTAGACTAAGCTCGACTTAGCTAAACAAGTCATAGCACTGGTTTCACAAATGAAATGGATAAATCTGTGTTTGGTATCAATCTTTTCACCCAACTCTCGGCGAGACAGCAACTAATTCTCTCACCTTAAAAACTAACCTGTTTACTGTTGTCTGTCACTCTATGTTCATTGTCCACTTCGTGTCCTTGTCAACACCAAATATGGGTTGGGGGATTCAGTAGTAAATGTACTAACTGCTTCAATGAAAGTGAATAAAAATACACACTTGATGCTTCACATGTAGCTAAAGATCTCTGTCTTTGCTTTACCCTTCACCTACTCTGTTGCTCTGTAGTCTTACAGCCTCACTTTCCTCTGGCTCTCCCTCCTCGTTGGCTTTGCACAGGCTTGGAGGAGGACCAGTGATTTTCTGAATCTGACCCCTCCCTACAATGTCTCTAATCTTCTTCCAGAGGACCAGCTGCCCTCTGGTTTCCCCACCATAGACATGGGCCCACAGTTAAAAGTGGTGGAGCGAACACGCACTGCCACCATGCTCTGTGCCGCCAGTGGCAACCCTGACCCTGACATCTCGTGGTTCAAAGACTTCCTCCCCGTCAACACCACCAACAACAATGGACGCATTAAACAGCTCAGATCAGGTAGGTTTCCTCTGCTGAAAGCTTAATTACCGCACAGGGAGTCTTCTTTCTAGTTATCCTCTATCTGATCTGCTCCCCCTGTTCTGTTCTTTCATCCTCTTCTTCCTCCCATAATTTAACTTCTCATTTGGCTTTTCATTTTGTAGGTAATGGCATTGTTTCTACTATATCCTGTCTACTACTCTCTGTACGCCCCGGTGTGTGTTGTCTGTATGTTTGCCCCCTTTTCTGTCTTCCAGTGTTGTCTTGGACTGTTGGGATTGTTGCCCCCTCTGTTTGCTGGCTTCTGCCCTAACTTCTGCCGTCATTGCTCACTGCTGTGACTTTTTACAACGGATTATTTTGCTGTTTTCGTTGATTTTCTTTCCCCACTGCATTGGTGCAGTACTTATTACTTTTCTTTTTCAATCCATTCTCTTCATTTCTTATTTATTCTTTTAACAATTAATATTCAACATTCGGCTTCATTCAGAATCTGCTAAGGAGTGCACATGATTTTCAACGAAGAAAACAAGCAGAAAAGCATAAATTCAGATTCTTCTTTCCAAAGAGGAATTCTTAATCCTCCTCTGGATTAAAAAAAAATAAAAAAAAAATTGCTTTTTTTCTTTTAACAACTTTGTCGAAATCAGAGAAAAACATCTCATTCTGTACAATCAGCCACAGTAGTGTGTAAAACTCCCTAAGGCTTCTCCCTTACGCCTAATTCTTTGGATTTAAAGCCCCTGCTTTAATGTGTTAACGCTAATTTTGTTTTTATTTGCCTGTAACGCTCCCTTATATCTCCATTTACCTGAATACTCCAACTTTGATTTCAGTCCTTAATAAAATAGATTATTCTACGCCTAAAATGTTACAGAGTCACAGCTTTGCCGATTTATGTGCTACCCAACGGCAACGCATTCGCTAAACTACCTGTAAATTTGAAGTCTTGTTTGTTTGACCACTTGTCTTCACGGATTTCACAGCTGTCCTTTGTTAACCCGTCTTGTTAACCTTACTTGTTTTCAACAGAACTGTGTAAAACTAACCCCTATTTCTAATGTGCGACTTTGATTCACGTAGTGATTAAAGCTTTAACGAAACCTTGTCAACTAAACTTCCATAAAGAATATAATCGTATTCTTATGCTGTCTTTCTTCTCTCTATATTTTTAAATTTTACAGAATCCTTTGGTAAGTGCTTAGCTCTAAAGCACACATCACCCCCCACTAATTTTTCATGTTTCCAACAACTATTAAAATGCATGGCATGCATTTTACTAACAGATAGCTTAGTCTCAGGGCTTCTACTAGAGGCACACACACTCTTCCCTCACCCTAAGGTGTACAAAGTGTCCTTCCACTGCCAGCTGTAGTAGCACCACCTTTATCTTGAGATTATAACCACCAAACTGCAGCTTAGCTTTGTCATATACTGACCTGAGTATTGACCTATCCTCACATGTTACTCACTCACTGACCCACCACTTACTCACTTATTTAATGTGTTAACACCAGCACATTAGGGTAAGGATATGTCCAAGAAGTTTTAGGGAGGTGACCAGCTTAGGTGAAGTGAAAGGATCTCAGGATTTATAAAATAAAAGATGTCTGCTCTTAATCTCAAACACAAAGTCCTTCAAGTCTTTCCCCTCAGTAGATGCTCTTCAGAAGCCATTGCCACTTGCAAAAATGGCACCTCCCCCGTGGTACACCAATGTACAAGTTCTTCTCTCTGACCTATGATTTTTCTATGATGAATCCTGTCTTTCTCTGCCATTAGAGTAAAGAAAAGTTCTTATTCTCTCTCTCTATCTCCTTTCTCTTTCCTCTAGTACCTTTATTTACGTACCCTGTTAAATCTAATTTGATTCTTCTTCCAAAGCCCCCAGCCTCTATCTACTCGTACTAATGCTTCTTCTTTCTAATCTTATTTGCATTCATATTATCCACCCAGGTGGTACACCAATAAGAGGTAAGAGTGCTGAACTGACGTTCACAGAATGAAAATAATACAAATTCATTCTTGCTGTCAACCCATCCATTCACTTGAATCACCTCCATTTTTGTCCTGTTTACCAAGACCAAATCCCATTTCGTTCATATGGACCTTCCTTCTTATTTGTCCTGTTCTGTTGACTAAATTTGTATTCCATCTTTTTGTCTCCGCTTTATTTACTCCTTTGTATTCTGGTTTCAAGAGCCTGTTTAGCTCAGTTGTGATATGCTTGCCCTGGCTCAAATAAGCATATCCAATGACAATTATTTTTTTAAACTCTATTTTTTCCGTTCATTTTTGTTTTCTTTTTGGCCATAGCGAACCATGTGTCCCTCTTTTTGTCCAACTAAAACAACCAAGCATTTTTCCCCCTTAGCTGTTCTTGTTCAGCACTAAAAATATGCACAGATGCTGTGGAATCACGCAGGCATGCTGAAGACAACATTGCCTCTCCTCTGCTTTTTTCTCCCAAAGAATTCTTTCTATCTTTGCAAACTACTTTTTTTTCATTTCTTCTATTTGCTTTCCTCTCCTGTACCTCTACAAAAAAGCCCAAACAACCACTTTTTTGATAAAGTTTCTACGGTGCTTTTTTTCTCTTTCACCTATTTTTCTTACTTTTCTTGGGTTTGGAGACTATTTTACTTTTTGACTTTTTTTCTTCAGGGTTTGTGAAAGGCAAACAGTAGAGTCTGGCGAGGACCTGATTGGCTCATTTTTGCCGTGTGACGGGAAGCTGGAGAGTTGTTGATGCATAAAGCCATTTTTCCCTTGGTCATGAGACACCACACTGCTGATCCCATTGGTGGATTTTTATGGGTGTCTTTTGTAGCTTTCACAAGCTAAAGCAGTGGTTGGTTGCTTTCTTGTCGGCTCAAGCCGATATTTTGAATTTTGTCTTCTAATACAAATGCATTTTATTTTTCAGCTAAGGGTTGTCAGAAGGTTGTAAGTTGTGCCGACATACATTTCTTGCCAAGATTTGCATGTCAAATACTTTTGTTACAGAGGGTTATATGTTGGTCTTACCTTACACAGTACTCTGATTAACTTTTTTTCCGATTAAATGAGCAGCATTTTTCAATTTTTTTGTGCCAGCTGCATTTTTTGAAAGTGACTTCACGTCAAAGAAGTCCCAAATTATTGGGTTAGGTAAAACTTCCTCTCGATTTGTGATTGAATATGCTAAAATTCATACCTAAATTTCTTTCTTTCAATTGTCTTCCCTTGTTATGCTGCTTTCTTATACTGTAAACCTCTTTTTGTTTGATCCATGTTTTCCTGAAGCAGTATCACTCATCCCCATATTGACCAGTCCAGTGACATGTTGTATATCGAGGGCTCGCCCCTTTTCTTTAGATTCAAATTGAAGGGTTATTTTTTTTTTTTACATTGGCACTAGGATGAGTGTCTTTCGAGACCCTATAGAATAAAAAAGTTACCAATATTTTTTTCTAAGAAGAAATTTGTTACAAACTAAAGAAGACTTAGATGTTTTTCTTTACTTTTGGTTCATTTGACAGTCTTTTCTTTTCCATTTTCTTTGTCGTTACTTTAGACCTGTTACTTAGGATGAACAATATATTTGTGTCGCTGTGTCTTGCATGATTACCATTTGCAGCTATCCCTCACCTTTAGTACGATAACAGTCGAAATTTAGCCTCAACAAGTGGCTGAGGCTTGGATAAAGATGGGGGATAAACGTATAAAGTTTGAGGGACATGCTTAGATTGCAACTTTTATCAAACTGTCAAACCTCTGAAACATAAAAAGCTAAACTAGAGCTAAAGATGGTTTATTCGGCCTCCTCGGGGCCAACAGAGTCCTTTTCTTTTGATTCTGTCTTGCAAACTTCAATTCATCCAAATGTTAACCAAGCACACGCCGCTACCCCGTTTGCTATTCCCAACCAGGAGCCCTCCAGATAGAGCAGAGCGAAGAGTCGGACCAGGGGAAGTATGAATGCGTGGCGACCAACAACGATGGAACCCGCTACTCTGCTCCTGCAAATCTATACGTCAGAGGTAGGAAAGGCTGAAGAACAACACATGCATGCTTGATCCAAAAATATGAATTACCACTTAAAATTCATGAGAAATCTTTAAATCAGCCAGTACAGTCTGGGGAGAAAACCCTTTAGGCGACTGTAAGTATGGTTTGTTTTGGATTTGATTTTGCACTGGACTTACCTGCACTGATCTAAACCTACAGTAGCTGCTCCGTTATGCATATCTAATCCTTCCTGTTGTTTATCCCGAGTTAATGACTAGTTTGCTTGCTTTTATTAGCTACTAATTGTCGTTGAAACCCAACATTTGGATGTAGTATCAGTCCTGATTCTTTCCCCAACAAAGAACAGATCCTTCAGACCTTTTTCTTCTCCCAACTGGTCAACATTAGAAGGACAGATTTGGTCTCATACTTGGATTGATACAGAAAAATAAAAAATCAAGAGTTAAATTTGGCAAAATAATTGGCTTTAAAAAAGTATCACCAGTATCTTCAAATCCGGTCACACTAAAAACATGTTTTTTTATATATATATTCACAGAGAAAGTAAAATAAATGTGCAGTAATATAAACAGTATTATGTCAGAGCATCTAACTTGTTTTTGCACTCAGCAGTGAAGACTTCCTTATCTTAATCTGACTGTATTATCAGGCCTCATCTTTACATAAGTGGATATGTGCAAAGTGAGCTATAGTCTAAAATCAATGGGTTAAAGTACAGATTTTAAGATGTGTTTTATAACCTTTTTGTAATGTGTTATCTAATGAAATACAGTTTTAATGTAGATTATCCATCTTAAACAAACTATTTAGATTTATATTAATGTTTTATTGATGTCAGGGAGATTCAAGGGGCTCCCTGCACTTTGAGACAGAAGGTCCTTCGAATTGTTTAAGTCACATTTGCACACCTAAAACATGGCCTTTTTACTCTCTGTGTTTCCCTTGTTTTTCTCCTTTCCCTGTTTTACTTTATTCTGCATCAATTTCCCTACATCCCTCAGAGCTGCGAGAAGGTTGGTGGGTTTTAACTTTTTGAACACAACACAATACAGAAGTCTGTTTATTTTTGACACAAGTTTTTCTCAAGTTTTTTCTCTTTTTACTTCGACTGGTTTTATTTTGATCTCTGTGCCACATTAAATGTTCATGTTTCCATTAAGAATGCCCCTGGTTGTTGTCAGATTGCTTGGTCGTCCAACAGGTGGTGCATGTTTGCATCTTTGAGGTGGGGTGGTTGGGGAGCAATATTTACATCAGACCAAAGGTTCATTTGCATGGTCAACTCCTTATCTTTTTCATTGCCTTTCCTATGTCCCAAACCTAAACCTGTCAGTGTTACTGCTCAGTTTCTCGAATGGTAAAGTATTCAAATGTGATCCTGACATTTAAAGAAAGGGTAAAATGTTATTTATAACGTGACAAACTTCACAAGAAGACAAACCGACCTCAGTTTCTGCAGTTCCCTTGTTAATAGCTGCTGTTCTACATAGGCTCTTTACTTCACTGTATGAGCTCTGAAGCTCTCTCTCTCTCTCTGTCTCTCTCTGCACAGCAGTTTAAGCATCACTACACTCAAATTTTCCCTGTGGTGCTCCCTCCGATTCAAGTTTCTCAGAGATAAAAATATGTTAAAGCAAAATCCATCCTTTGTTGTAATTGGCACTAAAGTCAAAGCACAAAGCTGTAAAAACAGCCTCGCCCTCGGAGATTATATACTTCCTCTGACGCGGATCTTTCTGCACAGGAAGTCATGAAAGAGTGATGTATTTAGAGCGTTATCCACAAGACTTGACAAATGTAATGATATTCAAATGAGAAGGATAATATTATGTCTGTGGGGAGCGTGATCCAATTGGATATTAATTAAATATTGAGTGAGAGAAACGTTGTATTTAATAATGCAAGCAGTTCCCCTGGTTTGCCTCTCTGGAGGGCTGCAGTCTGCTCGACAGAATGGGCTGTATGAATCAGGAGCAGGCAGCAGGAAGCGCCTGCCTGTGTCCCTGTCAAACATCTACCTGAAAAAAGAGCTCGCTTACAGTCAGAGGAACAATAAACAAGAATAAACATTAATATTCAAACACTGAGAAGCTGCATATTCCAGATTAACGTGACCTGTAAAGCAGTAACACTGACTTTATTTTTAATTTTATACCAAAAATGCTCTTTTAGATTTATCTAATTACCTAACCCCTGCTTTTGTACTAGACTTTTACCAGAAATTTTATGTATCTAATAATATTTAACTTAATTTTCTTTTTGTTAACTCCCTGCCAATCCTCAGTGATTCCTTGACCTCCCAGAGTCTTTCATTTCTGCGTACTCCATTAACTTTCTTTTACACTGTATTCTCCCGCTGACCCAGAACCTATTGGCAAAAACACAAAGTTGTTTTTTCCTCATATGCATGGCAGATTCAAGCTCCCATCTAAAGGCTCTCAAAGCTTTTGATGTCATTATGAATGTAATCAGTTTAGTTTCACTCAAAAGTGAAACTTTAACTTTGAAATTGTGTCTTTTGTTTAGTAGAAAAGTGATATTTTGGGGGGTAATTTGTATCAACTAGAGCTGTCAAGTGATATGAATATGATCAGTATGAATCATTCAAAATAAAACCTCAGCACTAGTTTAAGTGATCGAGTAGTCAGAAACAAAATTGCTCCAAAAGCAGCTTTTAAATTTTGGTGGACTTGTTCCTCTCTCACACAATTGTCTTGTCAAATAGATGTGCCAATTATTTCCTTCAGTTTTAAGCACCAAGGACAAAATAATGTGTAACATCCAAATACAAGAAAGCTACTCACTGCCTGTTGCAACTCATTCCAAACAGTTTAATTTGGCAGAGGTACCACCGTTGGAAAGGCATGCAGGAGTTAGTCATCACCATATGAGCACACTTTTCTCGCTACCCAGGGGCCAAAGGATGGGACAGGGAAACATGTTGATCCAAAGTATGAATGCGTATCACTTGACAGCCCTAGTTTTGACTTTTGACTGAGCCTGAAGAGCAAAGCAGAAAAATCATCGTCCCTAATTTGCCAAGACTTTTTTTTCTGTTTGTGTGATGTGATAATGTGACGCGGCACATTGTTTCACATCTGCTGGAAGTACACAGCCTAAAAGTTGTGTCTTTGATACAACTGAGGAGTGCTGTCAGCTGTCCAGCACTTTTGTACATCTGTACCAAAGTATTTTGTGCATGTGTCTCATGCTGCTGTTAATTCATCCACCATTTAAGTTTTTAAGTCTTTTATTAAATATGTAAAATGTGGTTTTTTAAACAGGTTTCATTTTAATGCACAAATTAAACCTGCAAAACTTTATTTCTTATCAGCTAATTTTCAACTTATTTAGCCACTTTTTGTTTTGGCAACACTTTGTCGTCTTTCTGAAACAGATCTTCAGTTGTTTCTCTGTTTGCCTGGTTTTCATACCATGTTTTGTCTTTTTTCAGTGCGGCGGGTGCCCCCACGATTCTCCATTCCACCCACAGACAATGAGATCATGCCGGGCGGCAGTGTCAATATCACATGCGTGGCAGTGGGCTCGCCCATGCCATATGTCAAGTGGATGCTGGGCGCCGAGGACCTTACGCCAGAGGACGACATGCCCATCGGACGGAACGTGCTGGAGCTTACAGACGTGAGGCAGTCGGCCAACTACACCTGCGTGGCCATGTCCACCCTGGGGGTGATCGAGGCTGTGGCACAGATAACAGTGAAAGGTAGAACTGCTTTTTATTTATTAAAAATTGCAAAAACATCAGGCTAGAATTGAACTCACAGCAGCAAGTGTGGACAAATCTCCAAAGCTCTGAACATATTCTTGAATTTTTATGGAGGAAAAAAAAAAGTGCAACTAGAGACTGGTGGAAGTCTAGTACCCAAGCAGAGACAACTGCTGGTGCTTTAAAGAAAAGTTATTTGCCTCGATAAATCTTCTGCGGAGTATTCCTTAAAGCTTTAGACAAGCCCTGGCACCAGCCTCAGTGCATTAGATGCCAGATTGAGAATATAGTGAAGTGCTTATCTCTCAGCTGGAGTGCTACAAAGCCACGAGCTCACCATCTCCGCTAGCAAGAGGTAGAGAGGAGGAGGGGGTGTGAAACGTTGTGAGTATTGTTTGGTGTCCTCTGTAGGCATGGTACTTATCTGAGTGTAATCATATCTACACTGCAGCGTACCAGAGAGATATCCCAGATTGGTGTCGCCGTGTTCACGTGCACACAAGGGACACACTGACGTACACACACAAAGACACACACACACACACACACGTAGACCTTCAGCTTTGTTTTTCCTAGACATAACAGAGATATTAGTCACAATATAGCAGTCTGGCAGTGGGCTACCCCAGAAGCATACTTCAGATGGCATATAAAGACAATATATTGCCCTAAAAATCTTTTGCCATGTGCCACAGTGCAGGGAATTAAAGCAATAAATTTACCTGTTAAATTATTAAAGTGATAAACACAGGGAGATCGGAGATTAACGACAACGGCACACTCAGCTGCCGAACGGGGGGCGTGCGGGGCTTTAATCTCACGCATTAATTCATAGAAAACTTTCTTGTTTTTACGATTGTAAACTTGAAAAGTGGAATAACATTAGGACTATACACCCACCTTACAAAGCACCCTTGTGACTTAAGATTTACCGGGTATCATCAGTATCAAGTGCAATGAGCTGGCAAATTAATGTGATCAATATAATTCAACCATTTGCAAATTAAAATCAAGCCTCTAAGGCCTGAAATATTAAATAAATGACTCTACAGAGGCTAGGCTTTTTAATGTTTGCTCTATTCTGCATGTTGTATAAATATATTTATGTAATATTTGTTCTTGCAGCATTGCCTAAAGCTCCTGGTGTTCCTGTGGTGACTGAGCGAACAGCCACTAGTATTACACTGACTTGGGACTCTGGAAACCCTGAACCAGTATCTTACTACATTATCCAACACAAATCCAAGTACTCGGAGGACTCGTACAAGGAGATAGACGGCGTGGCAACCACTCGGTACAGCGTGGGAGGCCTCAGCCCATACTCGGACTATGAATTTCGCGTAGTGGCGGTGAACAACATTGGGCGAGGGCCACCAAGCGAGAGCATCGAGGCCAAGACAGCAGAGCAGGCCCCCAGCACGGCCCCCAGGCAGGTCAGGGGTCACATGCTGAGCACCACTACAGCTGTCATACACTGGGACGAGCCAGAGGAAGCCAATGGGCAAATCATGGGCTACAGAGTGTACTATACAATGGACTCCACCCAGCATGTCAACCTCTGGGAGAAGCAGATTGTTCGGGGGTCCAACTTTGTCACCATTCAAGGCCTCATCCCCAATAAGACCTATTACATCAAGGTTCTGGCCTACACATCAGTCGGTGACGGACCACTTTCTCCCGACCTTCAGATCATCGCCAAGACAGGAGGTGAGCTCAGCTCGGAGAATTTGTAGTGAATAAATCATAAGTTTAATAAATATCCACACTCAGCAGTTGGATTTGGATTTGGAGTGTCACGAAATCTTCTGAAGCCATATTTGTTGTTACCCATCCTCATTAGTGGATTAAACAAAGCTGCAAAAACACAAATATCTCTGGGCTGCCAACAAAAAAAGTTCAATTGACTTTCGAATGCAAGAAGTAAATTAATTTGGAAGAAAGTTAACAACAACAAACAAAAAAGTTTGAGTAAGGCTTCAGCCCAAGCGAGGAGGGTGACTTTTACCTCCATGAGGTGTCCGTGCATATATGACTGTAATGATAGTGGATATTAAAAAATAGTGCATGATAAAATTGAGTGATGAATTTGTGTCTTTACTCCATTTACAGTTCCCTCTCAACCAACTGACTTCAAAGGAGAAGCCAAATCAGAAACGAGTATTTTGCTGTCATGGATCGCTCCGGCACAGACTGGACAGGAAAATCAAATCACAGGATATGAACTGATGTACAGGAAGAGGGACGAAAAAGAGGAGGTAATTATTTCCTGGCCTGAGCTCTCGTAGCAATACATCAGATCGATCTACAATAAAACCTAAATACTCATAATCACACTGCTCCCATTTGTCAAGATGTATCAGTTTGATTTTATGTGATGAATTTATGTATTTATTGAATTATTTTCTGCTATATTACCCATATTATCCCTTCTGATTAATTATGAACAAACTATGCCACTAATTATCCAGTAAAACGTGTTCTTATGCAACTAGATCTATAAGATTAGATTGTTCTATCCCAGCTGTAATTACATACACAGTATAGATATCTAATATACGAGTATTTATATGAGGCAGAAAAATGGAGTAAATACAAAAAGGTTATCTTATGTTCATCTTACTCCTACTCAGCATACGAAATTTTAAAAAGTTGTTTTCTTTTTCTCTCGGGCAAAAACCCAACTCACATTATATTTTACAAAGCTGCATCATGATGTTGTAATTGAGACCCACAAATCTTGTGTACGTCATACAAAAACAGATTTTCTGCTGAAGTTTGCTGGAGTAAAGTATCTAATTTTAAACTGAAACCAGCCAGTCTTGAAACAGATGAATAGGTGCTGTCCAGACAAAACTGCAAAATGAAAAAGGAAGGTCTTTGCTGGGATTTTTTGAGGTTGAAAAGATGACATCTGTTTCCTGAAGCATAGTTTCATGTTAGACCAATTCACCCGTATGATGAAATAGTCAGTTTCCCTTTGGTATGGTGCTCTCAAGGTTGTTGCTATCATCATCTTTTCTAAACGTCAACATGTTTTTTCAGATCCTAAATGGCAGTATCTTTAATTTAAAACACTTCCTAGCTGGTGTTTACTCCAAATTATACTGTGATGTGCAGATTGATGCTGTTTAATATTGCGCCTGACATAAATACCAGTGAATATCATCTGAAATCTATATCATAACACACTACATTTTTCTATTGCAGAAATGTTTTTTTAAAAATCCATCTAAACAGGTTCATTCTACATTCATTTGAGAGACTGTTCACTCAAGTTCAGCAGCTTTGTTTCGTATTAATTAGGAATATTAAACTTTTGTATATAATCAAATGCAAAAATCATCCCTTCTGGAGTTGTTCCACGTATTTAAACATTTTGAATCATGCTGCTGAAAGTCTCTTTTGCTTCTCTAGGTCATACACAGGCATCACTAGAAAATAAAACCTCTTTCACGATCAGTTAAAAACTCCTTACAGGAGCTTTAAAATTTTGCTCCACTCATTTATGACTTTCTGAAACTCTCCTTGCAGAGACGTATCAGCTTTGAGCCGACGACGACATACCTGCTGAAGGAGTTGAAGCCCTTCACCACTTACACTTTCCGTCTGGCTGCCCGTAGTAAACATGGAGTCGGGGCTTACACCAATGAGATCTCTGCAGAGACTCCTCAGACACGTAGGTCTTCTTCCTTATCCGACAGAGTTTGAACTCCTTTTGGTAGGAACACATTTTCAAATGCATTCAAAATGTAAGATGTTGCTGAGAAATCCATGTCAGGGCAAAATTGTCCAGAAGGTCCTGACTACAGATAAAGAGAAGATGACTTTTTTTTCTCTTCCATGCATTTGAAAAGTTGTAAACATCTTATAAAGCGTAAATAAGTGTTGCCAAGTCTACCTGCCCATGCAGTTTATTTTCTTTAAAAAGGCTGCATGGCCAGAGTACACAGGCTGTCCTGTGAAGTCAAGAGACAAGGTTACACACCTTTGTTGTGCAAAAACAGTCAAGACCAAAATGAATGAATGATAAAATCTTGAATTATTGATATCAGTGCCCACATCTTTGATACTGCACCGTTTCTCTATGAGCAAAGGGCATTTTAGGATGCCTCGTCTCTTGACATTGCATGTCAGCCAAAAAAAAAAAAAGAGAATAGCAGATTTTAGAGACTGAGCTTTCTATGTCGAGACACTACCAAGAACTAACTCTCTGAACTTCAAAGGGATTTCCCCTTTTTGTCATTGACATTCAGACTCAAATTAAATCAGAATCAATAAAGTTATGATGAAACCACATCATAGAAAGCTCAAAGCAAGTACTGTCTCCAAAGTTAGGAACTTATCAACTCAGAAGACCTCGGATTTATGAAAGAAGTCTCGATTGATTAATTGGATTCTGTTCATTAGGACGTTAAATGAAATCAGGCGCGGTTTAACCGGCTAAAGCACAAGTTTGTTTGAAGGCACGTCTTAACTAAATCTGAGGTCTCTAAAAGACCAGGGCACAGATCAGGTGGGTAAAGAAAACAGAGTATTATGTATGTGCTGAGGTTAATGACAAAGTGCATGCCAATGTTATCAGACTTGAATAAATCAGTCATGTCTCCTTGGGAAGTTCTCTGTTGTACAATCAGGCTTTTACCACAAACCAACAGGCTTCGGAAAGGTTGGTGACCAATACAACATTTTTCTATTTTGAACTAGTTGAAGCATCAACCTTTATGTTTTTGGATTGATGGTAACTGCTTGCCAAACTTATGGAGTTGATTTGTACATTTATTTTGGAATGGTTTATCTTGAATTATTTCTGAACTTCTTTGAAATAGTTTGAGGTTTTTGTTGTAGAGTTTAAGGTTTCTAAGTAACAGTTTATATTATAGGATATATGATTTTTGTTTCCCTTTGTTTTTATAATTTTTTTTTTTCATGGCAAAGGTAGGTTACAGATGTTCAAGCTGTCCTTTATCCCAATCAACACCGTCCATTCATCATCAGTGTGTACACTTTTTAGTTGGTCTTCTCCTTTTGCTTTGTCTTTATTTGTGAAGTTTCATTTATTCATTATACTTTTTCATTTATCCATTTAAGTCCTTGTGCTTTATCCTCATTTTGTGTATTTTTATTTCCCTTTTTTTTTTCCTTTGTTTGGTCAATTCTACCATCATCACCCTGAACGAACCAAAAACTGAAACTCCTTTAAAACAAATAATCCAACTCAATGAATGGCCTGACCAAACAAAAAAACCCTGCACCTACACCTGCACCAAAATCCAACCCACCAACCAGAACCCTCGGGCCCACCTCAGGAAGTCAAGTGCGATAGCCCCAGCTCCACCACCATCCTGGTAAGTTGGAGGCCGCCCCAGATGGAATTACAAAACGGGATCATAACGCAATACACCATCCAGTATGCCGCGACCGAAGGGGAGGACACTACAACTCGTCAGATCCCTGGCATTCCTCCGGAAAGCTCCCAGTACCTTTTGGAAAACTTGGAAAAATGGACAGAGTACAGCGTGACAGTCACTGCTCATACAGATGTCGGAGCAGGACCGGAAAGCCTCCCACAGCTCATCCGCACAGAGGAGGATGGTATGTGTTCGCAAAAACAAAGCCCCAGCTGCAAAATCAGTCTACCTCTCTTAAACCTACCCCGACAAATACTAACAACCTCGCTTATATCTACAAATCCTTCCACTTCTCTACCCCTCTGCCTGCCTCTAACATGACTGTCACCACTTGCTACTTTTGATCCCTATTTTTGGACTTTTTTGCCTCAACAAACTGACTCACTTTTTTTGTTTTTACCCTACGCTGCTCAATTTCAACACATGGTATGGCTTTTTTTTTTAATTTGCAGGCCTCAACTTCCAGTCCCAACTGTCTTTTTTTGATCATTTTTGAAATGATATTCTGCAAACTTTTTGAAAGGCAGCAATTTTTTTGGGAACTTGACAAAGAACAAGTTCTGGACAGTGGGAATACAAAAAGGTGGAAGATTTTTTTCTTTTTTCTGAAGGCCATTTTTTTTATATTTTCCCCTCATGTGGTAGAACCATTTTTTGCTCATTTTTCCTAACTCCATAGCCAAAATTCTTGATGTGCTTCAAGCGTTTGTAAAACTTGAAGCCCCCCTTTGGCTCCACTTTTCTATTTTGACAAAACACATTTTTATTCCATGTTTTATAAAAATCCACTCGACCCATTTTTAATGTTTCAAGATTAGGTCAGCTGTCAGACCTGTTTTTGCTGTTGTTTTTTCCCCCCTTACCATTGTTGAAATATTGATGTCATGCAGTGGTTGTCGCAGTTTCGCTGCACTTTTGTGATTTTTTTTGTCACTGCAGCATTTTGCGCTACAGCTTTTGGGCAAGATTAAGAAAAAAAACAAGCAGATGAAGGGGTTCTCTATAATTTGACCTTTTTTCTTCTATCCCATGGTGTTCCTCCAGTTCCTAGCGGGCCACCTCGTAAAGTTGAGGTGGAGGCTGTCAACTCCTCATCAATTAAAGTGATCTGGCGTTCACCGATGCCAACCAAGCAGCACGGTCAGATTCGAGGGTACCAGGTGCACTATGTCAGGATGGTTAATGGGGAGCCCACAGGACAGCCAGTCATCAAGGACATACTGATTGATGATGCCCAGGTACGACTACTCAGCCAGACACTTCCTCTCGCAGACATTTGGTATTGCTTTCTCTGTCAAACTTTGAAATGCCTCACAGCAAAGTCTTTTACTTGAAGAGGAAAAAACTATACAACAGATTATATCAGTATTTCTACTGAATGGGATTGTAGGACATTTTTTGAAGAGAGATTGCTACCTTTACTTTGATTTGTTTGCTTAATTTAATGGTAGCAGACAGACTGTGTGGTTGATCAGTACCGGTTACCTGTCCTTATTTGTTCTCTCTTCTCTCTCCATATTCTTATATCATAATCAGTGGGAATATGATGATTCAACTGATCATGTGAGTAGTTTAATGTGTCAAAAATGCCAATCTTGCTTTTCCCTGCTCTCATCCTCTGCATGAATGGCATGTGGCTTTTGTGCATTAAAGGAGTTCAACAGAAGATATTTATTTACCATTAAAAGTGCAGATTAAAAGCTTTGCTAATACTTTTGTTTAAATGTTGTATTTCACCTTTAAAGTCTCAGAGTCTTTGCTGGCAGATCTACTTTGCTCAGCACAAAAGAAACTCTGTATTTCAAGATATTTATTTGCCAAGGCTTCTTAACACATTCCTTTTTAACCATTTAGCATGCCTCATCTTCAAGTATTCACAGAGAGAATGTGTTTGCCCTGCGTGATGATTATGTAGCCTCCGCATCCCACTTTCATCCCTTTACTTGCTTCAAACTGCATATCAGCTGGCGAGTGTCCTCCAGCTAAAGCTCTGCATCTTTACAGGAAATGATCATCACAGAGCTGCAGGCTGAGACCACGTATTCAGTCACCGTGGCAGCCTACACCACAAAAGGCGACGGGGCACGCAGCAAGCCCAAGCTGATCACCACCACTGGTGCAGGTAACCATCACTGACCACAAACACAGAAGCTACTGTCTGCAGCATTTAGTGTTCGTATTTTTTGATCAGGTAAACATAACCTGTGGACGATACGTTGTATTCAGTACCTGCAAAACTTGCTTTAAATCAAGGAGGTGCTCTAGCTCCACATTTAAGAAGTTAGTAAGGCAGGGAAGTCAGGATGGTGAGTGATTATATTGTGGTCATATATGAGCCGCTTACATCGTAAAACACAGTGCTGACAATCTCAAAAGTTTGGATACATAAACACCAACATCAGTGTTTGAGTAAGCCTACTGTCTGCATCAGATCTCAGACCGTTTTCTCAGTAAAAGGGCCAAGCTAGTCCCTTGCAGGTAATACACTCTCTATTGACAGGAGCCTCAGTACAGGCCCACTTCAAAAAACAAACTATCCCTTTAAACATAAAACTGCATTTCTGCCCTGCAAAGCTTTGAAACTACAGTCAATACGAGGGGAGGAGGGGGGAGCACTAGGCAAGCTTTCATGTCAGTGAGCATTTAAAGTGTGAATGCAGCTAATTGCTGTCTCATTTAGTGCAATGACTCTTACCCACTGGTGTGACACTGCAATCCTGAAGGCACTTTAAAAGTAATGGAAAATGTAGAGCGTGTGAAAGTAAGACTAAAAATGGACTCTTCTCCGGTTCAGATTTTTCTCTTCTCTTTAGACAGCAGATCTGTGATGAGTATGACAAGATGGAAGCACTAGCTCTGTATTTGTAACAAGTCATCTCTTTTTTTATGTTGTAGTTCCTGAAAAACCTAGGCTAATGGTCAGTACCACCAATATGGGCACAGCTCTCCTCCAGTGGCATCCCCCAGCACTAACCCACGGTCCCCTGCAAGGCTATCGCCTCCGATTCGGCCGCAAGGACGTGGACCCGCTGACTGTCATTGAGTTCCCCGAGCGAGAGAACCACTACACCACCAAAGAGATCCACAAAGGAGCCTCGTACACCTTCCGCCTCTCGGCGCGCAACAAGGTGGGCTTCGGTGAAGAGACAGTGAAAGAAGTCACCACGAATGAGGATGTCCCAAGCGGTTACCCTCAGGCCATCACAGCAGAGGGTGCCACCACCTCCACCATTCAAGTTAGCTGGCAGCCTGTTCTGCTGGCAGAGCGAAATGGCAAAATAGTCAAATACGCTCTGCAGTATAAAGACATCAACAGCCCACGCAGCCCCTCCGAACTCTTCATCACCGCCCCGGAATCAACAGTCGTCCTGGACGGCCTTAAAGCAGATACCACTTATGATATTAAAATGTGTGCCTTCACCAGCAAGGGCTCTGGTCCCTATAGCCCAAGTGTCCAATTCAGGACACAGCCTTTGGATCAAGGTAGGACCAGTCCCTGAACCTTTTTAGCCCTTTCCTTCTGAAAAAAAAAAAAAAAAAAAAAAATCAACCTTTCCAGCAACAGCAGCTTCCCCTGAAAGCCACAAATGGCAGGAGTTGACGGAGAACTTTGACATTTAAATATTCTCCAAACCCTTGTCCCCCCCCTCCCCTAATCTTACCATAATTTATGAAACTCTCATGGTGTGAGTCTGTTTGTTTCTTCATGTCTTGTCAGTCAAGCAAAGGTCAGTCATTAATTTATGAGTTGGTGTTGATAAGAAGGTAAGAGGACAGTGTTGAGTTCAGTGTAGTACCGATTTCAGCCTGGTTTTGACGGGGAAGTTCTCAGGTAAGAGATGATGTGGGACCATTGGTGTAGTTAGGCAATAATGGGATGTTTTTGTGTCTAAATCATCTGCTCCCCCTTTCTTTTAGCAGTGTTTGCAAAAAATTTTCACGTGAGAGCTGCTATGAAGTCGTCAGTGTTGCTGACCTGGGAAATCCCAGACACCTATAATCCGGCTCAACCTTTCACTGTGAGCACTAACAGAATAAATACATATTCACATGAACTGCAGATAGATACAAAACAAATAGATTCATTTTACATCCGCAGCCATAGACTTGAATGTCTATATGAAATAACTTATTTGTACACAGATCCTGTACGACAATGGGCAAAGCGTGGAGGTGGATGGGAAGCTAACACAGAAGCTAATCACGGGTCTTCAGCCAGAGACGCAGTACTCCTTTCTCCTGACCAATCGTGGCAACAGTGCCGGAGGTCTGCAACACCGTGTGTCCACCATGACAGCTCCGGACATCCTCAGAACCAAACCACAGCTGATCGGAAAGACTAACTCGGATGGTATGGTGACCGTGAAGCTACCGGTTGTGCAGACGTCTGAGAGAGTGAGGTGAGCTGTCACAACCACGAACCAAACCTGATCACTTCTATAAGAACTGTCTTCGATCTCAGATTTTTAAGCTAACAGCACCGTCAAATCCACATCACTGTAACACTGGAACAGCACAGCTGATGTTAACCAGTCTAAAATCATCCCAGAGTCGATAAACAGACCTTGAGTGTAATCTTGGTTGACTGATTTTCCAAATTCAGATACTTGTTGGTGCCAACTCGTGTCAAGTAAAATCCACTTTGACTCAGACAGCTCTTTTGTTAGCTGTCTGGCTTGTGAAGACATCAGTATTACTCAGGGGGACTCTGTCCGTTGTAAATGTCTATGTTACTGTCTATTATCTATCACTGATGCATTTTAAATGGAAATAAACAAGTTGACATGATAGCTGACCTTGTCGGGGGTAATTCCTCCAAAACAGAGTCATTTATATTCATCATTACTTTTCAGTGTGATCTCCACTTCACCTCAGTCATCACAGGCTGAAGCAGCCCGACTCATTTAAGCGCACTCCTCTAAGCCCTGCGAAATCTCGAACAGCTTTTCAACAAAGCCCAGGGTTGTCAGGGGTCCAAGGAGTACATCCGACTGTGGAGTGACGCTTCGAACCCATCTTGTTTTTTTGTTTTTTTTCATTTTGATCTCGCTGGATGCACTTGGCCCACTGTCTCCCATGCCAGAGCTTAAGCTAATTAGGTTCCCATTAGCCTGCCACACTGCCTTCCTGGCTAGCCCTAGCTTGTGCAGTGGCCAACCAGAAAGCCCGGAACAGTCTGGCAGAGGCTGTTATCGCTCTTGCCACCCTGATATAGGGATGAAAATCCCTCTAATTCTGTATCTTCTCTGCATTCACAGAGGTCTCCTAATTAGCCAGTGGGGCTTTGAGTGAGGTGAAACTGTATTGCCTAACCTCTCTGAGTATGCTTGAATTAAATAGCAAACAGAGAGGAAAATCGTCCTAATCAGGGTGCAGAACAGCGTGAATGTGCGTCTTAGTTTCTAGAGAGGAGACTATCCTCTCCAATGCGGGTCAACATGGTCTACACTCATGTTTGCTAGGGAAACAGTGTCAGTTTATCAGTAAATACCACTGGTATGCCTTCACTTAAAATAAGTAGCATTGTTTTGCTTCTAATGGAAATTAATTATACTTTGCGTTTCATTTTAAGGGGATATTACATTGTGGTGGTGCCTCTGAAGAAGCAGCGCCCTGGCAAGTTCTTCAAACCCTGGGACAATCCTGATGAGATGAATTTGGAGGAGGTAGGTTCGAGGCGTGAGCTTTTTATTATGACACAAGAGTTATTTTTTTCTATTATTCAGCTGTTGTATTGTCTTCTTAACAAAGCAGGGGTAACTGCGCGCATATCTTACTCTTTGCTTTTCTCAAAACTGGAGAAATAAGTTGAGGCAGTTAAGGGAGCAGGAAGAACAGGAGATGAGTCTCGCTGATTGACGCAAATAGCAGCAGAGAGCACTGTTCATATGGAAATGAGAACATGAAGTAGCCATCAAGTGCACTGCAAACTCAACCCTCCTCCCCACCTCCTCCTCCTCCTCCTCTTTGTGTCTGTGGTAATTACCTGAAGAGCTGCATAAGGCCTTGATGTCTCTTCTCATTCCAGGCAAGCTAGGCTCATACGTATGCACTAAACACTTCACAACTTTTATATTTAGCCAGTTGAGGTAATTCAGGAGCTTCTGTCCACTGCAGACCTGATTGGATGTGTGAGCAAATTAAAGTTTTATCACTTTGTTCTCAGAGTTGTGGTTGCATACCAGGTGCTAACGGCGCCACACCAACAGAATTTGTCCTTAAAATTTACTCTGGCTTGAATTCTTCTTTGCAAAAACCCAGAGAGAGACTTATCTCTGATATTTTCAGTTCTTTAAGTATTTATGTCTCTTGTATAAACAACCCAGTATATCACGTGTCGAGAAGGCCAAGAGAAAACACACCGTGTCTCATCTGGCATTGGCTTTACAGCTCATGCCTACAGGCCCGTGTCTGCAGCCTTGACCGATTGCCCAAATGTCGCCCCTCTGTCAGAATTTATTTGTTTGTCAATACTGGCACTCACCTTTTCACAACTTTTCCCAAGGGCGGCTAGATTTAGCCGTGTTGACAGCAGAGATGATTGAAGACATTATCGGGCTGCACCAACAGCCCCGCAGCCAAAACAGAGCACACACGAGAGCGCACACACTCTAATGTGAATGACAGGCGCACACAGTACACACACACACACACACGCACATACTCATCTGAGCACGCTGGTAAAAGATATGATATCAGACACCCTAACTACTAGCCGGGGATGATTAGCATAATTATGATTCACGCTTGGTGGTGGAGGTTGAAAGTCAGATGGTAGAGGCTTGTATGAAGGGCACACCGGGGTTAGCTCTGTTATCGTTTTAGGGTTTTGGGGGGCCATTTTTTTCTCTTCTTTTGCCTCGACATTATTTAAACAAGGGCGGTTAGAGAAAATAGTGATCAATATGTGATGCATCCTTTCCAAATTTAGAAATCCAGGTCTACAACAACAGTTTTTGATGTTTAAGACGTACTCTTAAATCCGAATAAACCTGAGCAGGAGTCTAAATCCATTATAAACACATGCTGCTATGACTCACATTACAGTACATATTTTCTGTCAATATTTACCAACTCCCAAGATACTATTTACTCCCATCTGGCCATCTTAAATGAAAGTATTTGATTGCGCCAACGAGAAAAACTAACTTCAAGTTGTAAATTAATTCAGTCTTATTTCCATCTAGCTCTGTTGGATAATCCTCGACTGGTTTTATAAGCTGGAAATGCAAACAATCTTTTGGTTTTCTCAATCTTTTATGTTAAAAAAAAAAAGATGAATTAAGTCATTGATCTGTTCTGAAATGTTCTGCTTCTTACAATCAGCATTTTCAGCTCAAAATAAAAAAGGAACCGAGATAGACAGATTTGGTTTGTGTAAATGTGTATTCATGTGTGTCCCTGTGCGTTATCAACTGTCTGCTTCTTTCTCCTCACTGTAGCTGCTAAAGGAGATAAACCGAACAAGCAGAGGCCTTCGCTTCCTGAGGCAGGCAGAACCCAAAGCCTATATTGCTGCTTACTTCAAAGACCTGCCCAAAGACTTCACCCTGGGAGACGGCACGATCTACGGAGACTTTGAAAACAAGCAACTGCAGAACGGCCAAGAGTACATTTTCTTTGTGCTTGCGGTTCTGGAGATGTCTGACAATGTGAGTCTGCTCTTTCATGCATGTTTCATCGAAGTTTTATCCGTATATTCAACTTGAATCCAGCTGAAGATATGGATGTGCTTGCCTTTGGGTTACCTTGTGCCACTGATCTCATGTTCTTTGCGTTAGAAAGTGTACATGTCAAAGGGATAAGAGAGGGTTGAATAGGCGCCACTGAGGTGGGCGCCAGTGTTTGCTTCTGGTGTGATGTGTTACCCTGAACCCTTGTGAGGCTTTGACTTGAAAACTTAAAACTGCAGCCAGCCTGAGAAGCTGACCCTTGAAGCTTCAGGGAGAGAAACCCCTTAAGACCTTTGCTGATCGCAGGAAAACCTCGATAACAGGGCTCCTCTTTAATTGCGTCCAACGTGCGGTCCACCTTATCTCCCCCGCTGCAGCAAGTGTGTATGTGTGCATATGTCTGTCTGGACGGGAGACCAGAGAGCGGCATGATTAGGCAGCTGCAAGCGTGATGATGGATTTGATGAGCTGCGGGGTCTATAGTGCTGCCTCGCACACTCTCCGCTAACCCCTAGTTCAGGTAGAGCAAAAAAACGATAATGACGGACAGAGGGAAATCTCTAATTTGCCCACTGAAGCATATATTTTCCTCCCACAAGACCTTTTTTTTTAATCTCCTTTTAGAATGTGAAATAGTTCAATCAAGGCTTCTGTATGGGAGAGATATCAAAGATCGTGTTGATTGGCCTAACTGCAGCTTTGCAGAAATTGCACTGCGAAACTTTGGATTGGCTTTTAATTCGGATTGTTGGTTATGCCGTCTTTCACAGAACCTTTTTAGATATGCTCAGTAGTTGGGGCTAAATGAACGAAAATCTCTCTGCAGTGGAGTGAAAATAAGTCTGGGTTTGCAGAGACACATTCAACTCTGGGATTAGCTGCTACGGTGTGAAATTTTATGATAATCAGTTATAGTAATCAGTTGTTTTCTTTTCTCTGGCTCAGATCTTGTATGCCACAAGCCCCTACTCGGACCCTGTTGTGTCAGCTGACATTGACCCACAGCCAATCATCGATGAGGAGGAGGGCCTAATCTGGGTGGTGGGCCCTGTGCTCGCAGTCGTCTTCATTATATGCATCGTTATTGCGATTCTTCTCTACAAAAGGTGAGACTTTTTAATAAAAACCTGCTTATAAAGTTATACAAAAGATAAAAATGTGGCGAGGGAAACTACACATGGAAATATATTTACAGGACAGTACAAAACATACGCTTACATCACAGGCATCTGCATTTAAAACACATAATTAACAAATCAATTCTAATGCATGACTATTCAGTATTTAACATTCATTACACCCACGCATTACACCACCCAAATCTTCAGAGAAAACATCTGAATGCATCCACTGAAAGAAAGATTTTAACTTAAAGCCTGAGGCACGATGATCCTCACACTCTCAGCCGAACATGAGCTCTCTAAATCTCAGACAAGTAAATCCAAGCAAACAGCAACAACAACAAAAAAAATAAAAAACTGCCAGCAAATTCAAACACCCACAATCCTTCACAAAGACGTGCGTTGACTGATTGTTAATCAGACACATCCATTTCCCCCCACTGCAAGCACAAACATACACACACTCTTGAAACACATGTAAAACTATCAAACACTCGCGGTAATGCACTCTCACACCGAATCAAAACAGTCCTTTTTCTCTGAGCCTCCCAAGTGGAAGCGAGACCTTGAGCTGTCACTGCTCATCAGTCAGAATATCTGCTGCATGTCACTGCATGTGTGTGCAGCTTTTGAGAGACCCTTGGGCCACGGCGAAAGACCCAGCAAACCCCCCCGTCTTACTACAGTCCAATTCACAGGAGAGAGTAGCTCGACTCTGATTCTGATCGGATGCTGCCCTTTTGCTCTGCTGTGTCACACACATGCAAATATTTCAAATCCAAACATCTACCAACTGACTTTTTGTGTCTCTTCTATTATTTTTCAAGAGGCTCAATTTCTACCCAGTCCTTTTGTCAAACTATCCAGAAATTCAATGCAGTTCTTTAGAAGTAATTCAGCAACCTGAAGATGAGTAACATGACAATAAGTGAAAGAAGCACTGCAAGTGTACAGCTTTATTCCTGCTCTCTCCAACACCTTATTGTCCTTGGATTCCATTCATGTCAACTTCTTGTTTGATTCACACAAAGGTGAATTGAAAGTGAACAAAGATGGTGTGTGCGGGGGGCTTCACAGTTCCCATTTGTGGCAGGCAGATTTATGCATCGATTACCCAGCCGCTGTCACCGCCACGTTAAGGAACATTCAGTGCATAACCAGGAGATATTTCTCTTGTCAAGATCAATTTCTATGTGACAGAGTGCTCCTCTTGTGCAAAACAAAGGGCAACAACCATGTTATGTTGAGCTCCGGGGAAAGGACATGGGGATAACAATGTGCGGCTTCATCACAGGGAACATAAATCAGGGTAAATTGTGCACCTTCACATGGAATAATTGAAAGTCAAGTCGTGTGCGCTGCAAAAACAGCAGTTTTGGGTGTTTTATCTGATAAATACAGTTTCAAAGTAGCAGCTAAAAGGTAGCAGTATAAGCTTAATTAATGCACATTCATTCAAAATGAAAATCCCACATGTTTGCATTTGTACTAGCTGATGCATGAACCTTGAATATGCATAACTCTCCGTCTTAATAAATGCACTATTGTAGGCTTATTTGCAGAAAAAGATGAGGCGGCAATTAGGAGTCAAGTGATGACTTTTATGCCTGAACAAGAAGCAATCAGCTGAAACTGCTCGAAAAAGCAGAGATACAAAGCACAAATCTTGGATGCACCTGGGAATGTGTAGTAGTTGAGACAAAGAGCCCCAAGGCTGCATAATTGAGCATAATCTCTGGAGTGAAGCATTGCTAATCTTGCACATAAAGCCAAAGTGAGATATGATTGGTATCATTTGTCTCTTCTGCAGTCATTCACATATTTTACAGGAAAAGTTTCTGGAATTTTCCATTCTATAAAGCCAAAGGTCTTACCACCTAATGTTGTGTCGATATTTCTTTTCTTGCTGACCAACGGAGCAGCAAACCAGACAGGTAAGAGTGAGAAAGAGGTAGAGGAAAACTAATCCCTTTTAAACCCCTTTGCTCCCTGGACTGTTCATATTATATCTAAACAGAGAAATTTCTGGCCCACTGGAGCTGATGTGATTTGTGAAATCGTGCTGTTTACTTAATCAGAATGACCAATGTACGACAACTGTTTCACCCGATTAGCAAAGACGGATGTTTTCTCCTTTTCTGATGCTAAAAAAACATAGATTTCTCATGTATTAATACCAACAACATCAACGTATACATAGGTGGTTGTTACCAGCTACAAACTACAATACATGTCAAATGTCCGAATGCTTAAAAACGTGCAATCTTACTGGTTAAACAGAGTGGTATTGAGAGGAGGAAGCCCTAAAACATGATACAATCCACAACAATAGCCACCAAGTAAATGATGCCTTTGTGTTTACATTGTTTTTAAGATGCAGGTGACTTCATATCCCAATTCAAGTCACACCCCCTTGACTATTGTTTCAAAAGAGCTGCATTGACTATCTGACACAATCAGTGGAAAGCTAACATTAGCCTCCAGTTAAGATGCTATTTAATGGCAAAGGCTATTGTACTGGATTGTATCACACTGTGAAGTGATGATGGTTCTAGTTCCACCCCCCTGTAACCCTGTATACCGTAAGAATGCAGTCATGTCACCTCCTTAATTACGTATTTGCCTGCAGGGCTTATTAGGCCATGGAGCAAGCTGTAAGAATGCATGGAAATGAATGAGAAGTCGAATGTGAAATGTGGTTGGTTTTAAATACGAATGATGTCCTGTTTGTTCTGCAGAAAAAGGGCAGAATCTGAAGCTAGGAAAGGCAGTCTACCCAACAACAAAGAAATGCCCCTTCATCATCCAACAGATCCCGTTGAGCTACGCCGTCTCAACTTTCAAACACCTGGTATGTATTTAAAATAAAGTCATGGATGTCCATCTCATTTAGTGTGAATTTACAACTGAATATGCAGCATAAAATAAAGGGTGCAATTGCAGAGAGATTGCTTGTTTGAGGTTTCAAGCATACCCCATAATTAGATGTGCATCATCCATTGTTTGTTCATTTGCTTTCATTGCCAATACCATAATGTCCCAAAAATGACACGCCAATTTCCGCAGCCGGATTAGCATAAAACAAGAGAGAGCAGTTTGCAGGTAGACAGAGGACAGGTGCTTAGAGAAAGCACGGAGGGTCAAAACTGACAGTTCCTTCCCTGGAGACACTTCTTGGTGGAAAATGAAGAGGCAGAAATGCAAGCTTGACAGTTTCATGGCATCTGTCGTCTTCCCCTGCACCTGCGTTATCGAGGTCATCAAGACCTGTCATGCTTACTCAGAATAGTGCCGACCTGCTTGGATGTGATCCTGCTGCTAGGACTCACAGGATGCTGCGCGGTGGAAGGTGAGGGGAAATAGAAAACGTGTCACGGCGCGGTGCTCCGGTCAGGATGTGAGCCGGTGGGTGGCGCCGCACAAGTGGTGACACGCTGTAAACAGAAGTATTTACTCACTCTGAACTTCGGTGCAGAGGTGAGCTGTGGTCAGCGGTCATGCCCTAGCCTCTCATCATTCCTCATCTATGGAGAAAGATGGGAGTCGACATCTATTCATCACCTGAAAAGGAGGTATGCAACTTTGCCCCTATCCTGACTGAGAGAGACACGCTATACTGCCATTTGAGTTCCTCTGGCACCAACTACTTTGGGACAGGTGTTCACAGACTGCCAATAATGTTGTAATATCAAAGCCATATTTTTCAGGTCAGCTCGTATGAAAGGAGAATGAATTATCCCTCCAGGCTCATTTTTTTGAAAAGATTATGCATATTTATGAAAGCTCTTCAATGATGTTAGGACCATTACTGGCTGTTTCATCCTGGCAGAGGGGTATTTTTCCTTTTGGCTCAGAGTGATCTCAACCATCCTCCCACTATTTCGCTCGCCTCTCAAGCCATCATTTCTGCCCCCCCTCCCGACAGCCTTTTTTGAGAGCCGGTATCTTGGCTCTCTCACTGCTCAAATAGGACCGAACACTTTTTTTTCCTCCTCACCACGTGACCACTCTCTCTCGAGCCCTGAAGCGCTTCCACATTAGACCACCTTTCTCCCTTTCTCTCTCAACCCGTTCTCTCACCTCTTTACCCCTCAATGGACATTTTCATCTTAAGGATGCTTGATGTTTGAGCGACGGCGTGTTGGAAATGGTACTTTTATTGTCCCCTAGTGATGGAAATGGATTTTGAGTAGCGGGCTGCAATAGAAACACCCCTTACCGTCTTTCAGAGAGATGGGAGAGTGGGTGGGAAAGCGAAGCACGGCTTCCATTAGCTAATGCCCACTTGTGCCAGCCACCGAAATGAAACATCACCTCTGTGCTGGAGGATGAGAGACTGTCACCCAACTGGTGTCTCAAAATGGCACCTGGATTCTTTGTTGTGGATATTTGGCCAAAGGTTCAGCAAGGACAGCGTGTTACGAAGGCGTCTTGGTGAACATTGTTCAGGCCAGCCTTTTTGTTTGACTATATCTCCGTAAATACTGATGACACATTCAGATTCAGCTATGTCGCTCGACTTGGTCAAAGTCAAACTCTGTAACCATGCAAGCACTCTGAAGTACACGTAGAGGTCCAGTAGTATCTAAAGGTTGCTTTTGTTTGATTCCCTGCATGCTCTCTTATTTCTCAGAAATAAGCATGCTTGCACAGCCAGGCCTCTAGCATGACGAGTTTTACGTTACTAATGAATGTCCCATTTAGAAAACACATAATCACCCAACCGCATACTGTCACATTAAACTTTTTGTCTTGTGTTTGTAAATAAAAAACAAGTAGTCATCACATTGCTATAACATCTGCAATGTTCTTAATTACACCGCCGTTTCCTCCACAGGTTCAGGTGCGTCCAGTCACCCCAGTAACCTCCATTTGTCAAGTTAGTTGGTCTCGATTATGCATTTGACATGATTTGTTTTGGGGTTGTTTTCTTAGCTTCTACTCCCTTCTTTTCTGCTTAGTCTTGTATTTCCATCCTCATCTAATCCATCGGGTGTAAATGCTGAGTCATATCACAGGAGGCGGAGTTTGAAATGACAGCCTGAAAACATGTCATCACTCAAAGCGAACATCAACATCTGGCCTAACATTTTCAGTATAATTTTGGTTCTTTGTTTTCTGGGATGTTTGTTTGTGTCTGTGTCTGACTGTCATGCTTACTATCCACGGCAGCTTCCTGTGCGAATAACGTTCTTCTCTCTCAGTAGGGAGAGACCCAGTGTGCTGGATGACTCCTCATTGGCTTCTGTGTCCATATTCTCTCTATGAGCATGGCTGCTGCTTTGAGTGAACAAACTAGCCGATAACAAGATCCACTTCTCCATTCCTCCCCCCTGTTAAAGACACATGCTGCTTCTCTAATGAGTCACTGTTGGCTTGTGCTTGGGTGACGCCCTCATGCAAGACAGTTGACTGACCTCCAGTCCGTTTGATTGACAGGTATGGCCAGCCACCCTACAATTCCAGTAATGGAGTTTGCAGATCATCTGGAGCGCCTGAAAGCCAACGACAACCTCAAGTTTTCACAGGAATATGAGGTAAATACACAATTATGATATTTGTATCAGGTTATAATGTAACGCTGCTTTCATAGTATTGTCTATTTCAATTGTGTGAGACAAACCCTGAAGTGTTGCACTCAGTGAGACTGTCCTTGAGGGTACGATCCTGTAGTTCATTACCCGTGCCAGCCTCTTCTCAGTCAAAAAACCATATCATCAATATGTCAGCTGCCTTTGGTGGATCATTGCCCAATAAGGAGATCAGGATCGCCACCATCACTCAGAATATTTCCCCAGACTAAGTCAGGGATTTTAAACGAGCCAGAGTGTCTTTTCTTACGGCAGGCTTTTTAAATGTCACAGCATGACACACAGGTGTAATTATATTATTAAAAATGGCTTTATTTCAGCGGTGCCCAGACCCTGCTTCTGTACCGCCTGGGTCCTCGTCACGTCTAACCGAGACATTTAAACATAAAAGGGACCATTATGAATGTTATTGGTAACACCTGTGCTTTCCCTGCTTTGACAGGTGAATAATCCCAGCTGGGAAAAAGGGCCATAATATGAGAGTGAAACAACTATATCTCACAAAAAAAATAAAAAGATAACACTGACAAGCATAATTGGATGAGATTACTGATTTTCATTCAAAGCAAGAATGGTGTTCACATACTAATATCTGAGATTCACAACTCCAGTGCTGGTCTGTTTAATCCTCTCAGCAATTCATTATGTCCTGTTTAACATACTCATCTGATTTACTGTGCGAATTTATCTGAAATTAAGAGGACCAAAAGTCATGGGTGCTGCTACCAAATGTGTACCCAGCTAAATTTCTAGGTTGGAAACAGAGTGAGATTAAATCTGAATGGCTATGACCCAAAATCAACTGTTTCAAATTGTAGAGAAAGCAGTCCGAAACGCAGTCTACAGAAAAAAAGGAAGCCTGTTCATGCCTCAGGACTTTGGCTAAACAGCTTAACGTCAGTAGAAATAACCTCTGGATGCTGACACAGTTGATGGACACCTGATGGACACTGGCTGTTACATGAGCTAGATGGCTGAAGGTGGTGAGCGGGTGACTGACATATGCCAAATAGGAGACTGTATCTGGCTGTCTTCTTTTATTTGATTTATTAATTTTTGTCGGTGACTGTGATGCAATGTTAAACAGTCATTTTAGCCAAAATATATCCGACATGTGCGAACTGCTGATCTTGAGACAGAAGCAGATCTCCTGGTCAAATCTGGAGGAAACAGGGACCAGATTGATGTCTCTGAATAGACAGAACCTCTGTTAAGCCTCACTTTGAAATTATTGGCCACTACCGGGAACAGAGGTTACAGCTATGTTTATGTTTTTGTCATTAGACTTTTGAAACTAGAAGCCCTTAACGCTCAGGTGGCCTGTGTGGGCTGCAGTCAGACGGCGTGAATGTTCATCCTGGCAAAAGGTGAACTCATGTTTGCAGAATACTCATTGAGCCTGAAGAACAGAGTGAGAAAGAGCTCTTTTTTCAGGGGCGGTGTGTGTGAGATAGGAGCGGTCACTCTCCCTTTCTGCCCATTTCTCTCCGTGGGTCCTGCAACAGCTCCAAAATCTATGAGGTCACCGTATGGGTGGCTGCCAAGCTGCCCAATCATTACTGCAGCTTAAGTACATTGAATTCCAATTTCATAGTGCTTATTCTGGAGCAGTGGAAAGCAATTTTGTGAGCACAATGAAATGAAGACTTTTATTATAAGCAATGTTGCAGCCCACTGTTTCAACATGTTGTGATAAAGTATCAGACTGGGGGGGGGGGTGTTCCTGGCACACTGAGGCTGAAAATAATGCTGCTGATTAAAGCAAACAAAACCAAACAAAGTGACGGAACATTGACTGTATTTACATTGAGTTTATATGGTTTCAAATGACTTTTGATGCATGTCCTTGTGAAGTCAGAATATTGTTGTTACCTTTTCCTCATTGTCCTAGCCAAAAATTAACAACCTATTGAATTTATTAGGCCTGTGGCTCTTATAAATCACCCTATGAGTAGGGTTATATTCAGATGGACTATAGGTGAGGTCAGTGTGGGCATGTGTTGCCTTGCAGCAGAGTTTCTGCTACTTTCACTGGAGATTAGGACATAAAAGCAGTCCATACTCATTAAGAACACAAGCACAATGTTTTCCCCGTTATACGAAATGAAATGCTATCTTTCATGTCTTTGTAATTTCCCTTTGCGATATTATATTTTATAGTTCATTTATGGCTGATGGGGGATCATTATCAATCTCTGCTTTACAAAGCTGAAACAGAGCTTGGGTAGCAAATTGTGCCTCAAGTAGTCTCCAGTGAGGTGTTCTGGTGTGCGCCGTAAAGTCCAAAAAATTAAACGAGGAAAGCCGATGGAACACAAGCGTCTCCTCTGTGACCAATTCGATATGTGTCTTTGTTAAATCTAATCATTTCTGTGCTGAGGTTATTTGATGCCAAAGACATCACACAGGTCAAATAGTTGTAAAAAGTAAACTTATTGGATATGAGTCAAATGTTCTGAATCTGCTCTCTTTTATGCTCTTGATTCAAGTTTGACAAGTCCAATGTCTATTCAATAGTGTAAGGTTGGAATAGATTTCAACAAGATGTCTGGGTTGGCCTTTCTCTGTGCTAAAATATACTCCATGTAAAAGAAAATGACATCTATTGGACTTAATAACCTTACACAATATTAAATGGAGAACATTTCGTGGTCGCTTTTTGATTACAAGGCCTGAAGACAAAGATATATGTGGCCGATGTGACAAATTTGCTCCTCCTCTGCATGCTTGAGGGTTAGAAATAAAGGAGTATTTTCAATTTAAAACGTCTTCTGGTCAAGTTTAGTGTTCATATGAGGAGGTCTGAATGCAGCAATAATCAAATATGTGCATGAAATTTAAAGAAAATACTCTTAACAACTATCCTCTCTGTTTTTGTTTGGTATATCTCCAGAAATGAGTTTTAGTATATCCTTAAAACAAATGTCCAATGAAATTTAGATCAAATCTGAATGAAGAACTAAACTTTAACAGTTTGTTACCATTTCCCCCTATATGAAGGTTGTGTTTCTGTTTGTTTTTGACTGTATTAAAGCCGAGCACCACATGGGCATCAACCAATTCTTTACACACAATCCTCGCAAGGAACTAGTATAAACTAAAGTGTAAAAAAAAAAAAAAACACTTTTAACAGCAAGTTTTTCTTCTTCACAGTCTATCGACCCTGGTCAGCAGTTCACATGGGAGCACTCTAACCTGGAGGTCAACAAACCAAAGAACAGATATGCCAACGTGATTGCCTACGACCATTCCAGAGTCCTGCTCTCTGCTATTGATGGTACGCCGCCCACCAACATCTTCCCTCCCAGCTGCTGTATCGATTCCACAGACAGCCTGAGCAGCTGTACCTTTCAGACCTCAGGAGCGCAACACCACACTGTACTTTTACAATAGACTCCAACACAAGAAAGTGTGAATACCCATTACTTTCCATGCCTTGGGTTCTTGCAAAAGAGAAGGGGTTAGAAAAAGGCTATTTTCCCTCAAAAACAACAACTGAAAAGTCAGAGATGCTACTAAGTTTAAGCAGCATCTATTTCTCTTACTTCAACAGGTGATTCTTGGACAATCACATCAGCTTTGGAGCCATTTTATATCAAACCGATGCATGAAAGCTAGACTTCACAGCAAAAACAGTCAAGTCAAAGCTTCTGCATATATAGAGAGTGCGCTCACAGTACAGCACAGCTTCCAAGAAATAAAAGCCTTTTTGAACTGGCTAGCCAAATGCAGGCGCCTCCGTCAGTTTATTGGATGAAACACAATTGCAAATGCACACACAGCTATTAATTAACCATTTCCATTGAGCTGCTCCCATGGAGGGCAGAGGAAAATAAACAAAATGGCTAATGTGACAAAACAGATAGATAAAGACTTAGAGAGTCCTTTTTGCAAGCTCTCTGAAACAACACACACTCCGAGCGTTGATGGGACTCCATTAGCCAGACGTACAAACACATCTGCAAAACCACATTGGAGCCTTTGTGCCGCGGAAAGCGAGTAGTTCTCAGCCAGGGGGGACATAAGGGACTTCCTCTTTTTTGTCTGAAGCTCAAACATTTTGGCAGGCGATGCGTCTATTGTTTAATTTGATTGAGGTCTTTGGACAAAAAGGGATTTGGGAGTTGAATCAGAATTTTAAGACAGCGGACAGTACTTCAGGATTTGTTGATGCAGGGATGGATCAGCAGAATCTTTGGAAGGCAGGCACTGGTCCTGACATTGTTGAATACTCTTTACGCACACGGAGGAACTTTAAAGTTGTGTTGATTCTAGTTACCCCTTCGGATCTTTTGTGTTTGTTCGGGATGCATTTGCCATGAGCACCATCACTTGCGACTGTTAAGATGTAGCTCATGCAAACAAATGTCTGAACAACATAAATCTATGCAAGTTCACGAACTCAGTATATGATCAGTTTTACAGTTTCAACTGTAACTTAAAGTCATAATCCTTACATTACAATGCTGCAGCCTAACATCACCAGTGTTTGTTCCTCAATCAGCACATTGACAGAAAAAAAATGGTAGAATTCATACAAATCCTGACTGACAGAAAGCATAAATGCAAAATCCATTTGCCAACGTGAAAAAAAAAAATCCCTGCTTCATTCTCATTAAAGCACAGTAATGTCTCTTTTTTGCCTCTGTTTTTCAATTTGAACAGACACTGGGCTTAATTGTATTTATCCCTTGTCCATCATGGGAAAAAGAAAAAAAACACAGCTGCTTGGCTATGTGAACGATTTCAGCTGCAAAAAATAATAAATGACGTGGGTGGGTTTTTCAATGTGTTCATATTCCATTTTCTTATTCCTGTTGAATAAGTTACCTGGGAGTAAAAGAGAGTCTGGGGGAGAGAAGGGGTAGAGGAAGCAGTTGGAGTGAGGGGATTCTCTGATACGTGGCGTCCATGCAGATGAGACTTATCTTGGTCGACCATGTGTGCACGAAGCCCCTAAACTGCCAGTCCTCGAGCATTGACTAGCTGTCAGCTCTGTCTCTTTCGCCCGGATTGGAAAAAGGCTGCTGTGGCTTTCATTTAATATAAGCAGAAGGGAAGAGGGGACTGAAGAGGGGAAGGGAAGGGAGAGGGGGATTGTTTTGCTAGTTTTTTTGTGGATTTGTTTTTCTCTGTGTGAGGTGATAGACTTTTACAGACTAAGCTTTATCTTGAAGTCAGCTGCAGATATGGGAGAGGGGCACAAAAACTGGATTTAAATGTGTTGTTGATGGAAAATACAAATCCTGATGGACTGTAACATTGGCTGCAAATATGACAGTTTTTTATGCTGTTTTTCTATTTAATACCAGCAGAAAACATAAAAGATAGTCTCTTTATGTGAGGGAAAATCTGACATTATCTCAAACAGCTGCGGAGGAACCAAGACTTGGACTAATGTAGAGAGAAAAGCTGCTGTTTTCTGACATTTATTGTCTTATCAACACTCTGGCACACAAGTAAAGATGATTTCTATTTGATAGAACGACTTATCTCTCTCGTCTCTGTTTTAGGTATCCCTGGAAGCGACTACATCAATGCTAACTACATTGACGGCTACAGGAAACAGAACGCCTACATCGCCACCCAGGGGTCCCTCCCAGAGACGTTTGGTGAATTCTGGAGGATGATCTGGGAGCAGAGGAGCGCCGTCATCGTCATGATGACCAAACTGGAAGAGAGGTCCAGGGTAGGAGACAAATGGAGTTACAGCTATATTTCTGTGCAGCGCTCCTTATCTGTATTTGTATTAAAGTTAGATAAAAGGAAGACTCTACTCTTGCTGCAGAGATCCTCCAAACTCTAAAACTATCTGTGACGTGATCAGTGGGATGCCTTTTCAGCTTATCTCTTTGTTCCTGACCCTGTTTAATTTGAAGCTGGTCTTACTCCAGCCCTCTCTTGCAGCCTCTTTATTTATTCTCCCCCCCCCAAAAAAAAGAAAAAGCCAGGTTGCATTCTGTTACCTCCTGATATCCTCGGATCCTGTCTTTAAAACACTCTCTGTTGTTGTTTATCCTGACTGATTAGGCGCATCTCTCCCTTCATTAGCCCTGCACTGCTGAAGGCGCTGGATTACAATCAGTGATCAAAGGCTAGAGACTAGAGCTGCATGCACTTAACTACTCTTTTAAGGTTGACATGGACAAAAGGCACTTTCTCTCTCTTTTCTCTCTGGCACATCTCTCAGCGTTTGACAGAGCACATGAAAGCTTAAGAGACTCCACAAGCTTATGACCTTCACACTTGTGTGCCTTCTCAAAGAGCCTGGCGTAGTGTTAACAGGGGCGCTGACTCAATCCAGAGAGCAGTTTTCATTCAGTATCTGAACAATCTGCAAAGCAAATAAACTCCTCTGGCTGCTTTTATTATTCTTGGCGCTATAAAATGCATGATTCACCGATTTAATTTGGTACACACTGTCAGGTGTCTGTTTGACACTATAGATGCGTTTTTGATGCAAGATTCTTAGCTCAGATTTTAAAGCTTCCTGTGAGACATCCCCCTCCCTGATCCTGCTGTACTGTTAAGTTGTTTGACATTTGTAGTACATAATAATGTGCTTTTGTTGCTGCCAACAGCTCCTGCCTTTCATATTAATCAGTTGTATCATTCACTGGGAGGCTCTCAAGCTGTCTTTTTATGTTTTGCATATATAGAGCTTGTGTATATGCAAGTAAATGCGATTATGAATCATCTTATGCACTCTTTGTCAGCATCTCTGTGCTGTGCGCTTGGTGTCAGTGCTATAACAGCTGCTTTGGAAATAAAATCAGTTTATAGTAAACGCTGAAGGTACTTGAAATTTCTACGTGCTTTTCAACAGTTATAGAGCATAAAGAAAGACAATTTGTTGAACATGATAACATTTCGATTTTGTGCTGAACCGCACGGACACTATGAAGAAAAACAATTGAACTGGGAGGCAGTTATTTCCTCCCTAACACCGCGGCTGCCTTCCTTTTTTTTCAGCTGAGCAGTAATGCTATCATGGAAGTGTTTTATTGGCCGTTAACTGCGAAACAAAGCTGTACACTCAAACAGCAATAAAGCTGAGGCGGTAATATGATTGGAAACTGTGGTTACCTTTTGTAATTATAGAGTATGGCAGGACAATTAATAGCACTGTCGGCTCTGTGCGAATATTTCTGGCCATTTCATTGATTAGAAAATCTAACTTAGTCAGCAGGAATAAGGGAAATGCAGGTATTTGTTTTACTATTGTTTGACTTGCACTCAGTATATATATGTCTTTAAATGGATTTATGTCGTTAAAAAATGCAGAAATGCATCAAGGCTTCTCTGCCAAGGCACATAACATTCACATATTCCTACCTGGACCTTGTCTAATGTGATATTTCTCTCCAATGAAGGTGAAATGCGACCAGTACTGGCCAACAAGAGGGACGGAGACATACGGCCTTATCCAAGTGACATTGCTGGACACAGTAGAGCTGGCTACATACTGTGTTAGGACATTTGCACTTTTCAAAGTAAGGGGGAAATTGGATTTTGTTGTCCCGTCCTTGCTTTTGAAAAACCCCACACCAGAGTCGTTTATGTGTGTCGTGTGGGTCACTCACCTCCCCTCCTCCTCCTCCATATTCAGAACGGCTCCAGCGAGAAGAGAGAGGTGCGGCAGTTCCAGTTTACGGCCTGGCCGGACCATGGGGTACCAGAGCACCCCACCCCATTCCTGGCCTTCCTGAGACGGGTGAAAGCTTGCAATCCTCCAGACGCGGGGCCCATGGTGGTACACTGCAGGTAAGAAACAACATGGTTCCATGAAAACATCCTCAAGCATGAAATTGATTTTGTTCCCTCCATTTGTTGTAAGGAATATATGAATACGTAAGACAAGAGGCAATACATTCAGCGTTATTAAGATGGTTATATCTGCATCATTTGACTATGGATATTAGGTTTTCTTTAATGAGACATGAACCAGACGGAAAAATATTGTCTCAAGGGGAATATTTTACAGGAAGTTAAATGCAAGCACAAACAAATCAGCCTGCTGGCTCTCACAGACGGCACTTAAAATGTGAAGGTGTTTTCAACATGATAGCACAAAGAGTACAAGTGTCATTGCCCTCAGCAAACTTAAACATCTCCTCCCACACACTGACACACAGACACTCGCAGACCTGTCGTGTTCCCCGCTACACGGCGAACATGTCGCACATCAGCAGCCCACAAGTCCCCGGCTTATCCCTCGGGTTATTGCATCTGAAACAAATAACTTTCACTTTCACGCCAACTTCACTTCCCAGAGCTACATAAGCGGCCAGACTCCCTACAGAGAGGCGCAGGGATATAACACAGACTTCTGGCTCCCCTCAACTCGGGGAGTCATCAGAGGCTCAGAGCAGAGAGAGAGCAAGTGACTGAGGAGGAGGGAGAAAAAGAGCAGGAATGAAGCAACAGCGATAGTGAGTGTAATAGATACAAAGTTGTGTCAGAAAGTGACAAAAAAGGGACGAGGGATTACTGGAGAATTAGAATTACCACATGCTGGAGTTAATTAGAGTGAGTTGCCGAATGGCTTCAAATTGAAAATCCGGACTTTTTTACAATGAAGCAGAATGCAGGAATTAATGTCACTGTGCAGATGGGAGTTTTTTTTTTTTTTTTTTTTAATTCCACTGGCTCCCTATCAGATAGAGCCATTTCCAAGCCCCAAATCCTTTGAGAAACATCCCTTTCACTTCATGCTGGACCACAATTTTGAATAGAGACATCTTTTTACATTAGCATATTTGCATAATAATGTTCGGAGTGTTTTGTGGCTAAGCAGAAATATGCTGTAGATAAAGACGTTTTGCTGAGGCTGTTTATGCACATGCAGAGCAGCCCTAAATAAAGGCTTAAAGGGAAGGAAAAAAAAACAAAAAACATTTGTTGCACATAATTAACAGCGTGGTACAGTATCTTGAGCTGCCTATTAATTAGCTGGTGCACCAAACATTGCAGCTTACCATGTGTGTACGTGCCGAGGGGCCTTCTCAAAAGACTATTAAGACATAAAATAAACAAGGGGTCTAGGGTTTTGTTGTTTTTTTCTGAGTTTTAGTTTTAAATTTGGGGTGTTAACTGCAAACCCCTTTTGTTTTGGGAAATTAAAAACAAGAAACAGGCTTATTGATCAAAAATGTCATTACCTCCTGTCTGCAAGAGAACTGTATTGTCACCATGCCCCCAACTGCAGCCGGAAACAGACATTTTATACAGTAAAATTATACCCAAAGATACCATTGTGATTTTAGAAATCCCCTACTTACTTATGTGCCTCTTTTCAAGTTAGACAATACTTTCTTTTGATGTACATGAGGCTGCATTTTGATTCCACAGATGTTAGTTAAATCAGTGGTTAACCACATCTTCCTCTGACTTTAGCTTTGGGCACGATCATCTAATGTTAGCCTATATCCCATTTCTTCAACTTTCATCATGTCAAATGAATTTTACCCAGTCATCAAGTTTTATATGCCATTTGCAGTTTATGGTTAAGCTTATTTGAATAACCACAAATTATGCTGCGAGAGACACAATTTCATCCGAGATATATTCATTTGATCCGTCTCCAGTTTTACTTTCAAGTCAAAGTCTCACACAGCGCCAGTGAGGGGAAGAGCATGCTAATGATAACGTTGAAATGTGATTCACGTGTTCTCAATGTAGACAATGTGAAATCATAAAGCGTCTAGTAAAAAATCTGCTTCCGACGGCTGTTGCAGCACGTTTCCTGCCCTCCTGGTTCCTGCTGTTTTCACTCACCCATAGGTCAGGGACTGTTTTGCTCTTCCAGCTAAAAGACTACCCAGGCGTTGTGAGGTGATGGAGGAGGCCAAAAGTACATGATTGAATGTCATGGAGATCACTGGCCTCTCCCAGTGACTCAGAAGGGAAAGTTTTGATAGAACAGCCCACAGTTTTAAAAGAGTTTTGACTGACAACCTCAACAGATTTCCACTCTTTTCCACTCCACTTGCCTCTCTGCAAATGTCTTCTTGTTGTAACCAGTGCTTACTGCATTCCCAGTATTAGTTCTGAATGACAAAACAAGAACTAAACTATCAGAGAAAGAAAAAGCTGTGGGTTCGTCTTGGCCTTTTTTTTTGTATTGCTAAAAAAACTGGTTTATAGAGGCTTATCCCAATGACCAAAACAACGTCAAAACCAAGAGTCTCCTCATTAACCGATAAGGCGTAGCAGCACAATGCTAACCTTTTCTTTGAATGTAGGTATGGTTAGAGGTTTCCAACCAGCTATCTTAATAACAACATTTGTTTACAAGTTAAACACACTCACTGAGCTATCCGCACAACTACAAAGTCACTGTTCTTTACCAAAAGGTCATAAAACAGCCGTGATTCTCATTCAGGAAGGAGATGACTCAAAAGCCACAAAACTCCACCTCCCTGTCATCATGGCGCAGTTGCATGCAATGGGAACGTTCAAGCTGTAATGGCAAGTCACAATGGACAAATATGGCAGACAGCACTGTCTTGTGGTTTGTGGAGAAAAAGAGGCTGAGCCGAAAAAGTCCAAAAACAAAATTTAATACTTCAAAAGTGCGGAATAAATGACTGTGTTGATTTGCTTTCCCAATTTAGCAAATAATCCAAGCATCATACAAACGACTTGAACTATTGTTGACTCCATTAAACAGCAACAGAGTGATCCTGGCAAGGTTGGAGTTCATGTGCGTGCCTTCAATAGTCAGTGCGAGGAAATGGTGACAGGTTAGCTGACAGCGGGAGATTTGGTAACAATACATGTGTAATTGCTTTCACTGCTGCCAGTGCTTTATCTTCTCAGGACTCATTGCAGCTGTATTTTAGACAGCACTCTCTCTCTTTCTCCCATCCCCTATTCCCCAAACTCCTGGAAAGCATATTAGTCTGACACTTAATGTGTGTCCAAGTCCAAAGCAGCTGGTCTTGACTAGCTGAAAAGGCAGTGTCAGGTCATTAGTGCAGTCAGTCTGCCAACTCCCCTTCAACTGCCAAATGTAGCGTCGGCTTTCTGCACCACCTCATCCAACCAGACAGACACACACACACACACACACACACACTTGCTTTTCTCGTTGATAAATATTGAATATTTTCTAAGCCTTTCCTGGTTCAACATTTGGGGAAAATTCTGGTTAGCATCCTGTTTATTCCAGCTGCTTTGTGTCCTAAAAAACTTACTTTAGACCCAGACCCCTCTTGCATCTTTTTCTGCATAACACGACTCTACCCCTCCTCGCCTCCGTCCCCCTATCCTCCTCATCTCCCTCTGTCTCCGTCTCTCTGGCTCAGCGCTGTCACTCTGTCACTTACTCTCTCGCAGGTCATCACTCTTGCACATTCAGGTCCGCACTGTAAAATGTTTTCAGATTGGAAACAGCTGGGGTAAAGGGAGAAATCTCCGCTAGTTCCTGCAGCCCTTGCCCAAGGGCTGTTGTGTTCTCTGTCCTCGAAATGATTCATTCTTCAAATATCACTTTTATTTGCAAGCTGAGTCTGCCTTTTAGTCCCATTGCAGATTTTGTTATCACCCCAGAGCCGTGAGGAGTTTCGTAAAAGAATAAAATAAAATTGTTAGCAGCCATTTTGGATGTGGTCATGAGATAATTTGTTAAAGCCAATGACTCCCATATGTGTCTTTATTCCATTTGCAGCACAGTTCCAGTGCAGCATGGCACATTAACCAGACTTGGCCCCCGGGGACTAACTTTACTCCCTCTTGAGTTTCCCCTTCTCGAACCTCCCCCCGCTCCTCAGAGCAAATGAAAAACAAATGCTCCATCAGAAGTAGAGGAGCACAGGAGCATGGCTCACACCTCATAGGCATGTCAGCTTAATGGATTGAATAACCTATTTACTTTGGAGTGCCAAGTGCAAGGACTTGTCTCGTCACTGCTGTGCTTTACGGGTAAGGTAGGAGGGGAGTTAACGAAGAAGATTTAACACCGCCCTGTCACCCCGGCGGGAAATATACTGTCATCAGAAAACATCTTCAGTGCTGAGGCATGCATGATTAAAACATCTAATGTGCAGGGGTTAGCATTTTTAGATTGTCAGCAGTCTGCAAAGAAGAGGGGGCAGCACTCATGCAGGATGTCTTAAAAAAAAAAAAAGGCAAAGAAGAACAGTTTTTGTTTTTTTGTTAAGGTTTATTTTCTTCCTGTGCATTATGTGAACTAATGTAAAAATCTGTTGGTGTCAATCCAAATAAAGAGACCTGCCTTTCAGCGCCTCTTCCAAAGCTTCAACACCTTTTAGGACCACCGTCCTGTCTAATGGCGTTAATTGAAGTCAGCTGCACTTCTCATAAGTTGCCTGGCACATTAACAAAGCCCTCAAAAACCTGTTCTCTCACCATTGCGACATTTATGTGCGGGCATTATTGTAGAGGCCCTTTTTGGCACTGTGAGATAAAGGTTAAATGTTGCCGTTGCGTAAGTGATTAGTCCTGATGGGTTGGAGAGCTCAGGTGGGGCTCGGGAAGAGGGGGAGAGACTAGATTGCGAAGCCAGCAGTGAGCCCGCTGAAGGCTGTGACTGCCTAGCACTCTTCTCCACAAAGTGCCACTTCAGATTTAATTACACTCCAAGCCAAATAGTCCGTTCTACAGTGACAAACTTGGCACAGAGAGTTTATCGCATTGCTCTGAGAAAGCAACTTCTCCAGGCCCCCAGAAAAGTTTGCAAAAACACCTCAACCTCTTCTACTGTGTTGCCCATCATTTACTCCACTTTTATAGATCGAGTTTACTTTTCTTGGAAAGTTACAACTGAGATACCATTCAGGTACATTCCTCTTTTATCTCCTTGTTGACTACAGTGCTGGAGTGGGACGCACAGGCTGCTTCATCGTGATTGATGCCATGCTGGAACGGATCAAGCACGAGAAGACTGTGGACATCTACGGGCATGTGACACTAATGCGTGCCCAGCGCAACTACATGGTGCAGACAGAGGACCAGTATGTCTTCATACATGACGCGCTCCAGGAGGCCGTCAACTGCGGCACCACCGAAGTGCCCGCCAGAAACCTATACGCCTACATCCAGAAACTGACACAAATAGAAGGTGGAGAGAATGTCACCGGCATGGAGCTTGAGTTCAAGGTACGAAAACTTTACTAACAGCTCCACTCAAATGTCTGACACCATATCCATCAACTAGACACACATGCAAAAAGCATTTACAGTCCCCCCAATGACACCCAATGTTCGAAGTCACATCCAGGTCTTTAGTGTCACTGATCAGCCTTTCCCTGTACAACTTCTTTTCCAGTTCCCATCAGGCCCACCAGACAGCAAGGGGCCTGTGGTTTCCTCTCTATCCCACTTTGTTAACTCGCTTGTGAAACTCAGCATAGGATAAATCCCCCCGTTCTGGTTTCCCTTTCCTCTGGTAACAAGGGTCTTGGTTTACACAAAAACGCCAAACTCAGGTTTTCCCCGCCACTGAACATTTGCCAGAGGGACTTGTAGTCTGCATTCACAATGAGAGGCTCAATGAACCTTACGCAACCCCTCGCAGTCTGTGGTGTTGCTGTATGCGTGGCATTGTCTTGCTTGTCACGCACCTTCTCTCTAGCACTGTGATGGATGCTGATTCCTCTAAGAGATGATAAACAGGTTAGATTGCAGTGCACTTCTGTCCACTCCTGGCTCGCCTGGGTATTCATTTTCCTGTCTTTTCATCATATTGGCAATTTTTTCCCAACAGTGGCAGGCCATGATAGTAATCGCTTTGATGCCATTTCCATACTCTAAGGCCACATGAAATAGCATATAACCACAGTGCACTATAGGCCATTATAGTGTAGATTTCATCAACAGCAGTGTAGGGCTCATTATTCTGGGAGGGTTGTACAACACTGAGACTAAAAAAGAAACCAAAGTCATGCAATCGATCACAGCACTCAGATATTTAGAGTCAAACACGAATGGTAACCATGGAGATCAACAAATATAGGCTAGTCATTTTGTTACCAAACCCTATTTTGCTCAAAGATTTTTCTGTTTCTTTGTCCCCGTGCAGCGTTTAGCCAACACTAAAGCCCATACATCACGATTCATCAGTGCCAATCTCCCCTGCAACAAGTTCAAGAACCGCCTTGTTAACATAATGCCATACGAGTCAACACGAGTGTGTCTTCAGCCCATACGAGGAGTTGAGGGCTCTGACTACATCAATGCCAGTTTCATTGATGGGTACAGGTAAGTGCGTACATACTTGGAAGGCCAGAGTAGGGGACTCTCTGGATTTGAGAAAATGGCTTAAATCAAGTGCAAAGAGGATATTGTCAGACTTTCATAGTATGTTTTTACAATATCTTTAGAATACAGAGTAAAAGTTTCAATGTATTTCCATGCTCATGTTATGATAGCAAATTTATCATGAGATTAATGCTTTCCCACAGGCAACAGAAAGCCTACATTGCCACACAGGGACCACTGGCAGAGACCACAGAGGACTTCTGGAGAATGCTCTGGGAGCACAACTCTACTATTGTTGTTATGCTAACCAAGCTTAGAGAAATGGGCAGGGTATGTACACTCATATATTCTTCTCAGTTGTTATTTGGCACGCTCTAACCTTCTTGGTCTGGCTACTGAACACAAAAGGACATATAGTACCTTACAAAAATTTGGCTGTGAGAATCTGAGCTTCCACAAAGTCGATACCGTTTGAATTGAATTAAAAAATTCTGGGAATGAACACAATGAACTCTTGTGTATCAGGGGAATGCTGTGGTTCACTGTGGTGTTCTATTTTTCACTCACTACAGGAAAAATGCCACCAGTACTGGCCAGCGGAGCGATCGGCCAGATACCAGTACTTTGTGGTGGACCCAATGGCCGAGTACAACATGCCCCAGTATATCCTGAGAGAGTTCAAAGTGACCGATGCCAGGGTAAGCGGATCTTGTTTCACTGAACAAAGTTTTCTGACCAAAATTTGACATTGTGGTGATGGCTCACTATTGTTTCACAGTTTAGTCTCGAGTATCGTTTTCCAAAGTCTGGATTGTGGCCTTACCGTTGGATACCATGCCACTGCATGGGTCACTAAGGGTTCAAGAGTAAAATAAAAACTTTCAACTTGTTTGTGTGTTCTTCCACTTCGTTTACATTTGCATAATTTTATTTACCAAGACAGAAGGTGTGAATGACAATGTTCAACATGCAGGATGATGACTGGATTTATTTAACACTGCAGTCGTCTTTAGCTCAACATTTTGGCATTGTATCAAGTATTTGTTTATACCAAACTATGGCCTTAAGTGTAGCATAATCAGAAGTATATTTGTGGGAATTATGACACATGTCAATGTGTAGAAAAACAAATGTGGTGCCGGCAGCAGCGAGCTGCCAGAGTTTTAATTCCATCAAAGGCTCACGCAGATAAATGGCGCAGGCTCCCTCCTTTGTAGTGTGTGTTACACTGTCTCGTCAATGGGATTGCTCCTCTTATCAAGGGGATACAATATCACTTAAGTAATGCACACTCTCAAAGTCGATTCTCCAAGTTCCCTGTCGAGGGTAACACATCAAAGGAATTAGTATCTGAAGTTTTCATGTTTAATACGTTCAGGTAAAATGGCAGTCATCTTGGATGACAAACCATGTTCTCTGATGTTTTAAACTTGGCGCCTGTGCTAGATTTTTTTTTTTACTAAGTCTTTCCTTTACTGCGGGAATCACAGAAGCGTGGAGCAATATGACAGAGATAGCTTGGAACAACTTCTTTGGGTTTGCCATCAGAGAAATACCTCAGATTCGGATCCCAGTTTTGATTTATTAATTTATCTTTGCCAAATATCTGACTGAACTCGTCTTTTTTGTTCCTACGTTCGAAGGATGGACAGTCACGGACAGTAAGGCAGTTTCAGTTCACGGACTGGCCTGAACAAGGAGTGCCAAAATCAGGAGAGGGCTTCATTGATTTCATCGGCCAAGTACATAAAACAAAGGAGCAGTTTGGTCAAGATGGGCCGATCTCGGTCCACTGTAGGTGAGTAACCAGCTGGCATGACCTACCAAACTATAAAACTTGCATTTGCCTGCTATACAAGTATCCCTTAAGTTGAATGTACTGAACATCTATTCCAGACATTTAATTAGCACATAAATACACTGTTTTTGATGGAGAGCAAACTTTTTCTCCGTCTTCACTCTGACCTTTCTGCCCTCTCTGTAAAGCGCGGGTGTTGGCAGGACCGGAGTTTTCATCACCCTCAGCATTGTCTTGGAACGAATGAGATATGAGGGCGTAGTAGACATCTTTCAGACAGTGAAAATGTTACGAACACAGAGACCAGCAATGGTGCAGACAGAGGTGAGCTGTTTTTCTTCTTCTTTTCCTTCTTTTTTTTCTTTTTACTGTGGTGAAGGTGAATGCAACTATTTTTCTTTTAGTATGTACCGAACTAATGATTTACTTGTGTAAGAAAGAGCTCAGTTAGATCTAAATGATTAATTTGGGCAAAACAAATAAACGAAGGCAAACATCTCCTCTGTTTTGCATACACTCAATGAATTTACTTTGAAAAGCATCAAAAGGAGGTTCAACAGAAAAGACAGCTGATAGATCTGAGGTGATTTGGGATCAAAAGGGTCACGACAAAAGTATAAATACCCAAAAAGAGTACAGGAGATTTGGAATTAGGATCCCCGAGAGGGAGAGCGAGCTTCAATTTTCTCTTCTTTGTCTCCAGGATCAATACCAGTTCTGCTACAGAGCTGGCTTGGAGTACCTGGGAAGCTTTGATCACTATGCAACGTAAGAGACCCAGTATCGGAAGAAAAAAGCAGAGGGCCTTTGGAAAGAAAACCCAGTGAGCCTCTCTTCTGAGCCATAAATTCTTGCTTGAGAAAGTACTCCTTAACTCCTTGCTAACAACTCATTAAGTGTTGGATGTGCGACATGACTTGTCAAAAAATGAAAAAGATGATTCCCGGAGGACCAAGTATTTCCAAACCCCCGAATAAAACCTTGCTTTGAAACAAAGCGGGGGAATCCTGACTGTTGGAGCATCACATGGAATTACCTTTTCTTTTGCTTCAAGGATTCATTTTGGGGCTCATAAAACTGAATGAAAACCAACACAACAAAAAAGTAAATGAACAATAATGACATCGTCAAAAATGCATCAGTGATTATGAACCATTACGAGAGGCATTGGAGGCACTCAGAACAGCAGGGGGAACAAACTTGATGCACATTGTAAAGAAAAAAAGATCTATTTCACAATCAAGTACACACTGACAACCCATTGAAAAAGAAGACGACGCTTGTTCTGAAACAGCAGGACGGACTCAAAGTAATAATGAATAAATACCCCTTTTCCTGTCACAACGTTCATCATCTAAATTTTGGGGGAGAGGGTAAAGTCAAATGATCTATGAAATAAAGAAAAATTATTGATTTAGTTTTTTAGTACTTTATTATACAGCTGATGTGCTTTTTTTGAACTGTGTGAATTTCCTTTTTTTACACAAATTTATCGCTTGGAAAGAAGTGATAAAATGTATTAAATGTTCATTTTTTTTAAAGCTGTAGAACTGTTCTGACGTATGTGCTATTTTGCAGAGAATCTATTTGTTTTTTTCTTTTTTTAAACCTTTTTTTTTTCTATTTTTTCCCCTCATTTGTTGCACTTAGTGCGCACGGTGGAATTCACACTACCAAAATGTTGATTTTGTTCAAAGGACATTTTTTTTTTGGTCTTGAATTTTGTGTTTGTTTTTGTCCATTATCACATACATGGTAACTTAAATACACCCATAAAGATAAACTGGGGCTTTGTGGAATCAACAGGGATGAGCAAAGTATGAAGCTGCTGCTACCGATTATCTTAGTTCTTCCATGTGAGAAAGGTGATACGAGAGGACCTAACGAATTGGATATAAACTATAAATAAACAAATGTTTGGTACAGATTGTCAGATATATGTAAAAGATATATTAAAGTATAAATAAAACATTCTAGCTATATTGATAAAGCAAATAATTTATGAGAAAAGAGTATATATAATATGGATTGTTTATGAAAGCTTCCAAATTGAGACGTGTGTGTGCTATGGGGGAAATGAAATGAGATTTTTTCACTGGAATGCACATCAGTAGGACAAAATTGTATCCTGATTCAGTGCATCTTTTCTTGTGCAATAAATATGTGTATTTTTAGATAGGGTTTTTATGTGGATATGTCATTCACTCATGACATTGTTGTTCCCCATGTGAGTGAGGTACGGGAGTGGGAATGTCAGATGCCAGTCAGAGCATCATTGGTGTTTCTTTTTTTTTCTTTTTTTATTCCTCGAGCTCTCACATAGGTGTGTAATCAGAGACAGAGGGGTCACACAGCTGCGGTCACAGCTCCACACAATAGGGCAAAGGTACAAAGACGTCACCTTCTCATGGTTCTTTAAAGCATTCAATGGTGAACGGTATTATTTTTTCATTTTGCATTTAGAGTGCCTTATATTTATGCCTGTTTTTATAATGTTTCATTTAACATATTAATGTATCCTTTGAGTAATCTAGGCATTTAGTGTAAATGTAATTGTATAGTTTATTTACCTGTAGTATTCATTTGTCACATGATGAGATTATATATGCAAATAAGAACATTTCAAAGCTCATATTTTTCATTTTCAGTGGCCTTATTGTGGCTGAGTGAAATAGAATTTAAAGGTTTATATATAACTGAACTCTACAGTCAAGAATATATATATATATATAAAAAAAAAATAATAAACATCACTCAAACATTTTCAGACACGGAGCCAGGGATGAGATTGCAGACTACGTGTCTCAGAAACAAAAAGTAGAGAGAAAGTCACTGCTTCAACAAGATAAATGTTCAGATTAAAAAAAAAAAGAATTAAAAAAAAAAAAGGGTTGCTCAAATTCAAAGTGGATTGGGTTTTAAAGGAATGCCTACTGTGCATGTCATCTCTGAAGGGTTTAATCTTCATGCCTTAGGTTTGATTTCATGTGTGTCACCACAGAGAGAAGATGCAGAGAAATACATTCTGCAAATACTGCTTCGGTTTATCTGACAATCCTATACTTTGTCCTTTTATTCTGAAATGACAGACAGGAACTAAGGGTTTATTTTGGTTTCAGTATTTTTTTTTTACATTGGGCAGCATATTTAACGTCTCCATCCCCTCTTTGATGGCTTTGTGGATGTGCATTCCAGGTGCTTTCTTTCCCTTGGTAACTCAAGCAGCTATGTGTTTTATATTTGCTTAACTGATTTTTTTTTTTTTTTGTCATAATTTGAAGATATAAAGTGCTATTATTTAACCTCATGGTGGCTAATAATATGTTCTTGTTTATTTTCTCATCTCGGTTTAACTTGTTTTAGATTGATTTTTCTCATGTGCACGGTGTAACGTTGCAGAACGGCCAGAGCTGGCTTGGTAGAAAGATTTGCACTTTCTCTATCTTTGTACTATGCACTGCCCTATTGATTCTAAACCCAATAATATATTACTTGAACCCATCTATAAAAAAGATCTCCTTAAACGTTCACTTTGTGTGTATGTAAATAACACAAAAAAGGTATCAACTCTTGAAAAAGACAAAAAAAAGTTTGTGGCAAAAAAGAGCATCCGTTCTGATGCCATGGTAACTCCAGCAGATGACTTCAGAAAAATTCTGTCCCCCGACCATCTGTTCTTGTGGCTTTGCCATTCAAGCTTGGAGTGTCATTAACAGAAATAAACGTTGTGTTCTCTGCTCTCTCTATCTATCTCTCGTCTGGATGCATAGACTGAAAATTAAATAATGAAATTGTAAAAAAAAAGGCTTGTTAAAAAGATCATACAATTACCTCTGATTAGTTGTAAGCGTAAACTGTTTCTTTTTCTGAATGAAAGGAGTGCTTTTTATTTTCTTACTTAGGTTAAATTGGTGGCGAAAGAAGTCTGTATGAAAATCAGTTCTTTGCTGACACAAGTTCCATTTGTTATAAATGAATTCTATTAAAAAATGTCAGTGTTATGCATCAGCGTTTCACTTGTTTCCCTCCACCTCACTTTGACTTGAAAAGACTGATGGAGCTATTTTACCCCCTGCTGGTCCGGGTCCAACATATTATCCACAGTTCTCTCATGAAGGGGGAAATTGAGCCTCACACCACATTTGAATAGATTTCCATCGCTCTGCTTTTCCTGTCACTGATGTCAGCTCCAATGAATCATCAGGGGAACCTTTGACGGATGAAGTGCAATGTTTTCGAAGCTGCTTTGGTTTTGAACATAGGCGTATTTAAGCCCTACCAGAGTGGCGAGGTCCTGATTCGCATTTGTAAATCCACTCAGTGCCCCTGCAATACTTAACTGTGATTTTTATCTTTGTTCCACACTTAGTCTGAGTTTATTGCTTTATTTCATACAGAGGAGCGACACCAGTTAAACCACGAACCTCAAGATAAGCCACGATAAAGAAACAAAGTGAAGTGAGCTTGACTGAGGCTTAAACAGCGATACTAAAGATGTTGAATCCAAAAGGCTAAACTGTGGGTGTGTAATACAACTGTAACTTATCATAGAAACAAATATGACACATTAATGTTTACATATTGTCAAATCAGTGTGTCTTTTTGTATTACAACCAAAACTTAAAGATATCCAAGAGTTTCTAAAGAAAAAAACAAAACTCTTCCTACTTGCTGCCAAACTTTACAAGCAGATTTGACCATCCTGAATATCACTGCATAGAAAATCTGATTCAAACACATAAAAATTCAGTTTAAAGAAGTAACCAGTCTTGTTTCTAATAATCTGATTCTGCCAGACAGGTTTTGACCGCTTCTCATCAGATAAGAACTGGAAAAATGGCCCAATCAGTATTAAAAGGACTTACATAATCTCTTTGATGGGAATAAAACTACTGATGCAATAATAATTTAATAAAAGAAGCTAAAAGAGACAGTGTACTCCTTTTGTTTTCCAATTAAACAGCCTTGTTAGCAGACATTTTGCACATGCTCAGTCCTCGTCTCTCATGACTTGAGAATCACTTTGAAGCAATAACTGGTCAGTGAGAGAAACAATGATAATTTAGGATATTTGTTTTAATAGTACAAGATATAAAAAGCCTCTTTTCCTCATCTCCTTGAATGTATCATACTGCCATGATGCCACGTTAAAGGGCTACATCATGATGTCACCCAAATACAGGAACGATCAGCACTCAAGAAAGTCAACACCAGATCAGAATAGATCACGCCCCTGAAAACAAAAGTTCAAAAAAGAGATGCAAGTAATAGATTTATAGGCATCACTTCAACCACTGCGAAAAAAACAATTATCCATCAGAAGCGACCTGTTTTCTTTGACCAAAAACTCTCCAGTGTTCTCGTCTTCGCCCCTTTCTAAAATGAATAAAAGAAAACTCGAGACACTGAGGATAAACACAGACAGAGTACTCTGAAATATTAATCCTACTCTGTCTGAGATGATAAACATGTTCCCTTCTCGCAGATGAATGCAGACTCTCGCCATGTTTTGCATGGCAGAGAGGAGCTCATTAGGAGTCACTACTCTTTGAGACACAATCTCTGTGCAATCAAGCAGAATGTTACTGAAACTATCTGTATCTGTACATCGTGTTTTTTGACAACAACTGTGAAAAGTTTATCTTGTGACACAGTTTACAAATTAATGTGAAACATAGAAATCATGAAAGAGTAAAAGCAGCTACAAAGAACCTCAAAATCACTGTTTTACACTGATATTTGCTACTTTTACAGCTTATAACCATATCAAGA